CTTATGCAAGTAAATATTGATAATTATATAATTGTATACTTTTGTATGAAACTGCAAAATTGGCATTGTTCTGTAAATAGTTTTGTATAATCATGTCTGTAAAATTGGCAGAAGAGAAAGCCTAACTGTCTGGCTGCCTATGGTGGCAGTTTGATGGCCTTGTTGACTGAGGAGGCAAATTGTCTCGCAGTCGGAAGAGGAAGCCTAAATAGCTGACGACCTTGGCCTTAGGAGTTTGCCTAACGCCCTGGAAGCCTAACGTTGGCAGCCTAGTATCATGAGGAGGCCGCCTAACATCTTAACATCCTATCGATGTCAGCTTTGCAACCTGAAGTTGGCAATCTAACAGCCTAAAGTCGGCAGCCTAGTAGCTTAAAGTTAGTGACTTATATTATAAATATGGAAACAATTTAAAATACAGTAAAATCACTATGAAAGGTCTTGCAAAAGCACATACAAATGCATGATTATGGAAAAAACGCCTTTACCTTAAGGGCACTGAACTTTGCAGTCTAATAGCCTAAAGCTGGCAGTCTAGGAGCCTGGCAGCCTAAAATTGGTGTCATGTTATAAAAAATGGAACGATCAAAATAATAAAATGGCATGTTGGATTTTTCCTAAAATCTACTCGTACAAATGGCTTCATAATTTACACATTTATTAATCAATACAATATACTTGATCCTGGCAAGTTACATAATTATTGCATAAATTTTTATCAAATTATTGCCATTTTCAGCAGTTTGATAATGAATATCGTGAACCTAAACCGGCAAGATGGATTTTTTAAGTACTGTCTATACTTATGGCTTCATAATTTCCACACTTACTTATTTAGAGAAAGTTCATGATATTGCCAAGTTATATAACTCTGACATTCATTTTCCCAAGTTATATTCCTTTTTTTCACTTTGAAAATAGGACCTTGTATGGTTAACCTAATTTAGGCGCGTAGTGCTCGAGGTGTTTCATGAAATTCGTGACCAGGTATTTCCTAAACAGAAAGATCGATGTACGAGGCCGATATCCAACTAACACACCGTCAAACCATACATCTGGCCTGAGGAATGGCTGATCCGAAGCATTTGATGTAATGCACAAATATTATTTTTAACATAACGCATATACAGGTATGTTTTTTCAACGTTCTGCTTAAATACAATATATGTTTTGTATTTAACTTTGCTTTTCCCTTTTAGATAATAATAAAAAAGCTAAATGTGCAATTTGTCAATAATAAAGTGAATAGGACTGAAATGGAAGATATGTTAAAGAATGATTAATTATGTTGATAGTATTTCGTATCAGACAATGCAGATTCTAGGACATTTGCACTCGGACAGTTGCCCCCTCGGACGTTTGCCCCCCCCCCCCCTGTTTTTGCTGTTGCGACTTGTCACTTGTCAGAGGTCATCTTGTGTATAGATTTTTTGTATGCCAATAGAAACATTAAAGTTCATTTATTTATGGATGCTATTTTGACTATCACAAATTTGCGCGATATTTTAAGCACAATGAAATTTCGACAATAGGCGATGAATTTGGGTAGCAAACAATTCAACAATAAAATATTTTAACATTTTTTAAAACGGAGGGGGCACATGTCCGTCCTTCCAAAGATATGAGGGGGCGAATGACCGCTACTGCAAAAAGTGAGAAAACTTCCGAAGGGGCAACTGTCCGAAGGGTAATGTCCTGAAACCCAGAAGACTACGAAAAACTTACATATGTATATTGATGGCAAGTGTGAGATACATGAATCGAAACTATATCTTATAAAGCAGATTATAAAGTGTTCTAGACGGTTTTTTTGTTATTTATTTTTGATAATACAGTTCACTATCGTTCGTACTTATTTACTATTGTCATTTAATGTTTATTTATTTTCTCTACCACTTAAATACCATGTAGCATGTAATATCTATTGTTACCTTTTCTAAACTATCCCAGTCAATGACATACGTTTTCCACTATGTTTTTCTCGTGGTATAATTCTCCCAACATATCCACTAGTCAATGAAATACCTTACCTGATCACGATTTCCACGTGATCCAATTCTCGTAACATTATTTTGTTTTCTTATCACGCTTTACCCGTGCGTACCCCAATTCTCCCAACGTGCCTATTTACCATTTAAATTACAGATAATGATATTAACAAGGTCTACATAGTTTTAAATATTGTGTTAAATTGATTGACATGTTATTTACTTATTAACTTTGTATATATCTGTCCCCATCTATTTACCCATATTTCAATATAAAACAAAATGAATCATGCTATTACATGTCTGTAATCTGATATTAATAAAAGTAATTGTTGTTGTTGTTGCTGTTGTTGTAGAATAAAATATGATCGGTTATCATAATTTTTTTATACTAAGTCACTAATAACTTTATTAACATTTTAATATCGTAAGTATGCTGTGATTACTGCCTCATAGTTTCATAGATATAAACTTGAAGCGTCCATATTGTTATATTGTGAACTTAATGACAGAAAAACCACTTAGATTACTATTACTTTGAAAAATGACGCGATTAAATAAATGTTAAACGTGTCCTTACTTTGATATGCTATCCATTATTTTTATAGAAAGATTTAATATACGGATGCTGGAATAATTATTGCTAAGTGCATTCAATAAACATTATCTTATTTAAAAAATGTATCCTGATTTTGTAAGACATGAACATTATGACAATCATTTACATTTTATTTCAATTTTTAATTTTTGATTGCTTTTCCTGTTTTCTTTGTCTGCGCATTGACAGGTCTATTTTTCCACGTGTATTTCATGACCGGGTATGTCTGACTAGAATAGACCTGTGCACGTGCAAAAGAAAGACCTCATAACGGACTTTCTTTTGTTTAAACAGGTCTATCTGAAAAAAATAGACCTGTCACAAACAATACAGGAGGTCTGTAAAAGTGGTTACAGATATCTAACTAATATCTTCGTTACATATGTATTATTCATGTCTTGTGTTTTTCGAAAGATGTCAGATTTAATTTCATTGAAATATTTAAAATGAAGCTTACAGATTAAGATTTTCATTACAGCAAATGATATAAAAAGCCTAAATTCTCAGGCCAATACGGCAGGCCTATAGCTGGCACAAACAGCCCTTTTCAGGGATAAACACCTTTCCTATTGTCACAGGTTACTGTACATTTAGGTTCTCATTGACCGCCGTACAGTGACCTACTTTTGGCTCAAAATTCATATCTTTGGCTAATACTCCGTGGAAATTGCATGGAGGTAAATTATCACCATTTTGTGCTTCAAAATTAACTCTTTAAGGACATGACTGGTGACATGTCCGGGGTCCGTACTCGACAGCCCAAGCTGCATATTGTGCCCTCGCGGGCGGATGGACCCTCATTAAGCTTAAACTACTGACTGACTGGCCAATACGGCTAGCTGTCTTCAGCCAAATAGCAAGGCCAATATGAGCTTAACCCATTATTTGTATTCTTATTATATGGTATTTACTGAGAATCTTTCATAGGCGAGTAAAATATCAATTGCCACAATGTCAAAGCGTAAATAGTATAGGCGAGTCCTCCAGAAGTGTATTAGTCATTTTAGATTTTGGAGATAGTGCAATTACAGGTACAGAAAGATGCCCCAATTCCAGAAGCTTCCCCTGGTTCTTTAACGTGCCAAGTTGTTTAAGCACCCATACATGGGACCTCGATTAAAAGTGATATCCGAAAGACTGATTAGTAATTTTAGTTGGCCAGTCCGGGAATCGAACCCACAAGGTCGAGATTACAAGTCTCGCGCTCTAACCGATTGAGCTATGCGGGCTGGCTGCTAACAAAAATTCCGGTGCATATTATATGTGTTAATCGTAAAATTCGGTCATATCTAACGCCCGACTGCGGATCGAATACTACATGATCAAGGAGTACTACATGATAATTTTTGTTTTCGATTTTCGTATTGACCGTGCATTTCATACTATGTTTTTCACGTATTTGCCGTTTCTGATAAAATAAAAAAATTTGCCTTCACGTTTGAAGTGAATATTTAATATGTATTTTGGGGGGAAAATATAAAAAGGGAGTTATTTTAGGAAAAATACCTGTCAGGATCATCTGTCCTTTAGAAATGCATTAGTACTTTTATATGAAATAAGTATTTAAGTTTAAAGTGAATATGTTTGAAATTAGCCGTAACCAGCAAAAACATCTTAGAGAAATAAGGGGAATAACTTTGCAAACTATATCTAGGATTATCTGCCCTTTGATATTGCATCATATGATCATAGTAAACAAATAAACCACATTTAAAGTAAATTCGGTAGTGTCTGAGATAATAAATGAAATTACTTAAACCAAATTCTGAGAGCGACGATACCTTTTATCTGTTGTCAATCAGGGTTACAAATGAAAATGGGAAACAAAAGAAAAATACTTATTATTGAGAATTTAGTATCAATTATCGTTTCTAGCCTATAGATTACATTATATAGCAGCTCAAAACCTCGATATTTAGGTTCATTTATAAAGAAAACAAGTAAAACAAAGATGGCAATTACAATAGAAATAACTATGAGAATGTCAAAAAGTAATATAATACTACTTTAATCATGATTTTAATATGAATTTACATCTTGCGACATTTAACGGTAGTGTTGCGACATTTAACGGTAAGGGAAATTCGTGCGAAATTTAGCGTTAACATTGCGACATTTAACGGCAAATGATTTTGCGACATCAAATCAAATACCTTACTAATCCTATAAAATCTTTCTAAAATAAATTATCATCTATATAAATCATATGTGTCTGTCTTTGAACTGTTGAATAAAAATCTTTTTTTTTTTATTTAATCAATAGATTGATCAATGGAGGTTTAATTATTTAACTTATGTGATAACTTGTACTATTTTTGTAGTTTTTTTAGGGTTTTTTCCCCTCTTTTCTCCAGTGTTAGTATTTGCTGCATGAAGAGGAGTAAATTTACAGGACTTAGATCCCAACAGAAACGATGCTAATGAATGACGACGGCGACGACGAACATGATGATGACGATGATGATGAGCAGGACAACGAAGATGACTGTCAGTAGTGAAAGTGGGTTGTTATAAGTATGGCAGCTTTTATCCCTAACCTTCTCCAATCTGAGTATATCGATTTCCTCTTTTCCGTCTGTCCGCCCCGAAATAATGTGACATGAAGGTCTCCAGAGATTTTTACATTTATTCATTTGCGTATGAAGCTGTGTACATGCTTTAATTTGTTTTATTTCATTGTTACAGTAACGTCATAGTTATGGCCACTGTGATGATATTCTTTTCAGAATAATTTTGGGGGTTTTCATTTTGTCATACATAATTATATAAATGACAAAGTTATGCCCACTATGGAAATTTGTTTGATCGTCATTTTGTGGAACTCATTGCCTTTTAGCAACTATTGACGTTTTAGTGATAACCACTGCTCCTGCCCAAATCCTTGGGGGGGGGGGTGGATAGCGGGGACATAGTTGTTACATTTTTGACATTTCTGGCACTACGGGAGCAACTGCTATGTTTTGACAGATAGCAGATAAGTTAATTGCAAAGAGAAGGTCATAACCGCAGAGCGGATACATTACGTAGTAGTTATACCATCAGACCGTTCACTATATAAAACGTCATTTTTAATGTTTTGGCTGAAAGATCATTTGGTTTGGTTCACATTTAAACCGACCTTACTTGATCTTTGTCAGAATTACGTCTCTAAAAGTGTAGTTCAAAGCCTAGTCCAGTGAACACATACACACACACACACGCACGCACACACGCACCAACACACACACACACACACACACACACACAAAACTGGGTCTGATCTTGTAAGTTTTTTTGAAATAACTAATCGCTATCGTATATATGGTTTATTAACTTTATTTGGTTTGTTTATGTGACGAACGTGTGCCTTTTTTGCAACATAAACGCGTTGAAACTAACCACATATAAAACATCATCGGTCACGTTTATGCGACAAGAGCTGTTATATTTCGTTACAGTGGTTGCTGAACAGTGTTCTGGTAAATTCAAAATGACCTACTGCCGTAAGAGAATAAAATACACAATCAACCACCTCTAGGTTCTTTTGCTGTGTATTTTTGATGCTGTTATAATACATGTATATTACGATAGTACGTCTTTTTGGATAGCTACTTAACGTGCTGCGGTTGAATTTGATCGACTGACAATGAATTAAACTGTTCATATTGTCATGGAATCTATTTCTCCAATTCTTTTTACTTTATATGATCAGCATGTTTCAGTCAAATAAGAGCTCTTTCCGTTTATCATACAAAGCAGTGATAATAGTTATGATTTAATTGTATTGTTGTATTGATATATATCCTCCTCCACCTCCTCTTCCTGTCATGGAACTACTAATACAACAACTACAACTGCTGCTGCGACTGCTACTGTGGCTGTTACTGCTTTTGCAACTGCTATTGCTACTGCTGCTGCTTTGCTGCTACTGCTGCTGCTACTGCTTCTACTACTACTGCTTCTACTACTGCTGCTGCTACTGCTACTACTACTACTGCTACTACTACTACTGCTGCTGCTGCTGCTGCTGCTGCTGCTACTGCTACTGCTACTACTGCTACTACTACTGCTTCTGCTACTGCTACTGCTACTACTACTGCTTCTGCTACTGCTACTGCTACTGCTACTACTACTGCCACTACTACTGCTACTACTACTACTGCTACTACTACTACTGCTGCTGCTTCTGCTACTGCTACTGCTACTACTACTGCTACTACTACTGCTACTACTACTGCTGCTGCTAATACTGCTGCTGCTTCCACTACTACTACTGCAGGTACTACTACTACAATTATTACTACTGTAACAATTACAACTACTTCTACAATTACTACTACTGCAACAACTACAACTATTGCTACAACTACTATTACTGCAATAACCAAAACTACTGCTACAATTACTACTACTGAAACAACTACAACTACTGCTACAATTACTAGTACTGCAATAACCAGAACTACTACTACAATTACTACTACTGCAATAACCAGAACTACTGCTACAATTACTACTTCTGCAACAGCTACAACTACTGCTACAATTACTACTACTGCAATAACCAGAACTACTGCTACAATTACTACTACTGTAACAACTACAACTACTACTTCTACTGCAACAGCTACAACTACTGCTACAATTACTACTACTGCAATAACCAGAACTACTGCTACAATTACTACTACTGCAACAACTACAACTACTACTTCTACTGCAACAGCTACAACTACTGCTACAATTACTACTACTGTAACAACTACAACTACTACTTCTACTGCAACAGCTACAACTACTGCTACAATTACTACTACTGCAATAACCAGAACTACTGCTACAATTACTACTACTGCAACAACTACAACTACTACTTCTACTGCAACAGCTACAACTACTGCTACAATTACTACTACTGCAACAACTACAACTACTGCTACAATTACTACTACTGCAACAACTACAACTACTGCTACAATTACTACTACTGCAACAACTACAACTACTGCTACAATTACTACTACTGCAACAACTACAACTACTGCTACAATTACTACTACTGCAATAACCACAACTACTGCTACAATTACTACTACTGCAACAGCTACAACTACTGCTACAATTACTACTACTGCAACAACTACAACTACTACTACAATTACTACTACTGCAATAAGCAGAACTACTGCTACAATTACTACTACTGCAATAAGCAGATCTACTGTTACAATTACTACTACTGCAACAACTACTGCTACAATTACTACTACTGTAACAACTACAACTACTTCTTCTACTGCAACAACTACAACTACTGCTACAATTACTACTACTGCAACAACTACTGCTACTGCTACAATTACTACTACTGCAACAACTACAACTACTGCTACAATTACTACTACTGTAACAACTACAATTACTGCTACAATTACTACTACTACTGCAACAACTACTGCTACAATTGCTACTACTGCAACAACTACAACTTCTGCTACAATTACTACTACTACTGCAACAACTACTGCTACAATTGCTACTACTGCAACAACTACAACTACTGCTACAATTACTACTACTGCAACAACTACAACTACTGCTACAATTACTACTACTGTAACAACTACTGCTACAATTGCTACTACTGCAACAACTACAACTTCTGCTACAATTACTACTACTGAAACAATCAGAACTACTACTACTGCTACTGGGACTTTTCTTGACGAAAATATTTCTCTTTTTTCAGGGTTAATAATTTCGTTATTCGTTGCAAGCCCAATTAAGTGTCCATGATAAAGGTCCTCGGACAGCTATATTCTACAAGAGCTCTATACTTTGTATACGGCATTACAATGCACTATTAATTAATTGGTGTGAGTTAAAGAAGAGCGGCAACAAAAAACAGAAAAATAAAAACATGGTATTCTTATATTGAATGAATTGTCGGTAAAACAGAAAAATAAAAACCCGGTATTCTTATATAGAATGAATTGTCGGTAAAACTTATCGTTATTACATATCAAACTATCACGGTAAAATGAATTGCTATGTGTTTGGCAGGTGCACAAAATCTGTCACCAGAGATGGTCGGGGCAGCTGGCAACAAAAGCGCATTCACCAGCAGTCTGTCGCTTTGCTCTGACCACGAAATAATGACATCTTATCAGTACCTTTTAATAAAAGACTGCTTAAATTTTTAATAGTTGAACTTTAAGGCTCATTAAGCTCCATGAATGTTTTTATTTCTCATGTAACAGTTTTTCACTTTTGGTGTACTTTTACAGTTTTCAAAATGTTACTCATTGGCCAATTATTTGAATCATATTTGCTTCTGTTGCGTTCTGGACATTAGTAAAGTTATAGTGATTAAGTATTTTCTATGGACGTCAAAATACTACTTTCTTACATGGTGCAACTTTTGTGACGAAGTATTTCACATTTAGCGCTACTTTCTTCAGTTAACAGTCATCTTACATGCTCTAAAACCGTTATTTAAATATTATACATGCAAAACCAATGCTTGCCCTTTCTAAAGAAGTAAAAATTTATTCTATTTAAGGCAAACTGTGCCTTTGATAACAAAACCTAGCCTTTCCCGATAATGCAAGCTCTCAAAGAAAACTACTTGTGACTGGGGAAAATGAAATGCCTGTCAAAGTCACGCATTATGTTTAAATCCATCGACATGATTTCAGAACATTACATGAAGAGGCAGATAAATTCCTTGCTACAGATGGTTTACGTTGTCAAAGAAACCAGAAAAGACGTTTTAGTTATATCGGATGACACTGATGGTTTCCTGTTGCTCTTGTGCCATTTTGCAGAACAAGCTCTTCGTGAACAAATTATTATGGAATCACTTGTTCAGGAGAGGGTTGTTAATGACGACAATGGAACAGACAAGACCAATGAATATATTTTATCAGATATTCTCAGTAAGCGGATGAAGTGTCAGGTTTTACACAACATCCGGGACTTTAAAAATAGGTAAAGGAATGTTTCTTAAAGTGTTTTAAGAACAGGAAATGCTCCCTTGCAATCAATTTGAAATATTTCTGCTGACTTTAAATCGATGTGACTTTAAATCGGTGTTATATCAGTGTACACGTTTTGTGTCCGCCTGATATGGTGTTCATGCAGACACATTTGTAGAATGTCAAATACTTGGCAACGTGTTTGGGCGTCACCTTCTGCTGCACCAAAGTCGTATACGTATAGACCGACAGAAGAATCTTTTCAAGAAACGTGAATAGAGCACATCTTCAAACATGCATTTAGAAAATGCATTGGTTTCAGATACTTCAGGTGTAGATCCAACCTTGTTCGGACGTTAAAGTGTGGAAATAAAAGGTTGTTCGCCTAAGTCATTTGCCTGAAAGGGTTTAAACTATTACCACCGGATTTTTGCAGATAATTAAATGTTCCTGCGAAAGTCAGGCGACTTGTCCTTTGCTGAGATGTCGATGTTACCTTTATGTGAGCCGCGTCACGACAAAACCAACATAATGGGTTTGCGACCAGCATGGATCCAGACCAGCCTGCGCATCCGCACAGTCTGATCAGGATCCATGCTGTTCGCTTACAAACCCTATACTGATAGCGAACAGCATGGATCCTGATCAGACTGCGCGGATGCGCAGGCTGGTCTGGATCCATGCTGGTCGCAAACCCATTATGTTGGTGTTGTCGTGACGCGACTCATATGACTGTCAGGCATGATTTTTATGCCTGTGAAGGCTGTATAATGTGTAACAATGAGCAAACATTTCTATTATTACTTGTAGATGAACATTGCTGCGTTTGACAGTATATCCAGTTATATTTTTTTGTGAAAACCAATAATCAGGTGGATAATGTTTATTGTATGGTCAATACTAATTCTAATCCCTGTATAATTATTTTGTGATTTGTTGTCGGTGTGATACTAAACATTTATAACATAACTATATACGGTTTAACAGACCATCATTTTTATTGACAAATTCACTTAAACCATGTTCATTGCTTTTTTGGGGTTTTTAAAAAAAAATTTGTCCTTACAAATTTCGGTCTTATAGTACCAACATTGCCAGAATTAAGTAATATTTATATGTATTAGGGACTCCTGAGAAATTCGAGCTGAAAATAAATAATGAAATGCGGACTGGTCTACAATGGGCACATTTTCCGTATTTCAAAAAAAACATTTGCACTGAAAAAAAACACAAAATAGAAATCTATCATTTGGATATTCCTATAAAATTCTGATTAAGTAGAACGACCGGACTTCCGTAACCTGACTGGATAGTTTCTTCAGATGTTAGACTCCAGTCTCTGTCGGGCGGGTTTGAACCTTCAACGGTAAAGGGTAATGAATTGAAGTCACCAACCTTAGTCAGTTGACCAAGGCTCGAAAGCCCATGGCGTAACACGTATGGGTATAAAATGTATCAATTATCCAAAAAAAGATATATGAAAACTTTAAATTTGTCACGGTCGTATTAAAAAGTGTATGTAATTTTATATTTTTGTTCATTAAACAACATGTGAAAATTCTACATAGTTCATATATCCACATGTATACATGTATCAACATTGTCTAAGTTTAGCATGTCATTTTTAATCTCTTCACCGGGAACTTCTCTATTTTAGACAGTATTCTGCCAGTGTTTAGTAATAAAATGTCAACAAACTTTGAAGACGAGTTCACAATGTTCAAATATGACTCTCAGTATCATTAAAATGCATTAATTGTCACTGTTTTATTTCATTTCACATTATCATTTTATTAAATTAAAATTAAACCTATGACCTTAATTTGAATAAAAAAATGACTGAAAGCTAAGGAATGCTTACTGGAGCGAAAACTTGTAAATTACATTATAATCAAAATCATCTTTGAAAAAAGAAAACATGACTTTTTTGTGTGTATATATACATTTCCAGTCTGTAAAGGTACATCAAAAATGTTGTGCTAATGGCACATGTTTTTTCATTCTTCTTGGCATATATACCATAAAATTGTGAGACATTAAAAACGCCAAATACACTATTACCACACTGGCCAGAAGCGGTGGGTACATCGCAGCCGCAGTGGAGTATTCGTTGCAAAAGCGGTGGATAAAAAATGGCCGTTGTCTGTTGTCGGTAAGTTAATTACTGAATTTTACTTTATGTTTTAATATTTTACTGGAAACACCTAGTCAGACGGAAGCCCACACATGTACTCTTCCAACTTATTACACGCACACAATGCAAACGCTTCTGTACATACCAAAATTCAAACTGTACAGAAGCTTTTGCATAAACGTCAATGAATTGCATCGAGTGCGTGTAATAAAAGTATTTTGCTGGGTTACAGCACGTCTAGTCACGTCCACCATACTCTCCAGATCTAGCCTCATGCAAATTTTTTCCTTTTCCCAAAACATAAAATATTCTTATCTGGTCGTCGACTCAAGTCCCGACAAACCCTTAGCTCAGCCGACCTCCGAGTCTACCTAAATCGACGTACCGTGCGACGCATTTCATAAATGGATTGTATATTTAAAACAGCGGAATAATTTGAAGGCGTGAAGTCAAATACTTTTGACATAGCGTACAATTGAACAACCCTCGTACAAATATATTAGAGTGAAACTGCATGTCCATATGACAAATGAAGTTACTTTTTTTACTTATAAAATGTCATTCTAAACAGGCCGACGTAAAATTGTCATTTGAGAACAAACGACTGTACATAAGTTTTCGTTTTTCTCTGTGAAATTTGTGTAACATCAGTAAATACCTTAATATATTGCGTGTACGCTTATTCATAAAACATTTTGTTCACAAACAACATCACATACATACATGTATTTTAATAACAATAAAAAGACATTAAGTTGTTTAGTACATCAAGCTATTTCGACAATACCATGGCGACAACTGTCATTTAGGAATAATATATTGGCAACAAACATATGTGTGTGTGTTTCTCAAATACAGCTTAATAAAAAAATATACGAGGATTTTACAATAATATACAGGTAACTCATATTTTTTAAATTTTTACCTGATTGATTTTCCCCCCCCCCCCCATTTATTTCCATTTTTCTCCTATGTACATGCATTTGTCTTTTTAATGCGACTAAACGAATATGCAGGTAAGCTGTTTTTAAAATGTTTTAATATAAGAGTATTTAAAGAAGTTTATTAAATTTAGCCTGCATTTAACATTTGTGACTTGAATTATGAGAACGTTATTCCTGTTGAGGTTTTTAGAGAATTTGTCAGTTGTAGCAATGAATTATGAATGGTACACGAAGCGTAACACCATCTCTCCCAGCAGTTTAAATTAGCATCAACGTTTATTTGTTACAAGATACAATTAATTACACTCAACCGAGACAAGATCTGTCAGTCACTGTTTCACAATTGCGATAAAACATTCATATGATATAAAACACCACTTTACGTTACTTATATATTGTATCGCTTTCTCTTCTTAGATTGGAAACAATGATGATTGCTTTCATTGGTGTGCTGATCTCTTGCTGCACGTGTGTTAACAGTATGGATATAATCATCAAAGCTCCGGCTGGTGATATGTTAGGTCGGACATCTAATGTATTCTTTGCCGGTCAGAGTTATACGATATCAAGTTTTCTTGGCATTCCGTTTGCAGAGTCAACACATGGACCAAGGCGCTTCGCGAAGCCTGTAAGGAAGGCTAAATTTACTGGGACATACAACGCTACCGAAGCGAAATTGTCGTGTCCACAAAATGTAAAGTGGGAGTATGGTCTGGAAAAGATACCAGTCGGCGAGGATTGTTTAAACTTGAACATTTTTGTGCCTGGTAAAAGGACCGATGACAAGCCAAAGGCAGTTATGATATTCATTTATGGAGGTGCATTTCAGTACGGTTTTCAGAATGCTTACATATCAACAGCTTTAGTAGCATTACATGACGTAATATATATCACATTTAATTATCGTGTTAGTGCTGGTGGATTCCTGGCAAGCAAGAAACATGGTCTTAAAGGTAACTATGGTCTATGGGATCAGCATATGGCCATACAATGGGTACATGATAATATTGCAGCATTTGGAGGCGATCCTACCAGAGTAACGCTCTTTGGTGAGTCGGCAGGGGCTGCGTCAGTCATTTATCAAGCTTTGTACAAAGGGAATGAGGGTCTCATTCAGCGCGTGATAGCACAGAGTGGTGCTGTCTGTACGTTCTGGTCATTTGAGAGATATCCAGATATATTGTTCAACGACTTAAGTGTTAAAAGTGGATGCCAAAGAAAAACGTTTGAAGAAACAATGAAATGCTTAAGGGCTATGGACATCGAAGCCAAGGAAAAACTTATCACATTTGAGGCTGACTTCTTACCAGTTCACGATGGAGAATTTATAAAATATAAACCTGAAGATATCTTTATCAAAAGAACACCCGAGTCAGCTAGTACGTTACGACGTTTTGCAAATATGGATATTATCATTGGGTTAAACAGTGATGACGGATTAACAGAGCTCGAGTCCTTGGCGCGAATGTTAGGAGACAATTTGGATACATTTCTGAACGGTATGACGGAAGAACAGCTAGACAGATATACGGATAAGCTGTTTAAAGAAATGAACCAGACACGAAATGATATTTTAGTAAAGTCGGTTTTACACGAGTATACCGATTGGTCAGTACCTAGAAGTGACGTCACACGACGTTCTTTGTTTCTTAATCTATTAAAAGACGTACATTTCACAGACTCTACAATGCAAACAGTGAATGCATATGTTAGCGTTGCGTCTCATAGAAATGCATATATGTACCATTTTGATCATAGACCAAGTTTTTCACATTCCCCAAAGTGGGTAACTGGAGCTGACCATACTGAGGAAATTCCGTTTGTTTTAGGATTTCCGAGATTCTATATGTACCTGTTTGGAAAGTTTTATGACGATCCGCCATTACACGTCCCACAAAATGAGCTGTATTTGTCAAAAGAAATCATGAAATACTGGACAAAGTTTGCAAAGACTGGGTAAGTAGTATCATATATTTTTCTTAATTTATGTGTATTACCACATCTGTTTCGCTCTTAAACATATGGAATATGAATTGTACGCTTTTTTGAAAGACGAGATTCGTGCTTTCCACAACACCGTCTACATGTATATGATTTAGTACTGACTACGTCGCAGTACCCCCGTACGTTATTCTTAAAGCAGCACGCTTCCAGATTCATGTAAATTTTCATGAAAATTTTGGAAGTGTATTTAAAAGTAAAATATTGTGAGGTGAACAAATAAAGTAATATTGCATATTGCAATCGGCACTTACAATCCAAGAAAATTACCAAAAAGTGGACCACATGTGCAAAAACAGCCCTTACTGCTTAATTACGCAGTAAAAATATGGTAATAAAATACAGCAAAAAGTCTTGAACTGCACATAACATGTAAAATTTAACTTGGATCTTGAATGTTTTTACCTTTCTTAAAATGTTAGTACATTTTTCTCAATATTGATTTTCTTGAAATATTTTGGCTCATCTGGAGGCGTGCAGCTTTAACACTTACAACGCTATGAAAATATTTTAAATGAACTTGTCCATCTTTTAATATAGAAAAAAAAACCAGTATGAGATAAATATTCAAAATATAGACTGACTGAATAGCGAAGAACGGTGCAGACCATGATCAAACGGCCCTTATGTGCAGGTTGACAGGCACTGGACGCATGAGTAGGTTCTGTTACCGTTAGCAGGCTTAGAGTTAAGAAAACGCTTACTTTTTCTGATGTTCGAAAACGTTAAGCAACGAAAGATGAATTCGAGGGGATTGTTGCTAAAATTTTTTAATGTAATTCATTTTTTTATGTTTTGTGTGTAACAACCGTTCGCTCAAAGCCTTTGTATTGTAAAACTTTTAATATATTCACTCTCTAAAAGTTGACGAATGCAAATTTATGCAAAACTGTAAAAAACTGACACGTGTCAACTTTTCATACAAATGTATTTATTATTAACATTTACAACAAATTATATTTTCAGGAGTCCTAATAACCCTGATGAAGTTTCCAGTGTTAGCTGGCCCGAGTATACAGCTAAGAACCGGACATTTCTTATTCTTAAAGCAGACGACAATCTGTTTCAAACAGGAAGCTTTTTCAGAGACAAGTATGTGAAATATTGGAATGAAGTTTTCCCGAAGCTCCTGAGCTTACTTCAGACAAAAACGCAAATTGTTGAATCTAAGGAATGTTTTAGTGCCAGTACTGCGGACAATAATTCTGCCTCTTCGCAATGTGTTGGTACATCAGTTATGTATACTTTACTGGTGTTTTTATTTATACATGTATGTCTATCTTCAAATGAATAAAATTATTACTTATCTTATGATGTATAAAATATTATGACACAATATTTCATAGCATTAGTTTTCGGGTTTTGTTTAATTTGATATATTCTTACTTAGTGTTTAGAAAAGGAAACAAAAAAAGTTAAAAATTAGATGGTGTTTTTATTTCCTTGCTTCTCAAATGCCTGTACAACTTGCAAGTAACTTTTAGAAAATAATTTTATCACATGAGGCCACTAATTTCCCATATAATACAACCATTAGTTTTTTTTCTTTTTATTCCAATGAACCTCAAATGTTTGCACCATGTGTTTACCAAATATGAAGCATTATTGGATCTCTTTCATCAATTTAGCCTCGTTTTTATTTTACGAGTACAAATATTCCATATCAGATCACTATTGCACTCCATCCAGCCTTTTTTTCGAGTCCAAAAATCCATACAAATCACTATTTGTATACCGTCTGAACTAAAAGAAATCATTAACAAATCCTAAATGTATTTGAAGTAAAAAAGTTTTTTTAAATTGTCAAGAAAATGGTGCCGTGATATTATTATAGAAATTAATAGTTAGTACAATACTGATTCTGATGGACCCGATACAGCTGCAAAACGTATATAAGAGTCGTCTAGCGTCTTTGTAGATTTGACAGCAGTGTACATGTACTTGTCAAATACAATGTAGAATTCATTATTGTACTCAACAATGTATAGCTTTGTAAAATGACATGGCAGTAGATGTGAGATCCTATATATAATGTCTTGTAACCTATTTTCAGACGTTACTTTTAACTGGAACGCTTTTATAATAATGGTCAATGCAAATAAAGTTTAGCTGAAAACTAAAACATAATATTAGCAGACCAAGCAATTCATACAGATACATGTATATTTTTTCAACTCAACTATTCAATGGTGTCTTGTGTTCATGTACACTTAGCCAATTAGACAAACTTTTCAAAGATCTGTCGCACGATATTCATTGGTCAGTGTACATTAAGTGTCGATTTCTGATCAATCAAATACCTGAACATTGGAAATGTCATTTTTCCTCAGACACGTTTTTTTATACATTTGAGAACGATATATGGTTCAAGTTTCAATATAGATTAACAATTTCAGGGGCGCCAGTTTAGATTTCCAGTATCCCCGAGTTTATATAAAACTTTGCATTTGATTAATTACATTATCTGTAAGAAAATCTAAAAATCAATTAAATAGATGTAAAAACATGTATGAATTTCTTGATTTATTTTTGTTTGGTTTGTTCGAATTATTTATAAGCTTTAATATTGTTTTTGTCATCATGAAATATTTCTAAAAATGTTCTTTTCTCTGACCTCCACCCATGCTTGAAATTTGAAGCGTCCGTTTGCCGATCAATGTACAGTGTAATCATACATGTATAATTTCAAAATTTAACTTGCTTGTGTCATACTTTCTGACTCACAGACACTTGGGGTTTGGAGCTCAAAACGCCTTTAAAATCCAAATAAAATGCATATTTGTCAATCCCAGCACATGTACTGATCATATATATCAAAAAAACTTAATATAAGCCGTTTTGAAAAAAAATCATATTTCAACATCTATAATAATACACAAGATAAAAATGTTCGCCGGAAAAAATCCGCACCCCTACCGTCATAATCACCATGTATTTTAATCCATTTCCAATATTTTCACATAATCCTTTGGTCCATCGACACAGAAGATATAATTCTTCACGATGATGGTTAATTTTAAACTTCAACGGTAATATAAACAACGCAACAGCCGAAATAAACATCAATATTCTCGCCGTTTTTTTTCAACGACAAAAACTTTCGATAAATTCAATGGACCATACGGCTATGAACGAAGCTATCCGATTATGTGGCCCCAGCTTTGCCGTGTGCAAAATGCGCAGCGCTTTTAAGTTTGGGAACCACATAATCGGATAGCTTCAGTCATAGCCGTCTGGTCCATTGAATTTATCGAAAGTTTTTGTCGTTGAAAAAATACGGCGAGAATATTGATGTTTATTTCGGCTGTTGCGTTGTTTATATTACCGTTGAAGTTTAAAATTGACCATCATCGTGAAGAATTATATCTTCTGTGTCGATGGACCAAAGGATTATGTGAAAATATTGGAATGGATTAAAATACATTGTGATTATGACGGTAGGGGTGCGGATTTTTTCCGGCGAACATTTTTATCTTGTGTATTATTATAGATGTTGAAATATGATTTTTTTTCAAAACGGCATATATTAAGATTTTTTGATATATATGATCAGTACTTGTCCTGGGATTGACAAATATGCATTTTATTTGGATTTTAAAGGCGTTTTGAGCTCCAAATCCCAAGCGTCTGTGTTCTGACTTAGTTCGAATCAATTAAATATGATAGATTCCTACTCTGACCTTTTATTTGAATAACAATAGATTTTAACATGTGCTCTTTTTGTTAATAAATGTGTTGTAGTGAATCTTTTATTGTATCAAGTAATCTGATAATTAGAATGATCTATATGCATGGGCGGGGTGCTTATAAAAAGGGAATCAACTATGTTTCTCCATCCTCCTAATCATACTAGTTTTGTCCCTTTGTAGTTCATACTAACACACTCTATACTTGAGAAGCAAAATACGATCACTAGCCTAAAACCAAAATAAAATTTAAGGTATTCATATAGAAGCTGAACGGTCTATTTATTTGTGCGTTTCCTTAACTTAGATTTTTGGCAAGTTGTATATCATACTTTAACTAATTTCAAACTCTTTAGTCTATTTTTCAATTATTAATCTTAAAATAAATAAACAACACAAAATAGCTTGCAGTAATGTACGTAATTTGTAATGTAAAACTTTCATGAAATGATATTAATAATAACTTTGAGATATGACCTAGCAGTGTAAAAACGCCATCTTATAAGTTACATATGTTATTTCAGCCTAACAATTATCTAATATCCATGCGTTTGAATAAAACAAACGTGTAGCATTAATTTTAAAAATGAATATTACACTGTAATTTGAAAAAAGTAAAATGTTGCCTTTAAATGCCTCGACACGAGAAAGAATGAAAAATGAAAAATGCCTTTGTATAAACAGTAAAAAAACTACTTTATACTCCGATGGTTTATCGTGTCATCTACCAAACTACACGGTTTATGCACTCCCTAACTTCAAAACATTCAATATATGAAGTGTTTTTATGTGTTAATTTTAGTGAATTTTTATGGGTGAAAATAAAATGGAGGTTAATCACATTTTCATAGCTTTGTGTTTATTTTTATGCATAAACAAGGTCGAAAGTGAAGATGTTATTGTATCGGCTCCTGCCGGACCAATTAGAGGAGAATTTACATCTGTACAATTTAATGGACAACCATACAAAATATCAACGTTCCTCGGAATACCATATGCAAAATCAACTGCCGGACAAGGACGATTTGCAAAACCTGTTAAACGTGAAAGATTTACTTCAGTATTTAATGCAACTGAAATGGCACCTTCTTGTCCACAAAACTTAGACTGGGGACCTGGACTTGACCAGCTAACAGTGAGCGAAGAGTGTTTAAGTCTTAACATTTTTGCCGGAGCCTCACGTAGTGAATTAAAGGCGGTTATGATATTTATCTATGGAGGAGGGTTTCAGTTCGGATTTCAAGACTCATACATAGCATCTGCTTTAACAGCTTTGCATGATATTGTTTATGTAACTATGAATTACAGGGTAGGTATTTATGGGTTCTTGGCCAATAAAAAGCATGGATTGAAAGGAAACTATGGCTTGTGGGATCAACATATGGCTATACAGTGGGTCCATGATAATATTGCAGCATTTGGTGGTGATCCTGGAAATGTAACAGTGTTTGGGGAGTCCGCTGGGGCTATTGCAGCCATGTACCAGGCTTTGTACAAAGGCAATAAGGGTATTGTCCACCGTGTAATTGCTCAGAGCGGGGCCGTTGGTTCAGATTTCGGCTTTAGCAGGTATCCAGATTTATCATTTGAAGATCTAAGTCGACGAATTAATTGCAAAAAGGCATCATTTGAACAAACAATTGCGTGTCTTCGAGATAAGAGTATTGATGACTTTGAGAGTTTGATAAAATTTGAAGATATTTACTCGCCGGTGCAAGACGGAGAATTCATCGACTATGACCCAGAAATTGGCTTTAAGAACATGACTAAGTCTTCACCTGATGTCATTAATACCTTCGCTGATGTTGACGTTATTATTGGGATAAATAGTGACGAGGGGTTATTAGAAATAAATACCCTCATGAAAATGTTGGAAGACAAAGATTCAAATTTTACAAATGGAGTTACGGAAGAAGTATTCAATACTTATGTTTATAAATTTCTTGAAAATATAAACAAAACCAGAGATGTGCGTATCTTGAAATCAATCAAGCATCAATATAATGACTGGAACGCCATAATTAGTGACGATTCTCGTCGTGCAATGCTTTTAACATTACTAAAAGATTTCTTTTACACGGCGCCTGCAATCCAGGCTTTGCGTGCACATTTGACTAAAAGCACGCGCGGCAATACTTACATGTATTACTTTGACCACAAACCAAGCTTTTCGAGCTCTCCTAATTGGGTTAAAGGTGCCGATCATACAGAAGAAATACCATTTGTCTTTGGCTTCCCGAGTATATTTATGTTTGTTTACGGGATATATTCTGAAGACCCTGCCAAAGAAATTCCGGTGGATGAGGTCAATCTATCGAAAGCTATGATGAAATATTGGTCGCAATTTGCTAAAACTGGGTAAGACTCATTCAAACATTTGTTTAAAACATTATTATCTTTTATATATTTTCCTCTAGCGTATTGATAACCTGCGAAAACGTTACATTTATACGCATAATCCGTAAAAACAAGTACATGTATAACTTTCATAAAAATATTTTTTTTTTCTGTGTTAAATTCATTTTCTTTTTCTGTATTAACCGACAGAAATCCGAATAATCCCGATGACTTTTCACTAGTCCATTGGCCACAGTACAACAAGACAGATCAAGGATATCTAACTTTAAGAGGTGACGGGAACATGGTTCATAATGGAAATCAGTTCTTGAATGCATTCAACTATTGGACAGAGATATTTCCAGACTTGACACAAGCGGTTGAAGCAGTCGAGAAAAAAGAAGAAAGATCGTCTGATTGTTATGCAAGTGCAGCAGGTGTAGTGTCCCTTCAAGCAGCATGGGCAACACTATCACTTTCTATATCAATATCATTAACGATATTCATGTGATGAATGAAATGATTCACAGTAAATTGATAATTGCTTGGTTAATGCAAGGTGCTTGAGAGATGTTGCATTTTTTACGTTATGGACATAATCAAATCTTGAGTCTGCAATAATTATATGAGCCGTGTCATGACAAAACCAACATAATGGGTTTGCGACCAGCATGGATCCAGACCAGCCTGCGCATCCGCGCAGTCTGATCAGGATCCATGCTGTTCGCTATCAGTTTCTCTACTTTTAATAGGGTTTATAAGCGAACAGCATGGATCCTGATCAGACTGCGCGGATGCGCAGGCTGGTCTGGATCCATGCTGGTCGCAAACCCATTATGTTGGTTTTGTCATGACGCGGCTCAATTATAATGATTGATGTTTTCATTGCATCCGATGTATCTCAGATTTTGTTATTTTGTATAATTAAATTTATTATTTTAGTTCGCCAATATATATTACCTACAAGGTATAAGAATAATGATTGTATAAGTTTGACTGTTTATACGTAAAATATTAAATGCTTCAGAACATATATGTAATATATAAAAGCCGATCTATCTTACTTTTGTCGACTATTTTTTACAATAAAATATTTGTCTACCTAAACAAGTTTATTGATTTTACTTTGTGTACTTAAAAGTAATAAATCTACGTTATTAACATACTTGAATATTCAATTGAATTAAGATCAAATCTAAAATACAAATGTAATGCAATTTATTTTTGTGATGTTCAAATATCCCGTTTCCGAAAATTAAAAAATTCAACATTTTGGTAAAAAGTTTATTCAGTCTAAATCGACAAATTATCAAGAAGCCACCAATACCCCCTATCCTTCTTTTTTTTGGCCATAACTCATTTATAATATGCATTATGTGACCCAACCCTTTCAATAAAAGAACCAAGATCCGAGAGGATCCCGGGGCAAGAATTTTACAGTACCTCACATCATTCAGACGCATTCGGAACTGCCTCGGCTATTATCTATAATCCGAAGACTGACGGAAAGGGTCGAGTAGTTGCGAATGCATTCAGACGTTAATGGATACGTAAGACGACGTAATATAACCGTCATACTTTAGTGTTGCCTCCGATAAGTCAAATATTCCTTTGTGAGGACAAACTTGTTAAATCCATGTGTCACATGTATGGAACATGGAATTTTTAGAATGTAGAAGAATGCCGCCTATATTCAAACAAGCGTATGAATTATTTTATTTAACTCTTGTTAACAAGTTGGCATTTGGACATTCACGGACCGGTGGACTATCATAAAATATTCTTCTCAGAAGTCATTGTAATTACTAATATTTTAGTATTTCGTGTAAAATCATGCCACTGCTTAATCCTCTTTTTTATCAATGGAAATTTCAAGAACTGTACGAGTAAGTGGTGTTTGAAAAAACGTTGCGCTCGTGATCAGAAATCATTACAATGAACCTTTGTACGTACAAGTGAATGTAGTTGTACACATCAGCAAAGTTGTGTCATTTCTAATTGTCACGGTTCAGAACTGTTCACTATTTAGGGGAAGAAGAAGAGTAAGCGGCCGGATAGCTCATCGGTCGAGCCGCGGTACGGTATTTCGAGAGTCCCGGGTTCGAGCCCCGGTCAGGCTGTACATTTTTCTAACCCTGTGACATTTGGCGCCGAACGTGGGGCCGTGACTGATCTAGCTCAGAGTTTAATTTACATTGCTCTGTAACTCTGTGAAATTCGAGGACGAATTTCAAAATAGCAGGGGAGTATGTCACGGTTCAGATATGTTCACTATTTAGGGCAGAAGATGTGTAAGCGGCCGGATAGCTCAGTCGGTCGATCCGCGGTACGGTATTCCGAGGGTCCCGGGTTCGTGCACATTTTTCTCACCCTGTGACATGAGTTTTGGTGCAGAATTGTTCCAAATAAAAGAAATCTTATGAAGAGAACACGTGAGAATGCGAACAATGTAATAGTTATAGTGTATGACGTGTATGAAACGAGTGCAAAATCGAGGGATGTTTCTGTCAAAAAATGGCGAGGTCGTAAACCGAGACAATATTTTGCAGAACATCCATAGATGTCGCCTTAGCCAGTGTTATATCCCCGTAACTATACGAGTTTCATATATTATAACTGTTTATCGCAATTTCGTAATTTTTTTTCGCAACAGAAGTCAGCGTGAAAAAATCTATGTGCACTTTGGTCTCATGTTCCCCTTTCTCTCTAGTTTCAAATGGAAACCTTAGATAAAATGAACAAATACCGTAAGCAACCTTACATATAAAAAATAATAAGGCAGTTGTTTGAAGTTGTTCTCGCTGTCATAAAGAAGAATAAAGCAACATTTACGACCCTTGCAAACTTAAGGACATCTAATGTTAAAGACGGATTGAGAAAGTAATGTTGAATAAATATTTAAGGGCTTTTTTCATTGGAAATAATTCATTTAGCGGATGTAACTTCAAATTTAGCAGTTGTATATTAGAGAATAAATTTCATTTCATTAATTATCCTTGTTTATATCATTTATTTATTGTTATATTTTTTGCTGATCTATACAAGTGCAAAAAATCCCAACTGTTATAATATCTGTTGAGTCTTTTCTCTATATGAATCAAAATGAAAAAAAAAACTGCACTGTTATATATATGTACAATTTTCAAATCCTCATCGAAAGTGTACTGAATATAATGGGTTAGTAAGAACGAAGAAAAAGTTCGAAACCATGCGATAAGTTCTCAAGGCAGCATTTGAACATGATTTCTAAAAACGCGTCTCAAATTGTTTGCTATTCGTTTGGACTGTCGTTCAACCTCATTCCATAATTCCAGTAACCTTGTTTTAATTTAGTTATGTTCAATTGCGATTAATGCTCAACAAAAATTTTTTTTATTAAATTACCTGGTAACACACTGATATTTATCCACTTAAAGAAATGTTTTCATCAATTTACAGGTAGGGTGTCTGGGACCTGAAATCAATAAGGACTCTTGGGATCCGGGATCGTATTAGATAATACAGAAGAGCACTCGTGATAAAGAAGTGGAAGTGTACAGGACAATATAAGCAATAAAAAGTATTTAAAATAATGAAGTGTAAAAACAAAATGGAATGTACATATAAAACTGGTTTTAAAACAACAGGTCTTCATGTTAATATGTTTAAATATGGTCACACCCTGTTAAAATTTTCAATGGCTGGGACTTGCACACGTGAGAGGTACATGTAGTATTTAATTAAGATTGTGCATTTAAATAACGAATACTACAGAATAAGGATACGTATGTTTTGTTTGTCCGTCTGTCTGCCTGTCTGTCTGGGGCTTTAGCATTTGGCGGTAGGGGGTATAGCAACCAGCCCATTCATTATTTTGTAAGACATAATGAGCCGCAGCACCAGCTTGCTGCAAGACCACTTCAATTTCGTAAATATTTCGTTACGTGTGAAAACTCCAGACACTGCTAACATATTCCAGGTCTTACAGAAGCTTTGTTATCTTATTCCCGAACCTTGGGATTTTTGCGATATAGTATGTTCAAGAGTTCGGTAACCAATTAATAATGGATGTGACCTGATTTGGATGCTTCTATAAATTCCTTGATCTGTGTAAATAGTGACAACAATGTATCTGGCATCTGAAACTGGTTTTAGAATTTTGTTATGGAGAAGGATTTGAGATTTCAAAAATTGCTGGAACTTTGCTTGTTGAGTCCCCCCCCCCCCATTTATATAGTGCTCAATACAAATACAAAAAATTGAATCAAAATAAAGATCAATTTAAAAAAAAACAAAACAAATTTTTTGATGAACTGTCCATATCTTGTAAAGAAATAGTAAAAACTGTTCTAAAAATTATTTTATTAAGTTAATATCAGAGACCATTTATATACCATATCGGTATCTGTTAATTTTGAATATTAATGCTAAAACTGTGAAGGTATACAATTGATTTTTTTCTTCAAATTTCAAATTCAAGCAGCTGTGTTACATATGACCTATTTTTTTTATGTGAAACCATGCTGTAGATCATATAAAATATTGTTAACCGAAAATGTTTGGCGATTATATACTGCAGTATAACTTACAAAGAGCGCATGTTAACGACTCAGGTCAGGGATTACTAACTATATCATGGGTATGTGTATATGTATCAATAACAGTTTAAAACTAAGATAAGATAAGATAAGATAAGATAGATAAGATAAGATAAGATAAGATAAGATAATCTTTATTTAAAGTCGGTTTCATAAAAACATATAAACATTAGCTATATAAGCTATTTTCCGACAAAACTTATTATCCTATAACAATTCAAACAAACAATCTGTATAAAAGAAAATATATAAAAGTATTAAGAAGATCAATGTACATTTATGAAAGACTCTGTAAAACAGTTAAGATTTATCAGCACATATAAATATGGGTAAGAAAGCATTAAATGATTAAAAGCAAATATACATTACAATCAAACATCACATAAAATTACATCATACAAGAGTTCTATTTATGTACACAACCCTAAAATCAGAAAAAGGATTAGAATTTTTTAAAAATTTAAATTTTTTAAAATAAATTTAAGTAAATGATTCAATTTTATTTTATTTAATTTTATTTTATTATTATCTAGTATAGTTAACACAATCCTGGCATCCCCGACCTATAATTACGAAATTATCTTCCTTTGTCATTGCCATGGAGATAAATATAAGATTTGTTTATATATCTATGTCATTGCTTTTCAAAATTGTCTTTGGGTCAATTACAAACTTAATTTAGTTAAAATCCTTTGGGTTCAATTACTGGAATTTTTCAAAATGGCGACCATTTGTTGACAGTTACCTGTCCGTGGATTAATTTCCAGTCTTTCATACCAGTTGTTGCTTCAGCACGGAGATAACTATGTAATTATGTGAGTATTTAAAGTATCTTTCTATATTTGAACGAAATACAACACTTTTTGTTGTCAATTTTCCAAAATTACCTGTTGAATTTAAGAGAACAAGTCTGGACAAAACGCTGAATTTTTTAGAACTTATGTAGACGACTTTTTTAAATGTGTTAAAACATCTATAATTTCAAAATTAGGATTCGTGCAAGCTAACACTGAAATAATCTTTATGCTTCACTTTTATTGATTTTGCTACAGAAGTTATAATTTCTTTACAGGACTTCTTGACGAAGTTGAAATTCAAGAATTACCGTCGATAATTTTGTCTGGAATCAGAAAATCACACTGATTTCCTTATTTTTCGAAATGCATTATTTACAACAATTAGGTAAAATGGCACATGTTTTGTAAATCAGACAGATACATTGTATAGATACAACCAAAACCATTAAAATAATATGAAATTAGGCAAAGCCTATGAATGGGGAAGGCGTTAAAAATTCCTTTCATTTTTTCCGATTTAAAGGTGTCATTCGGTATTACATGCACCGCTTTCGTTTTCATTTGGAACACTCCACGATTATCATTTATCCGAAAAGTTGAGATTTGTTCCGTTATCGGAATACCCCGCCTATTATCATTGAGTTACATTGTAAATGGTGGCGCCGAACTAGAACTGACACTGAAAATTTCATTGATAGGTATAGAATTCTACATATTTTTTAATTGCTTTTTTATTTGATTTTCTTTTAAATATACACATGTAGTCTATAACCGGGCAAGACAAAGCCTGGACCCGCTTCGCGGGCCCGGTCTTTGACTTCCCTGTATAAATAATTAAAAAAATTGTCACAATTAGGGTTTCTTAATCGGACAAAAATCATATTCGATCATCGAAAATAATCGAACAACCCTTTTCGATCAATCATTGATTATATAATCGAAACATTAACAATAACAATAACAAAGTAAATATGTACAATGTTCATATCATGCTTTAATATTTATAAGAATTCCATTTCCATGCATGTAACCACCACTTTATCAACTGAAATAAATAAGTTTAAAGATATACTATGCTCATCCTTGCGTAAAGTATTTTTATCAAATAAATTCATTAAAATCTATGAAATTATTATGTGTCACTTTTCAAAAAAAAAACAATGAATAAACTATGTATGGGAATAAGTTAAGTTGGTCCTTTCTTTACAAAACTGCCATTTTTTAATGACACTAAATATTGATATTGCAACCACCTTTAGTGTGTAGAATAATTTTTATAACATATCTTCTTTGTGTGAAGTCAAAACATATTTATTTTATATTTACAAAAAGACTGAGTAGCAATTTTAAATATTTTCTAATGTTAAATTTGAGCATAGTATACCTTTAAACTAGCATGCCTCACTGTCAACTATTAACTCCATGGTCACCAGTATACTTTCATATTCAATTGAATGAAAATTATTGTTTCAACCAAAACTGGCTTTAATTTAGTGTTTTTATAATACAGTGAGTCACTTAAGTAACAGCAAGAAAATAAATTACCGATAATCGATTATTAAACTTTGTAATCGATCATCGCTGATCGGTTCTATAAACGATCAATTTTCGATTATACTCGATCATCGTTTAATCCCTAGTCACAAATATGCCCACTCGAACGATGGTCATTATGATAATGTAGGTGGTCTATAGATCACTTTCAGTTTCACATCCTGGTATAAAGCGACACACTGATTGGCTTATGATAATTATATTTCTGATAATGGGAGCCGAGGTTACAGACTTTCTATATGACATGTGAATAAACATTAATTGGGGTCCTTAGCAGTGTTAAATGTAGGACCTTTGATTGGGACTTGACTTTCTCAGCACATTTGACTTATATAATAATCATTGATATAATATATCAGGGCTCAGCTACATTGGCTTTACATAAAGATCTGTACATGCGGTAAGTAAAAATACAGGGCAAAGACGTAAACACTTGATGTTCAAACTTGGCGAAGTTCAGAAACATTAGGTGACTTAGTGAAGTTAGTCACTGAAATCACTCAGATGCTATGGAGAGCCCTTATAATTGAAAGAATTTAGATTAAAATGCCATTGATACTACACTATTATAAAATATGGTAATAATAATTAGTGCTCGCCAATTTTTTTAAGCCAATCACCGACGAGGATTTTTCAAATTTTCAGGTTTCAAATCTTAATAGAACAGATTTTATATAAACTGGACGTTTTATATTATAAAACGCAAGTGGGCGGAGCACTAAGCCGGTAAGAGTGCATATTGGATGTTCTTCGTAAATAAGAAAGCTACAGTCGCTTCGCAAGCTCCGCTCCTTTTTAGCTTTCTTATTTACGAAGAACACCCAATATGCACTCTAACCTATACATAAAACCTAATTTCTGGCATTCTTTATAATTACAGAGCAAGATTATGTCAGTACAGTGTTGAGAACATAACACAACAAAGAGTTGAACAGAAAGTTTAACTTGCAGTTTAGTCTGTGGGTGCGTATTATCTAGATACAGTAATCAAGATGATGATAAACGACCAACTAATCCTCGAGGAGGATTACGATGAAAACTATGTTCCCCCTGAGGATGAGATTTGTGAATATGCCCAGTGTATTGGTATTGACCCTGATCTGGAACCACATTTGCTATGGATTGCTAGAGAAGGCATCAATGCTCCCCTCCCTGAAAATTGGAAACCTTGGTATGTTTGTATTTTTATGTCAGCAAAATTATAAATTTGCACTGTGTAGTTACATTAAGTACTGTGCGAATGTATAAAAAGACTAAGTTAAAGAATTATTTAACACACTGTTAGTTTCTTCAAGATAAATTATACTAAATTTGCTCAGATTTTGATTGTTATATTTTTTTTATTCTAGTAGAAAAGTAACTGTTGTCCTACTTTACATAGTGATTTTAGTGCTCTGTCATTTGTCACTTAGGCATGCTGGCCTTCGTCATTATAATTGTTTATCTAAATTGGAACTCAAATCATTTTTTTGTTTTGGAACAACACACCCAAAATTGTTATCTTTTTTTCCTCATTTTTGATTTGATGTAATTGATATATTTATGTGTTTATGATAATACAGTCAAGATCCAAATGGTGATATTTACTACTTCAACTTTGCCTCTGGTGAGAGTATATGGGATCATCCATGTGATGAGTTCTATAAAAAGATGGTAACTGAAGAAAGAAGGAAAGTTAACCTGTCACAAAAACAAGGTAATTATAATTTTATTGGGTTGTCAATAATTAGGTTGATCTTTAACTGCTGTGGATTTAAATCCTGCCAAAGTACATTGTATTGAAAATATTGCTGTTTAAAAGCAGACTCCTAGAGCGTGTTTGTTCTACGTTTACCATTTTGAAGTGCTAGTTCTGATTCATGTTTTAAGTAAAGCACTTTGACTTAGGGCCATCCCTCACCCTGGGGCAATAGGCAGGGTTTTCATTTTTATCTGAGGCAACAGGTGTGTCAAAGAAAACAACCGATTTGGCCAAGGGTCAAGGGGGATATTTTAATCTACAAAGTGAAAATGAACCAATTTTAAGGTATTAGGACCCTAATGGGCACTATCAGGAACTAAAGAATTTACATCATAGGTCAGATGTATACCTTAAAGTACACCTGTATGCAAAATTTAAACAAAGTTTACCGTACGGAAATCAAGTTATGGCCACTTTTCTGAATTCAAGCTAGGAAGTTATGAGGGCCCTTTTTTTTAGAAATGAGGAACCTTTAAATAATCTGCAATAACATTCTAATGAAAAATGTTTTCCCATGAATTTTTGGTAAGAAACAAATAGTACCATTCAGCTAACAATCCACATAAGCAAAATTATGGTTTCTACTTAAAATTTATGAAATCTGTATAAAAATGTTACCCTACCCCACCCATTTTTACCACATGTCTGACCATTTTTCTACTTAGGGAGGCTAATTAAAAAAATTCTTAAAATTTACCCAAATGAGTGCCTGTTTTAAAAGTTTCCCTAAATTTTTAAAAAAGTATATTGGTTGATCTTGTGAAATATGAAATACTTTTACCGTCTAGTTTTGATTATATTACACTTTGAAAATATCAGGTACCATATTTATTACTAGATTTAGCATAATTTAGCCAATAAATACCTATATAAATTAAAAATTCAAAATTAAACACTTTTTTCTTTCCATATGGGACATGAGAGATACATAAATAATGTTAAAAGAAAAAAAGAAAGAAAAAAAAAGTTGACCCTTCTGGGGATTGAACCCATGGCCCTCATTTTCAATGTAGTTAACAGTAATTCTAGCCTATTAGAATACTCTTCAAAGCGGAGGTAATGCATTAGGGTGCTAATACCTTAACAGCAATTTAAGCGATGATATGGTTCGCCAATATATATGTTAATAATAAAACCCACTGAGTAAGGGTCGTCCTTACTTATAAAAAATGCTGTTATTTAAATGCTGTTTGTGTACATTACACAGGTATGCATTTCTTACATTAGGTAACTGTGTTGCAGTTGGCATTTAATCTTTAAAATGTTGAATTATTGACCTTTACAGATGCTTAGATGCAATGTATATATGTCCTTATTTTATGAGAATGCCTTCAGTGCAAGTCCTAATGTGAAAAAGCTGGATTCTAAATTAATAATGATATGAACTTAATTTTGTAGGTGGAATGGCAAAAAGAAAAGGAAAACCAGGAAAAGATGATACAAAAAAGAAAAAAGACAAACTATCACCAGAAAAGGTATTTGAAAGAGCTTTTGTAAACATAATAATAGTTGGTAAAAATAGGTGTTGATATTTTGTTTCTGAAGGAACCACAAAATGTCATTGTAATGATAATGTAATACATGATATGTTTCCATATAGTAAAAAATGATTGTTTCCTTATCACGGAACTCTTGTTTGGCAAAATCTTTGCCAGGACATTGGGGCCCTTTATTTTGTAAGTTTAAAATAGTATTTTTCCCTCTATTCCAATAAAATTAACCTTAAAATCAAAATGAGAGATATAGATTGCATTGATCAGTTTTGTTACTAACACTGTAAACAAACATGACATTTTAGAGACTTAAAATAATCATCAAATCATGAAGCAGCTAAGGTTTTAATTACAAAGTAACAAATAAAATAATTTCATTTCCAGCAACTTGGACCTTTAAAGGCTGAGCAGAGTTTAGGTACTCCAGCTATGCATAAACAACTAGGCATGGATCAAAACAAGATGTCTGGGGGTCAGATGTCTGGGGGTCAGATGGGGTTATCTGGTGGACAGTTAGGACCATTACGGGGATCTGCAGGAGTCAGTGGACCAGTGAGTGCTACTTTTATTAAATCATTGATCTAGCTGGACTGTGTGTAAACAGTAACAGACTTACAGTGCTTTGAATTTAAAACAAGTCATTCTAGAGGGATTAAATGGTGAATTTAACCCTTAATCTGCTGGAACCAAAAGTGGTCAGTCTTTGCTACCAGTATAGAGCCAGGCCAGCCAGTCTGACCAGGCTCTATACTGTTGGCTGTCTTAACTTTAAATTTTTATCTCGATAACCCCGAAAACATGATTATGAACTGTTCCAAATGGAAGCTGAATAAATGTATTTAAGAAATTCATCAAGTTAAGTGTTAAGCATTTGTTAGTTTAGAGACTTGACAATGATTCCATACAAAAGTGCAGGTTCCACTTGCGGGTCAGGTACTAGTAAATTGTTATCACCACCAAATTTTTTGATGAAGAAAATAAACCTTTGTCAAATAGTTCAGTTTCATGTGACTTTAGCTATGACTTATGTTTTGTTGACATTGAATTATTTAAGTTAATTAAACAGAACATTAAATCTAACTGTTTAACGATTTTATATTGATTTTGATTCTTACGTAATAAAAGGGCAGAACTGTATTCATTGAAATATTAAGCTTCTGTCACCAATGTTACAACAGTAGAAATATCTATGTACTTTTACAAAGAGTGTCTAAAGCTTCATTCCTTTGAATTCAATTTAGTTAATTTTTTTCTAGTATTTCTATTTTTGTTTTTTCATTTCCAAGATTTTATGCTTATAAAAGTTTTATAATGTCTTAAAAAGCTCCTTTATTCTTAGTGCTTGATTGAGTCTTTTTATTTCAAGTAAAATTTAATAAGAAAGAATGTTTTAATTTGTTTTCTGTAATTTTAATAGTAGTACTTATATGTTGTAAATTGTTGCTAGGTTTCATCACCACAGTCTGTAAGTTTCTATCTGGTATACCATACAAAGTATACTTCTAGTTGATACTGACTGCAAATATATATATTGCCATATATTAACTAAAAATATGTATAGTTGATTAAACAATTTAAAGCTTAGGTAGCATGTTTCTAGCCTTGTAATGAGTTTTCTTTACTGTAGCATTGCTATGTGACCTTTACCATTTGTTGTATGGACATCTTGAAGTGATTGAATATCTGTAACAGTTTTTTTTTGCCTTATAAAATATAACTTTTACCCAAAATCAGCACCCTTCCTAGTAAAATAAACAACAGTTTTTCCCAATATCCGACTTTTAAGTTCCCAAAACTACACCAAACAAAAGTAGACAAATTATATGTGAGTAAAGCCACATGCAAGCACATGAGTAAAATGCATACCCAGCTCATTTTGTACTTTCAGCTTATAGGCTGAGCTTTTCTCACCAAATCATTATTTTTGTACTCAAGACTTATTGTTGATAGATCATTGCTTTGCACGCTATTCCGCCCACCCCCTTCCAATGAAAGGCTATGACTGAATCCCTCAGTTCATCGTGAGTATTAGTACAAAGCATTTTGTGTGTGAAAAGAATAGATTTATCCCAATTTGTTGGGTTCCAGCAGTGCACCAATCCCACAGTAAAGGAATAAAGCACTGGCAATGTTCACATGCATGATTGCAAGACTAAATGCACAATAGAATAATGCATGCCATTATAGCAGCACTGCACCTTCTCATAGATTTGCATGCCATTATCACTATTAAAGATTTAGTCCTCTTGAGTTTAAATTAGTTGTTAGGTTGGTTTAAATAAATTTAAGTATAAGAGATGAATACATTTTCTAAGAATGTTGGCTAACTGTGGTTGCTTGCTTGACTATTTCTCATTATAATTTTCATGGTTCAGAGAAAAGTTTTTTTTATTTAAACACAAAACTATTGAGACTGAATGGTTTGTGTGTTTTTATGATTAATGAAAACTATACAGTAGTTTATTTTTATTATCTATCTTTTGCCTCAGATAATTTCTATATTGTTATGATTTTTTTATACATTCTCCAACGTTTTCATCTTTTTCTTGAACTGGAGCAAACTGTGTTTTGAAATGTTACCTCCCTTTTTCTTGTCTTTATCTAATACTATTCTGAATTTATGAAATGGACTTTTTCTTGCTTTGAATTTAGAACCAGACCATAGTAAGTTTGAGGGATTTCAGAATTATTATAATATTTGCAGCCAACAGTATAAAGCCTGGTCAAACTGCACTGATGTGCAGGCTGGACTAGGTCTGATCTGCTGCTGTAGGTCTCTGTCCTGTCATTATTAATGTGTAGAGTTTTATATACATGTATTACAGATCATATTTGTATGTTATATATTTATATATTTTGTTATGTTTCAGATACGATCTAGTCTCAATACTACCACAGGGTCGTTAAACAAGTCTGGTCAGGGTATAGGTGGCAGTGTTAACCTGTCATCACACATGACCAGTAGTATGTCACTACCTGTATACTCAACAGAATACGAGGATGAGGTATATATACCTACTATTACATAATTATCCCTTATATTAAGTTTAAAGTTATACCACCACTGTAAAGATTGCATAACGCCTTTTTCAGCTTGACTTGTGCAGGACTGCACCAGGTGCCCTTCTGTTCATAATTTCATTCATTATGATAATAACCATAAAAAGTACAATACTGGTAACATTTTTACCTTAGTCTTTTACCAGCAAGAACTGGCATGTGTTAAAGGTGGTTCTTTGATGTCTCTTTATGTTGCAAAGACAGACTGTTTTTTTGTTCTAAACATGTTTATAATATCATAATTATAGGATATATTTGAATTTCATTTAAAATCACATTTTATTAATTGGCTGGACTGGAGGCTGATTATTAATATTTTATAAGTACAAGGCACTTTGTCCAATTCATAAGGTTTAATAAGTAACAATAAATGAATTGAAAAAAAAACAGCCTTTTTCATTGTCAAGGGTTTTTCTGAAACCTTTCGATACCAATTTTCTACTTTAATTTGCAGTGTTAAAGTTGAATTATCCCAGTATGAATATGTAATCTGCATGTATTGAAGTGTGGTTTAATCTGAGGTTAATTTAGTAATGCAAATATTGACTCAGGGAAGTTATTAAAATTTTCATTTATTGTATTGAAAGAAAAACCATAAAAAACTGATTATATATGGGCAAGTTGAGGTCTTTGAATCCATGGTATATTGTATTAGGTAATTATCTAAAGCCATTCATCCCAATCAGCTGTCATGAATATTGTAGATTACACAATATTTCATCTTTTTCTAAATCTAAGTTTTATAAACTTTTGATATGACCGAATGTTGCAAAAACTCTTTTTTTTTTAAATTTTCTGCTTTACAAAAGATATCAATAACAAAGGGTGACAAAATTTGCCAAATACATTACAAGCTAATAATGAATGGAAAGAAAATCTTTACTTTAGAATTTGATGAATTGTTTATTAAAGCTATTGTCCCACACAAGGACGTGTCATTTCAGAAACAAAGGTTCAAGTGATAAAATTACATATCATATACATGTATTTACATAAAACTACATGTAGATGATTTATACATGTCTAGCTCCCAGAAATAACAGTTTATCAAACTTTTGGCACATATAACCAGCTATGACCATGAATCGTTGCAATGTTTTATTTTGTGAATGTAGGTCTAGAATTGGATAGATAAATATAGGTAAATGATTAACATAGGTAAATGAACATCTCAAGCCCATTTTCATACTTCTGGTTAATGAAGATCTAGACTTGAAATGATAAACAGGTAAATGATAAACATAGTTAAATGTACATCTTATGACCATTTTCATACATTTTGTGACTGTACATGTACTCATGTAGATCTAGAATTGGAAAGATAAACTTAGGAAATATAAATATTGGAAAGATAAACTTAGGTAAATTGTAAACATAGGTAAATGTAAATGTACATCTAAAGACCATTTTCATACATTTTGTGAATTTAGATCTAGAATTGGAAAGATAAACATAGGTAAATGACAAAAATAGGTAAATGATAAACATAGGTAAAAGATAAATATAAGTAAATGATAAATATACCAATTTTAAACATAGGTAAAAGATAAACATAGGTAATATCGGTATACATCTAAAGACTATTTTCATACAGTTATATGGGCAATAAAAAGACATACATACATCCTTTATTAAGATTACAGATAGAATTCCACTATTTAAAAAAAAAAAAAAAAAGTTTCCCATTGGAAGAATGATTTGCATGTTTATTTCATTTATTTCATTATGCACAATCAATAATCCCTTGTAAAATATGTGTCATTATTTAAAAAGTTAATATTTTTGTAATCATTGCTGATACTGTGTGTGTCATAAGGTTTACGGAGAAATTAATTGTTTTGTTACAGCATGAAGAGAGGCCTCACAGTAGAAGACAGAGTGTAGATGGTGAGGCACAAGATGTTGCTGCCCTAGGCTATGAGGTATACCTTATCTATTAATGTTTTTTATCCCTTACCCCTGCTTTATTTCTTAAATGGACTTGTCCAGCTTTCATCTTTTGGGACTGTACATTATAAAGTTAGGGGATATCAAGATTTTTTTAAAAGTAAATCAACCATCAGTTTGGAGCCTGATTAGACAGCAGGGATGTGCAGGCTGGCATGGCTCCCTACTTGTGGTTAATCCCTCATTTCCAGCAGGTTATGGGTTAATTGCTTTTGTTTAATTGTTTGTTAATTGAATTTCCCAGTCTGATTAATACCATATTATACCATACTGCCCAGGCACACTCTGCCATTAACCTTTTGCTGAAATTTTCATTATTTGGCTACTGGAATCATAATTTGGCTACAGGGTTTCATTATGAATCCCATGTTTTGCTATTTTGATAAAATTTCATATGAAATCAGAAAATCACACTTTTGGCTAAAAGAAATTTTCAACTTAAGTAAGCAAAGATTACCAATTCTACTATCCAATAAGGTGTTTGCTGAATTCAGCCAGATAGATAATTATGAAGGAACCAATGTTGAAAAAATGTTAATTAATTGTTAAATATTATTCAAGCCCTTGTCTGCCTTGCAAGATTTGCAAAAGTATGTTTATGTATGAGGTATATTGAAAATAAATGGCTGCTTTTAAATATATTTCGGTGTGACTTTGTTCTAGTTCTGTTGGGTAAAAGAAAGTATTACAACTTCTTGTTACAGGATTCAGAACATGATAGTGACGATAGTGAAGACTACGGGAAAGATGTTGTAAGTAAAATACATGTTTTATTTTGCACTAATTTTACTGTAATGTTTGGCCATAATATGTCATCATTGAATAAAAGTAAATCCAGCTCATTATTTCAAAGAAATGTTCTATGCTCTCAAACTAGGTATTTGAAACAAAAATTGAACATCTTGAAACAGATTTACTGTAATTTGGTTCTTTTAAGTATTCTATGACTACAGTCTTGAAACAAATATTCTGTAACTAGGTTCTCAAAACTAGTATTCTGCAGCTAGGTTCTAGATAAAAAAAATCTGCATCTGTGTTGTAGAAAAAAAAAATCCCAAACTATGTTGTAGAAAAATAATTTCTGCAACTAGGTTCTAGAAACAAGGTAATCTTGAGTGAGATACAACAGGAGGTAGTAGCTGACTGCATTACATGTTATATAACACAATTTCAATTTGAATTGCAGTGTATTTTATTAGTTAAAAAGATTCCTGACAGATTATATGGGCCTATATAAACAGTTGTTTGCATAAAGAGACTCAGGTTATATTGCCAACAGCCATTTATATAAATGGCCATATAACCTGTCACAAATCTTCATAACGAATTTATAATACAGCAAACTTCCATTTTTACAGGAAATAAATGAGATTTTTTGAGAATGGAAAGCAGCTGTGCATATAAAACTATGCAAATGTTACTATTATCCAATGAAAAACGGCGTTACATATGTGCACAGGGCCTTTTTACCCTCTATTACAGGGGCCGGTATAGGGCTGCTTCCCCAAAAACAATTTCTTTAAAATCATGCAGTTTTCCCCAAATATTGAATTTACATCAAGTTTTTTCTTCCCCTTTTGCAAATATACCATGTAATTTTTCCCCAAAATTTAGGGCTGGGCTGCTTCCCCAACTTGTGAAAAAAAGCCCTGGTGCAATGTAATAAAATATGTTATAACTTTATTGTACAGGATTTTGGTATAGATAAGAATCTGTCAGAGAGGATTATGGACATTGAAAATGACCCAGCACTAAGAGGTTCCCTTGAGAAGGTACATTTATGCTCAAATTATTTAGGAAAAAAATAATCATTTCACATTTAAGGTAGTCAAACAGCTTAGGAGAGAAAAACATTTGTAAGGTTATGGCCCTTGGATTTGTGAGATTGAGTCCTTAGCAAGTTATCTGCACTTTTGATATATTTTGGTCAAAAACAATTCATCTATGTCATTTTCCATATACATGTACATCTGTTTAAAATGAAATAAGAAGGCTAAGTTGGCAATTACTTGTTTGAAAACAGATTAGTAATTCTGCATAATTCAAGAACACTCCCTAGAACTAGCTATGTGACTGAAATATTAATATGCTGTTGTTTTTACCACAACATAACTAGGGAAATGGTTGGATTTTAATAGAAATACACCCACGGGGATAAGTGCAAAGTAAATTAATTCAATACAAATTTATTTTCCACCAACTTAGAAAGAAAAAACAAGGCCATCTATTTATTTTTTGTTTTTATTATTACATTTGACATAAAAGGTCATTTGAAATAAGAAAATATAATGGAGAGTGTGGTAGTGCAAAAAATAAACAGGCAAAATAGCAATGGGGGCAGAAACATCAACGTCAGAAAGACTTTTTGCTAAAGTTGTATATCATATGGTATGGTCATGTTGTAACAGGTGCCTTATTGGATTTATGTCATAGAAATGAACAGTTTATGTTAAAACAAAGATGGTGTTCTTAAATTTATCACTCTGTCCACTCCCTATATAGATAATATTCTGTTAATTCTTTTTTTTCCTTTTTGTTTTCTTTTCTTGGCTAACTTGAAAAGGACACTGCTTTCTTTTCTTGGCTAACTTGAACAAATAAGTTAAACATAAATTTGTCTGTGCCATTTAGAGTTCTGCCAATATATCTTAAACATTTTGTCATAAAAGACAATTTTTTTGAAGGAAAAAAAAAGATGTGTTGTGATTATAATGAGTACAATATAAGAAGTATTTGTTTTTCATTACAGATTTTATATTAAAGACATAAGTACATATGAGCCGCGTCATGACAAAACCAACATAATGGGTTTGCGACCAGCATGGATCCAGACCAGCCTGCGCATCCGCACAGTCTGATCAGGATCCATGCTGTTCACTTACCAACTCTATTACAAGAAACTGATAGCGAACAGCATGGATCCTGATCAGACTGCGTGGATGCGCAGGCTGGTCTAGATCCATGCTGGTCGCAAACCCATTATGTTGGTTTTGTCGTGACGCGGCTCAAATATAATCTAGACTCTAAGAAAAATATTATTACATTATATTTTTGACAGGATTTTGATGTGACACTGTCAACAGCAAGAGGGGATGAAGTCAGCAAAACAAACCTGCTAGAAGAGGATCGGAAACGACGAGCAGAAATGGCAGCAAGTGCTGCGGAAAAGTGAGACAATTGTTATTAAATACACTTTATATTGCATGTCTGTAGATTTTTTTGACCATTTTAGGTTAGATCAGGGGAATATTTTATAGTCTAAATCATAGTAACTAGGTAAAATATATTTAAAAGTTTTAGTTTAGTTTAGAGTTTGGTCATATGGAAAATCAGTGTAAAAAAAGGTCATATTTTGATGAATATAGTCAAAGCTTGTTACCATATAGAGTCTTTAGTTAATTTGTAGGATCGTTAGTTAAGATGCACACATTGTTAGAGCCCAATTTTGTCACGTCTGTGTTTATGTTTTGTGTACTGACATGATTGTTTCTTTAGATTTTGTGTATGAACTAAAATCTCTTTACATTTTTGTGTATGTACTAAATTGTGTACATGCATTATATGTTCAGAATTTCTTTATGTACAACTGGTCACATTTCTTTTCACCATACTTGCAACAAGATGTTGATAACAAAACTTATTTTGTCTTCTTTAAATCATTTGTTATGTTTTCATTGTTTTCATCTTGGCTGAGCATGTTTTGTTCATGTTTTTTTCTCTCACTTTTCCTTCATGTCTGCTCACATGTAAATATTGGAAGTTTATTAACATGTACAGAACATATAGTGAAATTAACAAATTCATAGTAAAACAATGCTTGTAGCATCTTTTTACGGCATGTAAATTTTTAACTTTGTAAATGAAAGACATGCAATGCAAGTTTTAATTTGTAAAATACAGTCATACAAACCTTATCTGTGAATGTATCTTCTTTTTATAGGCAATTTATAATGTTACTATTGTCATTTTGTGATGAATTACGTTCACATGGGTCGTTAGTTATTTTCAGTCAGATATTATTTTCTGTAAGGAAGTTATTTTCTGTTGGAAGTTGTATCCTGTAGGAATGATAGCTTTAAATGCCACTAAGATAGTAGAAAAGAGGCCTTGCACCTATTAGATTGAAGTGAAAATGTTCATTCTTTAAGTATATTACTCCTGACAAAAATCCTGTATGACTGAAATTAGTAGTCAAAATACAATTACATGTACCTAGAGCTTGCAGTTATTTCCATTTACCCCTTTACTTATAAAAGTAATAAATTATAAAGTAAATATGTTTTTTTTGTATTAAAATTTTGACATTTCTTTCACAACAGACGTATATTTGGAGGAGAATCCTTTGGAAACTCGCAACAGTATGTTTTAGAGTGAACAAGCATGCCTTTTTATGACACTTTAGTAACATCGTCTCTAACTAGATAACATGTGTTCAACAGCATCCAACATAAGATTGCAAAGTTTTGGCATATTTGACAACTTTCTGTGTGTAATTAACAGTAATAATTGTCAGATCACTTGCCCCTTACGGCTTTTAGTTTGAATTGTGTCAAAAACTTTGGATTCTTTCTTGTGAGTAAGCTATTCAGCTTATCTTAAGAAAGGTCACTGCTTCTGCTCAAGTGCCCACTCATGCCTTAGATAATGCTCATTCTTAGGGGCAAGTAGCCAACAGTTAAGAGTTGGGTCAGACTGTATTGATGTCAAATAATAAGTCACGGTAAACAAATTAAAAATGCACTAGTTATGAGCCGCATCACGACAAAACCAACATAGTGCGTTTGCGACCAGCATGGATCCAGACCAGCCTGCTTATCAGCGCAGTCTGATCAGGATCCATGCTGTCCGCTATCAGTTTCTGTACTTGTAATAGGGTTGGGAAGCGAACAGCATGGATCCTGATCAGACTGCGCGGATGTGCAGGCTGGTCTGGATCCATGCTGGTCGCAAACACACTATGTTGGTTTTGTCGTGACACGGCTCATATATGAAATGTGATGAGATTTACAATCTTATCTTGGATGTTTTCCCTTTAAGTTTCAACATTTTATAATTATTAACACTCCTCTTTTGTCTGTAACTAGATGGTGGCATTTGCTTATTTTTGTGTTTTATTTTGCACCACTGCAAATAATTTCTTTTCATTTTGATATCAACTTGTTTGTTGTGGTAGATGCTTAAACAGGCTTTTATTTCAATTTATTTGGTGGTTTTTATTAATTCTAATTCTCTGTGCTTTCTGTCGCAAAATATTTCATAGGAAGTTGCTTATCCTTTACCCCATATAATGGACTTGTCTGACTTTTTAGCTCACCTGTCACAAAGTGACAGGGTGAGCTTTTGTGATCGCTTTTCGTCCGGCGTCCGTCCGTCCGTCCGGCGTCCGGCCGTCGTCCGTCCGTAAACTTTTGCTTTAAATGACATCTCATAAACCACTGAGCCCATTTCATCCAAACTTCACAGGAATGTTCCTTTGGTGGTCACCTTTAAAAATTGTTCAAAGAATTTAATTCCATACAGAACTCTGGTTGCCATGGCAACCGAAAGAAAAATCTTTAAATATCTTCTTTTAAACAACCCTAAGAGCTAGAGCTTAGATATTTGGCATGAAACATCTTCTAGTGAGTGTCTACCAAGTTTGTTCAAATAAAAGCCCTGGGGTCAAAATTGGCCCCGCCCCAGGGGGTCATAGATTTTCCCTATATGCATATAGTAAAAACTTAAAAAAATCTTCTTTTAAAGAACCCAAAGAGCTAGAGCTAAGATATTTGGCATGAAACATCTTCTAGTGAGTGTCTACCAAGTTTGTTCAAATAAAAGCCCTGGGTCAAAATTGGCTCCGCCCCGGGGGGTCATTGATTTTCCCTATATGCATATAGTAAAAACTTAAAAAATCTTCTTTTAAAGAACTGTAAGAGCTAGAGCTTAGATATTTGGCATGAAACATCTTCTAGTGAATGTCTACCAAGTTTGTTCAAATAAAAACCCTGGGGTCAAAATTGGCCCCGCCCCAGGGGGTCATTGATTTTCCCTATATGCATATAGTAAAAACTTAAAAATCTTCTTTTGAAGAACCCAAAAAGATAGAGCTAAGATATTTGGCATGAAACATCTTCTAGTGAGTGTCTACCAAGTTTGTTCAAATAAAAGCCCTGGGGTCAAAATTGGCCCCGCCCCGGGGGTCATTGATTTTCCCTATATGCATATAGTAAAAACTTAAAAAATCTTCTTTTAAAGAACTGTAAGAGCTAGAGCTTAGATATTTGGCATGAAACATCTTCTAGTGAATGTCTACCAAGTTTGTTCAAATAAAACCCTGGGGTCAAAATTGGCCCCGCCCCAGGGGGTCATTGATTTTCCCTATATGCATATAGTAAAAACTTAAAAAATCTTCTTTTAAAGAACCCAAAGAGCTAGAGCTAAGATATTTGGCATGAAACATCTTCTAGTGAGTGTCTACCAAGTTTGTTCAAATAAAAGCCCTGGGGTCAAAATTGGACCCGCCCCGGGGGTCATTGATTTTCCCTATATGCATATAGTAAAAACTTAAAAAATCTTCTTTTAAAGAACTGTAAGAGCTAGAGCTTAGATATTTGGCATGAAACATCTTCTAGTGAATGTCTACCAAGTTTTTTCAAATAAAAGCCCTGGGGTCAAAATTGGCCCCGCCCCAGGGGGTCATTGATTTTCCCTATATGCATATAGTAAAAACTTAAAAAATCTTCTTTTAAAGAACCCAAAGAGCTAGAGCTAAGATATTTGGCATGAAACATCTTCTAGTGAATGTCTATCAAGTTTGTTCAAATAAAAGCCCTGGGGTCAAAATTGGCCCCGCCCCAGGGGGTCATTGATTTTCCCTATATGCATATAGTAAAAACTTAAAAAATCTTCTTTTAAAGAACCCAAAGAGCTAGAGCTAAGATATTTAGCATGAAACATGTTCTAATGGGTGTCTACCAAGTATGTTCAAATAAAAGCCCTGGGGTCAAAACTGGCCCGCCCGGGGGTCATTGATTTTCCTTATATGTGTATAGCAAAAACTTAAAAATCTTCTTTGAAAAAACCCAAATAGCTAGAGTTTAGATATTAAGCATAAAACATCTTTAAGTAAATATCTACAAAGTTTGTTCAAATAAAAGCCCGGGGGTCAAAACTGGCCCTGCCCCAGGGGTGTCATTGTTTTTAACTATATGTGTATAGTAAAAACTTAAAAAATCTTCTTTTAAAAAACCCAATGAGCTAGAACTTAGATGTTTAGCATGAAACATCTTCTTATGGGTATCTACCAAGTTTGTTGAAATAAACAAATAAAAGCCCTTGGGTAAAAATTGGCCCGGGGGGGGGGCCTATATACAGGTGAGCGACCTCAGGGCCATCATGGCCCTCTTGTTAATTTTTAACCATCCATTTATGGTTTAAGGGATTTCAATATCAAAAATGATAAACCAACAATATACAGCCTGGTATACTCACAGTAGATAAACAAAACCATTGTTCCATGTCTTGTAAGCCTATACAATTTAATGTGTACCATATCTTGCAATTACAAGCTGAAGCATAAGCACTTGGTTTCAGGATAAAAGCCCTTTTGAGACCACTAAAAACGTAATTTTTCCGCTGTTTTTAGTAAATTAAAAAAATTACGATTTTAGAATCGAGACATTGAGTTCTACAATCCTCTCAAAAGGGCTTTTATCCTGAAACCAAGTGCCTATGATTACAATCACTTGCTACTTCCGAACAATGTACCTTTCTTTGGAACCTGTATTTGTTAACTTGAACTTTTCTTGCAAGAACAGGACATAGTTTTGTATATGCACTGTGAAGTTTTGTACAGATGTACAAGCTAGCCAGTCATGATACTGGTGACCTAGGCAAGTCTTTTATAGCACTAGTGTGTTAACATACAGTTAACAAACTGTACTATTTCTATCTGGAAAGCCTATTGCATAGAACTTTAATATTTAAACTAGAAATTACAAATTTGTTATTGGTAATTAAAGTTTAAAAAATGGTCATGTCACAAGAGTTTGAAATAAAAAATATGATAGAATTTCAGCTACCTCTCTAGAAAAACAATTTTATAAGAGGCTCATTTTACTATTGTTGTATTATTGAGGTATTTTTTTATTTTAAACACATATTGTCCTATCTTGCAAGAAAAAGGGACAGTTTTGATTCTGTTTTTAAATTTTTTAGGCATCAGAATTTAAGTTAAACTGTTTAATGATAAAAAATTATGTGTCATCAGCATAAAGTTATGTTTCAGTAATGAATAAGCTAATATTTACTCATTTAACCTATAGACTGCTTTCAGCAACTGAATTTACCATGTGACCAGTGCAGGCCAAGTTTAGCCAACACTGATTTCTATTCAGTCAACTTATTTCACATTTTCCACTAAAATGAAAGGTTTTGTCTAGAACATGTGTTCTAATACTAGTAATTAGTTAGACAGCCATGTTTGAACATGTCCTGTACATGTATTGTTTCGGAATATTTAAATTAGTATGTTGATATATTTTTATTTTCAAACATGGTCTTAAAATAATTATTAGAAATTGAACTGTACCTTATATTTTATTAATGGTCATATATATAGTCCGCATAAAAGATATCATAAATAAATTAAGTATGATAAAAAGATCTCTAACCAACATAGTTTATCAAAATATGTTTATCTTTAATAAGATTCATCAGTTGATGTGATAAACAACAAAGGTAAATCATAATAGATAAATCAGCACTTGAACATCTCTTGTAAATTCATTTATCAGTTCTTGAACATTTTATCCATCAAATCATTTATTATACAAAGTTAACTTCATCTGATAACAATTTAGACTACATACAATTGTATGTACAGCTATATATTAAGGTTATTTAACTTATTTGAATGGTTTTAATAGACAAAATAGGAATTATAATATTTTCAGATATTGTTATTAATATTTACAGAATACCGGAGGATTTAAAAGGTGACCAGCAAAAGATTCAGACTGCCAATGAGAGGGCCCTACAAGAGATGAGGCAAAGAATGGAAAGAGAGCTAGAGGAAGCTAAACTTGAACTTTTAGAGGTAAACAAGGTTTAAAGTTGTAGGTGATCAGGGTCAGAGGTCATAAAGTTAGAGGTGATCAGGGTCAGAGGTCATAAAGTTAGAGGTGATCAGGGTCAGGGGACATTAAGTTATAGATGATCAGGGTCAGAGGTTATAAAGTAAAAGGTGATTTGGGTCAGAGGTCATAAAGTTATAGGTGATCAGGGTCAGAGGTTATAAAGTTAGAGGTGATCAGGGTCAGAGGTTATAAAGTTAGAGGTGATCAGGGTCAGAGGTCATAAAGTTAGAGGTGATCAGGGTCAGAGGTCATAAAGTTATAGGTGATCAGGGTCAGAGGTTATAAAGTTAGAGGTGATCAGGGTCAGAGGTCATAAAGTTAGAGGTGATCAGGGTCAGAGGTCATAAAGTTAGAGGTGATCAGGGTCAGAGGTTATAAAGTTAGAGGTGATCAGGGTCAGAGGTTATAAAGTTAGAGTTAAACAGGGTCAGAGGTCATAAAGTTATAGGTGATCAGGGTCAGAGGTCATAAAGTTAGAGATGATCAGGGTCAGAGGTTATAAAGTTAGAGTTAAACAGGGTCAGAGGTCATAAAGTTATAGGTGATCAGGGTCAGAGGTCATAAAGTTATAGGTGATCAGTTTCAGAGGTCATAAAGTTATAGGTGATCAGGGTCAGAGATTATAAAGTTAGAGGTGATCAGGGTCAGAGGTCATAAAGTTATAGGTGATCAGGGTCAGAGGTCATAAAGTTAGAGGTGATCAGGGTCAGAGGTCATAAAGGTAGAGGTGATGGGACAGAATATAAACTTATGATATTCATATGTATTAACAAAAAAGTTGATACACTATATGTTAAATCTCTTTTGTGGAATGACCATATGAGTGTGGAAACATTGTGATTGTATGAAAATGATAAAAAGTACTCAGTTGTTAATACTTAGAATTATTTAAGAAATTGTACATAGTTATGATACATATTGTATATCGATGGATTGCTGCAAAATAGACGTAACTCTTTCATATTATTTTGAGTTACAGCTAGTTTGCACCAAACCCTCAATATTTATGATATACCATTGTTAAATCTTTATTGTTCAGGATAAAGAAACAAGGCTGAGAAAATTGAAGAATCAAATCAAGCGTGAGATAGAAGAAGAGGAGTCTAGACTGAGACACGAGAAACAGGGGACAATAAAGTAAGTTAAGATATATGAGATAGATTGTAAAGCTGCTATGCTGTGTAGCATTTTCACATATTTTAACTTGCTATGTTTTAATGTATGAGATTATTATTTTTTTTGATAGTGATATATTATGTAATATTTTGAAGTGAGTGCGAGTTTTTTTATGTGTGTGCCTGTTTTTAGATTTTTACTGAAGTTAAACATACATGAATGTGATTACGTCATCGACATAAAGGGTTTTGTAGAAACAAGTGCAGACTTTAGTCTTATAAGAATACACTTGAAGTATTTAGTTATGTATTTAAATAGAAAGTGTGTGTGTGTGGGGGGGGGGGTTGTCTATGCAAGAGCATTAAGATTGTTTTAGTTATCTTAGAAATTGCTTGTAAATGATATATGCATGTTAAGGAGTGGCCCACTTATTTATTTGCTGTAAGGCAGACTAGACTAGTATTGATAAGGTTATTGCTATGGCCATCATTGACATATAAGTAAAAGTTGGTTGTTCCTAGTTATTTTATAAATGATTTCTTTGCTTTGAAGAGATCATTTGCCTGCTAAGCTCAATAGGTAGAGCATGTCTCGAGGTTTGATCCTTGGACAAGGCTAAATTTCTTTGTGACAATTGATTTTGGACATTGAGTCTAATGGTCATGTTTCTTTCAATGCTGATTCAAAAATAAAATGGGATTAGTAGTCTGTCACTTGCTGAGAAATTGGTAATTACTGGTTAGTAACCAGGAAAGCTGGTTAGTTGGACCAATGGCCGAGATATGACCAAAGATGTGTTAGAAATTAGAATCAACATTAAAACTAACCAAACAAATTATTATAGAAATCAATGAATTTTGTTATTATTTCAGTAATAATATTTCATAACGAGTAGATCTTTATGAAACTGCTTACTGAATTTTGTTATGAGTAAAGAATAAAAAAAAATTGGTTTCTGTGTAAGGTATGGTGAGAAATTTTCACGTATAGATACATTTATAGACCTTAGTTTGCTGTGAGTTTTATTGTAATATTAGCATGCAAAGTTATATATAATAAAATGCTTGTATTGGCTTGTATATTATAACATATAGTTACTTGCTTGAAAATGTTTACCTCCTTTTTGCCACCAAAACAGATCTCTACAGAGTGAAGAGTTTGATAAAGGGGCATCACTCTTGCAGTCTGACCATGCAAACAATTTAGAAAAACTTAAAGAAGATCTTGCTGAAAAACAGAAGACAGAAGAGGAAAACCTTCGGTAATTTAACAGGATGTTGTAAAATTGTAGGAGAAGCCTCAATCTGACATACCATAAATTAATTAAACTGTTTTTCCTTTTGTTCTTTGTGTTATTTCTCTTATTAATGGTACTGTATTTCTTTATTCAATTTCAAATTTTCTTCTCTTTTTTTTTGCATAACACCAGTAAAAATGTCTGAATTGTGTTTTTGAGTTACATATAACTGGTTATATAACAGATATATTGAACATATGCATAGCAAATAGACTTTATCAAATTGACTTTTTTCACTTTGAATTCAGAACCAGATATTGTTTAATAACAGATTTTAAGGTTAAAAAACTGACATAATGTACCTGTATAATTATACATTGGTAAGAAGTGCAATCAAAAATAATATATCCAAATCAGTGATTTTATTGCCCAAATAAATCACTGTTTGTTTTTCAGATCATTATATCATCATTTTATCACTCGGGCTATGCCCTGGGTGGTATAATTCCTTGCATCTGAACTCCAAACAGTGATTTCATATAGCAATAAAATCACTGTTTTGGTTGTATTTTTTCTTAATAACACATAGCACAATACTGTCTAAACTCATTTTTAAGAAAATAAAGTAAACATGTACTGGGAAATAACCTTGCTTAAGGATAATGTATTAATGTATTCAAGTATTTTTTTTACTTACCTTTTCTATATATATATTTCTGTAACCTTTGTATACTTACACACCATCTGCTCATAAAACTCTTTAATTAGATGTAATTAGACACTTAGTGAATGGTGTGTTGTAGTTGTTTTTGTATCTATATATGATACTTGAACAATGTATTTATTGAATAACAAAAAAAAGTTTCCACATAAACTTAACAGTGTAGGTATGAACTAGTTAAAAAAGAAAATTACACTTTGTTAAATGTAGAAACTTAAATGGTTGCCAAGCCTTTTTATCAATAAAAATAAAACCTGTAGTTTGAATATAATGTAATTTATGTACAGTTTACTAATACTGTTGTTTCCTTATATGTAAAATAAGTATGACATGAAGCACTTGGTTTAAGAAATAGTAGTTTAATTTCACTAAATGTTTCTAGGTCACCTTATGAATTCAGTATTTCATTACTTTTTAATAAAGCAGGTGTTTAATTTGCATTGAAGGAATTTCATTAGAAACTAATAGTGATTAATATGTCATGTTTTATGTAATAACCATTATAACAAGTTTGTGTGAAGGATGGGGGTGCTAAATAATCACGGTTTCCGCTGCAATTCGCCAATTCCCGAAATGCAAAAAAATAATTTGGAAATGTATGCATATCCTTCACAATATGGTAAATTAAAGGGAACAAACATTAATTAATTGATAGTGTACTTGCCATTTGTGCATGAATTTTTGTCAAAACTGCTTTAAATCCTTTTTGATTATAGTTGAGATCATTTTACAAGCTTAGTTGTGCTCATATATATTGTAGTTTTGCATATTCTACAGTCTTATATTATTGTCTGTGAGAATATTAACGTATTACATACTAGGCAATCTATTGTAGAACACTATGATTTCTACTCAAGTAATACATGTATATAGGCAATACTGTTAATGATAGATGAAATCTTATAATATATATATACTGTGTTCAAACTGGATTTGAAATGTTGAGAAAGTACACCAATTTAACAATAACATTGATGAAATCATGTCAGTATAGTTGGTCACAGTACAGTCTCTCAAATTACTAGCCATCTTTTAATAATGTGTTTTAATCATATCCATATAAAATTAACAAAATTATATCCTCACCAAACTTTTATTAGATAGTTCACTGTTCTCTTTTATAACATCAATATTTAAAAAAATTCCCATTGTAGACCTTTCAACATAAATATATTGATATAAAGTACAGTCTAATGTTTATTATCCATGGCAATTCCTTCCGTGATTTTTTTTTTCTTTTTTTAAATTTGAAAATTTCCAATTTTCATTTCAACATTTATCTTCAGACGTGAGATGGAGGAAGCCTTGGAGAAGTTGCGACGGGAAGTGGGGTCATTACAGATGGAGGAACAATCCAAACTAGAGGAGGAGAAAGCTAAAGCTCTTGATAGACTAAATAGAATGGTGAGAATATTGTATATCACATAAACTGCAGCGCAGGAGTGAAATAAAGCTGTTTTATAAAAATGATATTACACTAGTGTAATATAACTTTGAGGTGAAGTCATTTGCACTTTATATAAATATAGCATTCAAGCGTGCTAATGTTAGTGTTACACTATAGGAGCGTCAAAGAAAAATGACTTGTGTTCTCTTTTTGAATATGTGATAAGTAGAATATTATATTTGTGTCTTTTTTAATGAACTTGTTTAATAAAACAATATTATGCTCCCCAGAGGCTCGCTTAATATAATTTTATTCAACTCGTTCAATAGAATTAGTATTAAACCTACACTCATTCAATATCCTCTATATATGTTAGTTTATAGTTTATGTAAATAAGTTTTTTTATTAAAATAGATAAATTCTTACGTATCTTTCCTTTAATATTTTCTCAACAACATTTTGTATTTTAAGCAATTTCAATTCAGCTGTTAGTGTTTCTTATATCAGATGATTTGTTGGTTCACATAGAATGTTGTTGACTGGAAATGTGTTACATTTGCATAAATAGTATAAAAATAAGTCAACTACAAATTCATAAAATTCCCTTTTATATACCAACCTTTCAGCTGAACATTTGCGCACAAAGTTTTAATTGCATTTCTCTATAATCAAAATTAAACAAGCCTACATGTTCAGTCAAAAGTTGAAGACTTCTTGACATACTCTCAAAGATGTAGATTTTACTGCAATGTAGTCAACACTTGAAAATTTGCTGACATACAATAAAAAGAAGATTTTTCTGAAATACAGTCAAAAATGGAAAATTATCCATTCCCTCTATAACAGGTCGAAGACGCAACCGAGGCTGAAAAGAAAAGATTGGAACAAGAGAAGAATCAAACTATAGAAACATTACAGGCCAGACATAAACTAGAGCTGGATAAGATTAAAGATGACCTTGACAGAAAACACAGAGAGAAAGTGCTAGAGGTCAAAGATGAACTAGGAGACAATCATGATATGGTATGTTATATTTGTAAACAGATTTTTTATAATGACCTTTGGCTAAAATCCTCACATTTAAGGAACAATGAGTTATCATTTTTATAAAATTTGTATATTGATACTTATGTACTTACATGATTATTTGGCAGTATAACTTTTTGGCAGAATTTTTGCCATTTTTTTCTAGACATGGTATGAATGAGATTGGTAAAAATCTTGGTTTCGTGACAATTTCCTTTCTTAATTTTATCAGTTTTATTTGATTTATTTCTAAAAAGGTTGTACATCAATGAAGTGAATTTTGATAATTTCAGGAAATAATGAGAATTAAGGAGGAGTTGAAACATATACAAGAGAAAGAAAAGGAGATGATGGAACAAGAATTAGAGGGAGCAAGAAAGCGTCAAGAGGCCCTCAATGATATGGAAAAAGGGGTACATATTCCAAGTTAATATTGAATTACAATAGGGGTTCTGAGCCTTCTTTGTAAAGTGGTTAATGGTGGTGACTTCAAAGTCACTGGCTAAAGACACACCAGGGAGTTTTGATTTTTTGTTGAGCCCACTTGCAGTGAGCTCTACTAAGTCACCACTTTTGACGAAAGTTCTATGTATATTTTTATGTGAGGAAGCTACCCAGCTAGCTTCAGGATAGTCAGTGGTTCTACTCAGGAGCTTATTGGTGCCTGAAATAAAGCACAGCCTTGCACCATAAGTCTTCCTTCACAGTTAAAGCATGAAAATTTGCACTGCAGCTTTAAATTTTGGTACAAGTTGGCCTAGAGTTTTCAACTGATACTTGCTTTTCATTCAGAGCCATATGACCTAAACCGTGTTGGTGCCTGTGAAACCAAACAAAACAAACATTGTTATCCATAGGATTTGTTTGTTTTGATTTAGAGCCTTTATAGTCAGATTACCGATATAAGGGCCATCATGGCACTGTTGTTGATTTTTCTTGTAAAATTTCCAAATGTTAAATATGAGTATATGACATGTATACAATAATATATCTAGCTGGATGAAGTGTTGGATGAGCGAAGAAAGGAATTACGAGACCAGCATCAGAAAGAACTGACAAGACTTAGAGAGGATCATTCTACTCAACTTAGAAAACTACGTGATGAATACTCAGATAAGGTAAATAGTGTTTCTATAGATACCAGTGTCTCTAGCCTTCTATTAGCAATAACTAGGCCAGCCTGGAAATTTGTTCAATTTGACTCAAACAAAATTCTTTACTCATTGACCTGTGATGTTCATGTTATTTCCTTGTGTAGTGCAAGAGAGAATCTGGTTTTATAATTCCAGAAACTTCCTGGTATTGTTACAATTATAAGGAAATTACATATAATGAACAAATAGATGATAAGATATCCATTGGAATGAATCTTTTAAATTTATTCGTTATGTTTTTATTGAAATGTAAAATGAAAATTAGTTGTTATTGTGTTATTTTGCCCACATTATGAGGAAGTTACGTAATTAGGCAAAAATAACAACAACCAACAAGAAGAATTAAATTGACCCTGTTTGTTCATTAGAGAATATTACATAAGAGACACATGTGTGTTTTGTTAATTTGATTAATGGAATAAAATGACAAATTCCTAGGCTTGGCCATACATGTAACTTAAGTTCAGATGTTCCAGAATGACTTCAATTATATTGCAATAATTTAAGATATATAAGAAATAAGTTCAAGCTATTAAGACATAATTATTATGGATTTTTTTTGCATATTCATCCTACAATACCTGTTTTATTATCATTTATCACATAAATTGAGGTACAGGATTGTAAAAAAGTCATTTGAATGAAAGGGATAATACCCTAGTGTGATATCATTCGTCATGAAATCATTTACATTAATACACACATAGCATTAAAGTGTGCTGATGTTGACTAAAATGAAAATTTGATTCTTATGTACATGTTATTTTTTTGCTTTTTAGTATGTGATAAATTGTATATTTTATTCCTGTATATTCACTACTAAAATAACTGAACAAGTTGAATAATTCAGTTTTTAAACAATGTTCATTCAGTGTCCTCCATTGCCATTTTTCGTTTGTATATTTATACCTTATTATCGAGTTTGTTAGGGGTCATAATGAGATGACATGTTTATTACAAAGTGTAAGTGAAATACCAACAAAAACATATAGTATTTTCATTATTTCATGCTTGTTATTTCAAGATTCAAGTCTGCATTTGAAATTGATTTGGGGAAAGTACAAACTTTAATTGATAAAGACATCAGATTTACCTGAAGAGATTTACATACCTGAGTTTTATTTTGACATATTGAAATATTTTAACTTTGATCCCTAAAATTAATGACCTCAAATAACAGAGGTAAATTTTCAAGATATTTTAAAATTCACCATAGTTATTGGCTGCTTTGAGACAGGTTTTATGCATGTTTTAGGAAAACATCTTGATAGTTCATGTATATATTTCATGTATATTAATTTCCCCTTAATTTTCTTGTTGAGAGTTCATATTCAAAGGAGTCAAGAAGGAAGCATATCTGTAAAGATGATTCTTAAATTGTGTCCGAACACTTTTGAAATGTTAATATTAAAGGCCAATTATGCCCAAGAAATGCTTAAGTTTTCAAAAGATTTTATTTTTTTGGTGTTTCTTTATAGTTTCCAAAAAGTAACCCTCCGCCAATTACCTGAACCACCTTATTCTGTTTCGTGGTAATTTAGTATGGAAATGAAAATACTACTTTGTTTACATTTAGCTACTTTTATGACAAATTATTTCACATTTAGCGCTACTTTATTCAGGTAACCAACACCTAAGGTACAATAAAACCATTATTTAAACATAATAAAATTCTTATTTGCTTTTTCTAAAGAAGTAAAAAAAATTGTTTCTTAGGCATATTGTGCCTTTAAAGGAACACTACATAAATGTTATAATTTATTATATATTTTGTTATAATTCAGGAGCGTGATGAGAAGAAATTATTGGAACAGAACATGGACGCGGAGAGACGTAAATTACAGAAACAACATGATAAAGATATGGATGAACTACGACGAGAATTTAACAGGAAACGTGAAGTTCTTTCTGAACAACTGGAAGATGAGGTCAGTAAATTTATGTCTGAAAATTTTATCCATAGAACTTGTTTAGCTTTTTAGTCAGCCTTTTTGCAAAAGTAATTTTTTTGTTAATAATTTTTTTTGAAAAGTTCAATTTTAGAAAGTTTTTACAATTCATATAGTTTGTATCCACGAAGTATACGTTTCTGCAAAGTTTGCTCAATGACAGATCAAACAGGTTGGTTAAACAAATTTAGAATATAAATTTGAATCTTCAGACATTGATAAATATAGGCATTTCACATTCTGCTGTAATTCTATATTATAGTTACACAGTTTATCTCCAGAAACATTAGACATTAGAATAGCTTACAGCACTTGTTATAAGTACAACCTCTGTTGAGCAATCACCTCTTTACAACAACCAGTACCATTTTATTTTTCCAAAAGTATGACATCACAATAAATTTAACCTCTGTAGAGCAAAACCTCTCTCTTATAAAGCTTTTAGACATTTTGCAGTAAAGCAGCTTTTGGTGTGTTATTTCAATGAGGGTTTGCTATACATGTGTTTCATCATTAATATTTTGCTCTTTTTTCTTCTTCTTAGATTATCAATAATATATTTCCGTCATAGTCTTAATTGATATTTGATATTTTATATTAGCTATGCTTTAAGTGTTTTTTTTTTCATTAGACATGAATAGAGTACAGAGTGTGCTATGTTCTTGCTTCTTTTATTGAGGAATTGTACAATTAATGTGAAATCATACTGTTTTGAGAAAAATTTCTTGTAAAGATCTTAAAAGTTAGATAAAGTTTTGTGTTGTAATTTTGAAGAGAGGCTATGCAGCTATCACTATATTTGACGAAAAATGACAACCAGTCTATAAATGGAATGTTTCTATTGGTTGATTTCAAACACGTGACTAGAATAAAACCAATCAAAATGCTACGATCATAGACTGGTTCTTAATCTCAAATCTAAGCCTGGTCTATTGATGCATTCTTACATAACTTGAGAATCATGTTTTTCTCCCAGTTACAGGGATTTCCCTTATCTAATTAATGAACAAAATCAACAAAACTATTTAATGTATAGAAAATCAATGTTTTCAAAAAAAATTATTCTCAAAGTATGTACATTTTAGAATTGAAATAAATTTTGATTTAGAGCGTGTTTTGATATAAAAGTGTATGGAGCGTTGTCCAAATGTTTGTAGTAAAATATTTACATATCACTCAGATTTCAGAAATGATAAATTCTGCTGGGGGTGTGGGGGTAGGGAAGGGCAGAAGGGGGGGGGGGAGAAGAGATGATCTTATTAAATGAATTACTAGCCAGTAATTGTGTAGATATAAAGTAGATGCTTATTGTTTGTACATATGACATCAGCTTCAGCATTTTGAGGCGGAGTTAAAGCAGAAGAAGGCAGAAGTGATTGGAAATTTAGAGAAGGAGGTGATATACATGATCTATGTTGTCATATTTTATATGCATGCTTGTACCAGGTTATTGTTGTCATGGAAACGAAAGTGCATGAAAATATTGTCATTGTTGCATTGGAAAAGAACTGTAATATTGTTGTCAAATGTCTTTATGCTTTCTGTTTCGAGTATCAGTGTTGTTTATGAATATAGTTAGAACTTTTTTTGTAGCATGTACCTTAATAAGTGACTATTGATGATTAAACTAGAAAGATAATGACTTCTATCTATTTTTTTGAATACCTTTATTAATTACACTTAATAGTAAAATGTATATGTATGTGTAACTTCTGAACATTGATGCTATCACATCATTCGTCACCAAATTCTTGAAAATGACAAAGTTATTTTTTTTTTGCATGTGCCAATCATTTATTTAGTTTACCTGTTATATTAGAGAATGTAAATGTAGTTATCGTCCTGTCCAACATTGCTTAAAAATATCAGCAACACTCAAGACATCTTTCTGAACTATAGTCATTGTAGAACAAAATATTGTAAAACATTTGTCAGAATTGTTTCATCTACTTTCATCTGATATAATGTAGCTGTATTAATGTGGAGCACCATTCTTTTTTAGCTGAGCTGTATAATAAACATTCACAGGGAGAGCTATATCCCTACTTACAAAGTGTCACTTCCACAGCAGGGCCACATTTTGACTAAAGTTTTGTTACGCGCAAGTTTTTTAACGAAACCCGTTAAACTATTTCTTTAAAACTTAAAGCTATTAGTCTTGAGAGAACAAAACGCTTGTCTTGGGTTTTGACAAAGTTATGCCTCTTGCTCATAGGTATATCTCTGAAGTTGATACTTCCATGGTATTTTGGTCCCACAGTCTCACCAATTTACGTGTCTTTTAAAGACCAAACAAAATATTGCTCTGTTTTGGGGCAGATTTAAAAACTAGTCAATTAACCATTCTGAATATATTATAACAAACATGTAAAAATGACTAAAAGTTGACCGTATTTATGTCACTGATTAATTGATTGAATACTGACAACTGAAGGTCATTCTAGTTTCTAAAAGTCGTCATGTGTCCTGATTTATTAGAATTAATCAATGTGTTTACTATCTAAACATTATGAAATGGTTCGTAAATCAGTAACACTATGCCTATATGTGATATTTTAGTCATATTTTATGTTTTAATGTTATATGATAGTACCTATTATATGTGATATTATGACAGTTTCTGGAATATGAGCAGTTATTGGAGAAACACCAGCTGAATTATATAAATACGGTCAAACTCAAGGTGACATGTTCTTAAAATGTATTATACATTTTGTATTATATTATATTCATACCTATTGTTCATAATTGTATATTTTATATCTATTTTAATTTCTATATATTATTTTTTCATCATTTTAAGTGCTTCAGATACTTTGTTCCCATGCCTTGAGACTTTTAAATGTATTTCTAATACACATACATTGTATTTCTGTAAACAAAATTAATCAATCAATCTTCACATCCTGATTAACCTGCTGTATTAAATGGACTTGTCCTACTTTGTATATTGAAAAGTCTATTGTAAGTTTTAAGTAATTTCAATATAAAAATACTAGATTAAATGTTAACCTGTAGTCCGATGTCACCAGGAATAGCTGGCACATCTACACTGTCTGATTATGGTCTCCACTGTTTGTTATTCAGTTAGTACCAATACATATTTTAAAATTTTCTCTAAAACTGATGAATGGTTTTGTCCAGATTTAATGATGGACAAGTCCATTTATGGTATTTAGCATGGTACCATTTAAGCATTTAGCATGAAAGACTGTATTGACTGTATACAGGCAACTATGGTTTACCTATGTTTCAAGCGTAAAACTGTAAATATTGTCTGACCTAACATTTTTACTATTGGTTTTGCTTTGTTTTAGCATTTTCATATGTCTATATTACTTTTAATTTAAAGCAGAGAATTTTTTTTTTTACAAATTGAGCCGTGTTTGAAGGAAGAAAACAATTATAATTTTATTACACATGTGTAAGTTATATTCCTGATAACACACCTCTAGCTATCACCATGTACTGTAAGTAAGTACTATTACAGCTTAGCATCAAACATTCACGTGGGTCTAATTTTAAAAAAATGATACCAGATATTAGGATGGCTTATTAAACCACATGACATAAAAAAATATCTCATAATGGCTTAAATATTAACAATATTGCTTCCTTAACATTTCAAGTTATTAATTTTATTGAATTATATTGCAAACTGAGGCTTTGTTTAGTTGTAAACTATACAAAATTTATATTAAAAGTGGAGTTTTTTTTTTCTCAGTACAGTTGACTCTCAATAAGTCGAAATCGCTTTACTCAAAATTCCGCGTTAGTCGAAGAATTTCTAAAGTCCCGTCAAATTTCCTTCTTTAACTTTGTATTTTAACTCCGCTTAGGTCAAATTTTGACTTACCGAGACTCCTGTTTAGTCGAAAAGAAAATTTGGTCCCGTCAATTAAAATCAAACATATTTTCATTTCAATAAGTCGAAGTGTGAAAACAGCCGACTGATCAAAGGTCGGCGACATCAAGGCAGGACGTTGTCACTCGTGATTCACACGTTTCATAGTAATTTTAATTGCCGGTCATCATGTATTATTTAAAAAGTGGATTTAATCGGTTTCAGCGCTTAATTGATTTTAACAGTTAGATAACTAATTTAAGTTTTAATTAATTTAAGTGTAATTAAGTTTACCTGCAGACTAGTCTTACACATTTCTATTAGAAAGTTGACTCGTTCCAGTCTAACAGGCTTTAGTCAAATAACAGCCTAGATATCAAGGAAAACGACATTTGTTTAATTAATTTTCCGTCATATTGCATACATTAATAACTACCTGTTGACGATAGTTGATACTTTCGTTTTCGTCCGATGATCAATTCACTTCAAATATTAGATAAATTGTTGTTGAAGTAAATGTGTTATTGTGCTTTTATTGTAATGAATTGTCGTGAGTGCTTATTAAAACATGTGCATTGCCGTTGTCAACAATAACAAACCTACTTCTTTGCACATTCAGTAGGCACATGTATATACATGTACGAATGTCAACGTAATGGTAGCAGATTCACTTTACTCGAATTCCGTTTCTCTCGAAGTAAAATGCCACGTCCCTTGGATTTCGAGTTACCGAGAGTCAACTGTATTTAATAGGTCAAAAACTGTCATATATGATGGTATAATGGTGTCTGAAAGTTTTTTTTTTTAGAGATTTACAATTTTTTTTAAACTCCCTAAAACAATTTTTTGTTATAGAAAAAAGTTTAGTATTAGCCAGATATTAAGTAGCTATAAATTAATCAATGGAATGTCTAAGTATTTCTGGAGCACTTTTGTTCTGTTTTTTATTTTGTTTTTGTATAACCTATGTTAAAGTTATGTTATATTTTCTTTTTTTTTCTGTTATGGATAGTTATTATAAATTTTGCATTTTTTACATGCCTTGTATACCATTTCATTAAAACTTTATACATATAACCTTTTAATATACTCTATATATAATATACTGTATGTATAAAAGTGCATCAATGCTTAACCTGTTGAGTACATGTATCTTTTTGATTTTATTGACATGTATAAAGTGTAAAGTCCAGACTGACATTCGTGTCTTTCAAAAAGACCTTCAGAACAAAAAGCCGCAAATGACTGGGTGCCTCTTACAGTATCAAGATTTTAAGATTTTCAAATTATCTAGTATACCATCATAACTAATAAATATGAGAGCCATGTCATGACAAAACCAACATAATGGGTTTGCGACCAGCATGGATCCAGACCAGCCTGCACAGATGCGCAGGCTGGTCTGGATCCATGCTGGTCGCAAACCCATTATGTTGGTTTTGTCATGACGTGGCTCATTATATACTTTATGAAAGAGTAACAACTTATACAACTTATTATATCATATCGAGTCATCGAGAATTCTTTATAAATTATGATAATTACTTTTTTCTGCTACGTTAAATATATAACTTGTAGGACATTTTTGGTCTCAATCCATAAAATTTTAATAATAACAGAATGATTTAATTGAATAAAAAGGATTTTCTTAATTTTCTTTCTGTTATATTAACCTTAAACAAGTCAAACTATTTTGATAGTGTTTGTTGTTTTATACAAGATATTATGTTCTTTTAAATGATGTATATAAAATATTTAACTGTAGAGATGCTACCTACAGTGATGGTATACCTATACCAGTATTAAACTTGTCTAGTCTGTATAATTGTAAAATATCTAACCAGACTGTGAACAAATTACTTCTCAAATTAAAGTATTTTTACTGAAACCCCTGAAAAAAAGCAACATAGTTCCAAATTAAGTATGAATCAAACCAGGGACTAACGGAACCATTTTTTAGAGAAAGCTATCTGGGTACCTTACGTGGGTATATGCTTACCGTGTTTCTGTGTGTACTGAAATAATGCTAGGAGGAGCTCCTGAATATTCTTCCTTCTGGGATAGCTGAAAAGTTGCCATGTAATCTCAGCGGTGTTGATTAGACTAAAAGCAAAAACAGTTTCAAATTGTAATAAACAGCTATAATAATGTGTAAGGTTAATATATGAACCAACATCATCAAAAATTATGTTCGTGTTTTGAGATAATGACATTTGTGTTTCTTAAATACTTGTTGCCTTGTTTTTAACATCAAAGATGTATTGTCTGTAACTTATGAAAATTATGATTTTCCTTCTGAAATTAGTGTTTGTTTATATTTCTGACTTTGATGTAATGTTTGTAAATAAGGAGTCAAATATCCCTGATACATCTCCAAAATATATCAGGGTCTTTTACTACTGTATTCTTATGTTTAAATCTCATGGTCTATGTTTTGTGTATTTCAAAGGAGGAGGAGCTTCAAGAGAAGAGGGCGGAGTTTGAGAGAAAGAAGGCGGAGATAGAAAAATCAGTCAGAAATCTGGAAACTCAGGTTGGTAAATGTTAAATTCATGATCAGGGTCTGTTTACTATTGTTTGAAATATATAAAAAAGAAGTTTTTCTAAAGCGCTTAGCAAAATAATTACAAACAACATTCTTAATTTGAAAAGTAAAATTGTCTGGGGAATGTTACCTTACTCTTGAAGAGCATTGTTCGGATACTGTACAGCTTAAAAAAATCCTGTAAAATTAAGGTTTTATTAAAAAGTAGAAAGTAGGTCTTGAAAGTAATTTATTCAGTTTTTTCCTGACTATTCAGACTGATATATTTTTTATAATGTTAGGAAAGAAAACTGGAGGAGAAGAGGCGTAGATTGAAAGAAGACAAGGAGAAATTTGAAGAGGAAACTGAGGTAATCTTTAGAGATGTTGAAATATATTGGTATATCATTGCATAGCAAAATACAAAGATATGCATTAGGTTTATATACCATTTCCACTGGAATAGACTATACTGGCAAGCATACTAAATCCTATATAATGTTATATGTTTATATATATTTAGAAACACATTGAGCAATATACCAAGCATGCCTGTTTGGTATATTTACCATCACTGCTATAGTTATTCATTTCGGCGAGCAAAAAAACATTTTCCTATCAAGTTTTCTATTTTATTAGCTCAATACATGCATTGATGCAGCAGTCTCTAACAGAATATCATAACATTTTGACATATTCCTTGCTTGGTTAAATTAGATAAATATATAAAAATGTAAGAACAGTGTAACAGTTTGGCAACTTATTCTTAAATAAATTGATTTTGTAAATTGTAGATTGATTGATAGTTGATATAGTTTTTTCATAGAGACAATCTTTAGTGATATCTATCTTCTATCTTCCGTTAATGTCAAACCCCTCGCGGGGACGTAGACATGTAACTAGACATGATATTAGAATTGTTTTAAAGAAAATGTTAATAACATGATATTTGTAGCATTGTCATGTATAAAGAAACTCAATCACAAAATTTATTATTTTAATTAGTGTACCATTTTTCATTTTCTTCGAAGCAGTATTAATTTCTTTTGTTTTATAGTAATTTAATTATTCATTTTATTATCATCAAAGGAGGCATTTGCTAGCAGGACTGTGCAGCTCAGTGCAAACGAGATAGAGCGCATGAAAGCTGAACGTAAGCAGGTGAATGATGAATTAAAGGAGGAGTCTGAGGCCCTGGAAAAGGTGAAGGCGGAGAGACGTGCCATAGAGGGCGAGCTTCTCAAGATGAAATTAAGCCGCGATACAAATGCTAGAAAACTGAAGTAAGTTACACAGATGATTAAAGTTATACAGGAGGTCTTCCTCCACAAGAAAGTTGTCATTTGACCATTTAAGTGTCAGTATTACATAAAACACAACTAAACAATGTTACATTGAAAAGTTGGTGTAAAACATCCCTGCAGGGAAAAAACTAAGGAATTGAAGATCATTTTAAGATATTAAGGATATTAGTTAAAAATTAGGAGGCTTCAATAAGATATAGAATATCCCGAACAATTTGATAAATTACAGTATAGCCTGTGCAGAGTGACCCTCTGCATAGCAATAACCTCTTTATAAGTATATTTTATTTCAAGTACCTCATTTTAACCCTTATCATGCCAACACCGAGATATCTCGGATTTCATGTCCTTGCCACAGCAGCCGACACCGAAATATCACGGATCTGTTAGTAATCCAATACACAACGGGGAATACACAAATCAGCAATGTCATACTGATAAGAAATAATTACCAGTGAATGGGGGAGAAGATATCTTAATTGTTCTATAATCTGGGGTCAAGTTAAACATAAATAATCCAGGATGGTGCGAATGTTTTCAGTTTTATTCATTTGTAAAAAGTTCAGAAAAATGACAGAAGGGCAAAATAGACAAATGCATGTGCAAGATGTCTTAGAACAATTGTTTGATGATGAAAAAATACATAATTCTAGTTCTTGTTCTAGTAGCACTGATAATTATTTTGATCAGTCAGAAAATGAGCAGGAATATATTGAGGATTTATTACATAATTTGCTTAATAATTTTTGTTCTTTTTTACATTTCTTATGATATTTGTATGCAAATTTATAAAATAAAACTCAATGAAATAAAATAATTTTTATATCATTAAGTAGATATTTTAATCTTCTTTTAAAAAATGTATAGGTTTACGTATCAAATAAAAATAATAAGGTAGAACGAGAGGTTTAAATCACCTAACCCCAATTAACCTTAACTTACATAAATTAATTCGGCACTGCAGGTAGTTAGCAGTGGTAGTTTACTCGGCATGATAAGGGTTAAGAATCGGCAAGCATAACACAAAACATCAAGATTTTTATTTTTAAAAAAATGCCTTCTGCCATCACAAAAAAGTAGCTTGAGTTACAAGATACAGTTTGCCTTGTTAAAATTAATTTTAAGGTCCATTGACTAACTTGCTTTCATTGATATCACTAAAATTCAAGGTTTGATTATTGGTTTAATGGTCTAATCCAATCATCTAGTAAAAACCAACTTTTAAAACATAAATTATTTGAAATAATCAGGAGGATAAAATTGCTTTTAACAAATTGTTGCAAATCAAATCATCCTTGAAAACAAGCCTGTAGACTGTGTCAAAGGGAAATTGCTGAACAGATGATATCATATATTGTACTGTGTTATAGGGAAATGAATGAGAACTTCCAGTGATGTTACAATTTGTACAATGTTAAAGGGAAAAAAATAGGTGAGAAGTTATCGATATATATTGTAATATGTTATAGGGAAATGGGTGAGAAGTTGTCTAGGAAGGACAAGGAGCTAGGAAATGTGCAACAGAAGCTTATAGAAGCTGTGGAGGAGGAGAAGACGATTGCGGAGGAGAAGTTGCGTAACAGTCAGGCAGATAGGAGGCACATGATGAATGGACATGTAGATAATAACAGTGATGAGGAGGATACACATAGGGGTATGTACTTACATTGATGATTGAGTTTTAACTACACTTTGTTCATAAGTTCTCCTCTTTATGCTCCAGATGAAACTGCTCCTCAACTGATTGATCTTTCACTGGTGCTTCAACCCCCTTTCTTAATATATAGACTATTGTTATTACTTTCCAGTCTGTTTTATGTAACTATGTAACGGGCAAGAGACCATGCTTTTTGTTGTTGTTTTTTTTTGTTTGGGGGGGGGGGGGGGGGGGGGTAGGGGTTCAGGGGTTGTTTAGGGCCTAGGGTGTATGGACAATTACAAAATGTGCTTTTTTTTTTAAGAACACAAGTCTTTTTTATCTTATGTTTTTAAAGAAGCATACTTTATTTTTGATATCAAATAAGCTTTTACTATTAATGTACATCATATATAAATGGTGTATAACCTTTGAGGTACATCAAAACCAAAGCATGTATGTCATCATGCATCTAGAAACTTCCTACTCAATTAGAAATATTTTATTAAAACTTTAAAATTAAAATTTTAAATGTCAATTTCCATGGCATTCTAAATGTAATTTTCTCACATTCATTTGTTAATGTACACCTGATACCATAACCTTCTCATAATGTGAGAAAAGAAACAAGAAAAAAATAATAACCATTTATCTTAAACTAATATTTGTTACTTTGTGCTGAGGTCACATGGCACTGTGCAAACTATTTGATTTAAGATCTGCCTGCACAAAAGTTTAAGTTTTTAGAAAAGAAGGAGGAAGTTAGAATAAAACATCTAAAATATTTTTTTTATCTGTTATTTAGTTGCATTACTTGACTGTAGTTATTGGCATACAGTCTCATAGATTTCTTTGTACGTAAGCCATTGTGTGCTTGATATTTCTGTACTTTTAGTTCTTTCTTAACTCATGAATATTTCACATATTCCTTGGTTGTCATTGACAATAAGATTATTATCAGCTGTATCAGTTATTGTTTAAAAAAGTCATTTAAATCATTTAATTATTTACATGTTGTTTGTTATTGTTTGAAGTGGAATAACTTATATAAAGTCTTGATTTAAAATAGAATGTTACATTCTTGTATGTTAATGTTATTAACTTTAAGTGGCAGCATGGCTAAGTAGTTAACATGTCAGACTAGCTATCTAAGGATTGCTAGCAATGTTTGTTCAAACCCTGTAAGGGCAACATGTTGTTTCCTTGAGCAAGAAACTTTACACTCATTGCTTGTTGGTTTCAGGATCAAATTGGAGAATGTGTATAGCTAACAGCTTCTTACACAATCGGACTAAAATAAATTCTATTTAAACCATTGGTATTAGTTGAACAGAAATTGTTAGACATACTGTAATCCCCTGTTAAATCCACTCCACCCCTTATCCTCAGAATATTTTTCTTTGAAGCATAATAATAGTTTCCATTCTTTTAAGTTAATAAAGGTTAAAAATAGATTCTTGTCTTTTCCATATAGTTTGGCAATGATTATGATTATATAAAAGATTAATCTTCTACTGTTTAAAACATAATCCATGTTTTCATTCTAGATCTGCAGCGACTGAAGAGAAAGAGTAGAGTAAGGAAAACCAAGGTTGACAATGATGAATACGCAGAGAAAAATGCTTGGAATGATTTATTATCAGATGATGACAGTCTTACGCTAGATCTACCACTACATAGATATGGGTTAGCTTCTTTTTATAATTTGACTATTTCAAGAATAGGAAGAAGTATTATACTCACCCCAGCATCACACTTAAATTAAGTTTTTGTATGCAAGTTGATATCTCTAAAATTACTGAAAGGAATAGATTGAAACTGTACACACTTGTTTTCTGTGATAATCTGACATGATGAGCCACACAATTCCCTTTACTAAGAATAGTTGAGTGGGCTGTTTATGAATAGTTTTTCTTTGTTACTTAAACAAAGCACTCTATTACATTGATAATGATGAAGTTGATTAGGTTATAAGTACAGGTATTAGTAAAAAATAGAAAATATGTGTGTTTAAGATTGTTTGATGTATTTGTTCTCTATTAAGAGTGTTATATTGTTTTCATCTTATTTGAATGTCATTTCAGGTTGAAAGAACATGTATCTAAGGAAAACAATGCTATAACTGTATCTAAGGAGTTTCTACGTAAACAACGACAGTCACTCAAACGTCGTCAGGCAGCACTGCAAGCGGCAAAGCAGGAACTTGTTAGAGATATTATTAAACAAAAACAGGGGGTAAGTCATATGATATGTTCATTTACAAGTGAAGAGAATTAGGCCTGAAATAAGAATATTCATATTTGTCTCATATTTTTGCATTATTGGTATACAAACTGGGATGTATATTTGAATAAAACTTTGGTTCTTAACTTTGAACATATGCTAGGCATTCACAATTTTAATTGTTTGAAATCTATTTGCTAACATGCCAATTTTATAAATTGATATAGAAAATGTTTAAACAAAACAATATTTTACCTACCTACCCTGTCAAAACTTGCATAGGTCTCAGGATGAGAAACAAATATATTTTTGAGACTGACTTAAAGAAATGCTCTAGTACTCCTAAAAAGATAACAGTTTTTTAGAAGTCAGTGATATTTATATAGACTTGATTTCTTAGTTTAAGCGAGTCAAGTTAATTAGTATATTTTCCAGAGACATGAGATTATTCTTGTATTTTAATAACTGTGTAGCAGGAGTAGAATATAAAAATACAAATTAAACTAATTTGTTATGCAAAAGTCACGAAAAACAACCACATTTTCTTTTACTTATGCTGACCATATTTTATTAGACGTTGTCACCTGAGAGTGCACATGTCCTTGATGATGTAAAACAGAGTTTAGAGAAGGAGGCAATGGATTTAGAACGTATGACCATACAGATGAATGCTGGGAACCGGCTTCTCAAAGAGAAAGAGAAATATCTTCACAAACTCAAGTCCAGGGCATCAAATGATGTAAGTATTAACCATTAATGACATGTTAATTTCTTTTTTAAGGTTTTGCCCAGCTTTAAATTTGAAACAGTCCATTCAAAGTTCAAGGGATTTCAAAATCAAAATACAAAAATTAAGCTGCCAACAGTATAAAGCCTGGTCAAACTTCAGTTATATTTGTGAAAATGTCATGTGTTCTTGTCATGACATTTCTGTAATCAGATATTTGTTTGAGATTTCTAAAAATAATAAAAATTTTGTACAATATGTATAAATAAAGAGCAATAAGAGTATAAATAAGAGCAAACCTTATCTACATATACATTATTCTCTTTTGATTTGCTTTACTCAATGACATTATATTGATAATGTGTAAAGAAAAATAAACAAACAAGAAATAATGAATCATGCAGGAAGTGCTAAAATGTTGTAACTTGTATGAAGTAAAGTAAAAGATACATCTGTATTGTACCAATTTGATAATTTTCTTTAGATTAGCCAGGTTTTTGAAAGACATGCTCTGATGAGAGTTGACATTTATCTAATCTTAAGATATCTAAGTGATTTTAATATCAAATAATGAAACAGCCATTAGAATAGGGGCTAGTCATTCTTCATGTCTGTACTAGACATCCTTGTTTTGTACATACGGTATGGGCTATTAATTATTGTTGCAATTGCAGTAGAAAGGTCAACAATTAATAATACAGTCGAATATCATTTTCGCTCGAACGCCTGTGCAAATTTGCTCAAGAGATCAGTAGTTTGAGCCAACTCAGGTTCAACTATTATCACAAAGGACATTGGCCTAAACTTTTTTCAACTTACATCGGTCAAATGATAAATACGTCAATATAATTGTTTGTTAGTACATCAGTTTGTAGAATATGTCATTTCTTTTAAATTCGAGCGAACAAAGTTTAACTGTATGTTATTTTTTGTTTTTCAGTTCAACAGTGATTCAGACCTGGATTGGTCACCATTTGAGCATAACTACAAACCAGCCAAGTTACCAAACTTTGATCTTAGTGATGATGAAGGTAGTAGTGGTATAAGCAGCACAGATAATAGTCTAGATAATGTCCTACAAGGTACAAACTCTAACCTAAATCTTCATTGTAAATATGTCACAATTATTTTGGAATACTTTTGAAATATCTGCCGACCTATTGCCTCATGAAGAACATATTTCACAAAGAACACATTTCACAAAGAATATATTTTACATGGAACACATTTCATAAAGAACAGATCTTACAAAGAGCACATCTTATAAAGAACATATCTTACAAAAAAAACACATTTTTCAAAGAACACATCTTACAAAGAACACATCTCATAAAGACACATCTTACAAAGTACATTTCTCATAATGAACACATCTTCCAAAGAACACATTTTACAAAGAACACTTCTTATAAAGAACACATCTTACTAAGAACACATTTTACAAAGAACATATTTTACAAAGAACACATCTCACATAGAACACATCTTACAAAGATCACATTTTAGAAAGAGCATGACTCGTAGGGAAACACATTTCATAAAGATCACATTTTACAAAAAACACATTTCATAAAGAAGACATTTCACTTTTTATCTCACCTGAGCTAGCTCAGGGTGAGCTTTTAGGATCGTTGAATGTCCGTCGTCTGTCGTCCGTCCACACTTGTTCGTTAACACTCTAGCGGTCACATTTTTGCCTCAATCATCATCAAACTTTGTCGGGATGCTTATCTTGGTAATAGCTCGGATGAGTTTGAACATGGGTCATCTCGGATGAAAAACTAGGTCACAGGAGCTAAGATAGAAAAACCTTGTTAACACTCTAGCGGTCACATTTTTGCCTCAAACTTCATCAAACTTGGTCAGGATGCTTATCTAGGTAATAACTCAGATGAGTTTGAACATGGGTCATCTCGTATGAAAAACTAGGTCACAGGAACTAAAAATAGAAAAATCTTGTTAACACTAGTGGCTACTGTTTTAATCCAAATACCCTGGATTTTGGTCTGAAAGTTTGTTTTGATGATTTCTAGGTCAAGTTTGAATATGGGTCACCTGGGGTCAAAATCGAGGTCAGACTGCTCAAATTTGGATAATCCTTGTTAACACTAGTGGTCACATTTTTGACTCACCTGTTATGAAACTTGGTCTGAGAATGCTTGTCTAGATAATTGTTCGGATGAGTTCAATGGGTCAGGTGAGCAATCTAGGGCCATCTTGGCCCTCTTGTTTAAAGGTTGCTCATAACTCTCTTGGGATTTTGATTTGTAGAGGCCTTTAATTGAAGCTGAGGTCGAATCATTAATGATCTTATGAAAATGCCTATTTAACTTGAGTTTAATGTGTCTAATAAGTCTTAAACTCCTTGTTAATCTGAAAGTGAGGTTTGAAACTTATTTAATAAAAGTTGTTTTTTACTTTCTAATTGAACAGAAATAAGTTCATTTACCTTAAAATTAAAGGCCGATCTTTATTTCTTTATGGAATATGGACTGACATCTGATCTGTAAATGGATTTGAACAATTTACTATGTCAATATTTTTGTTTAGTCCTGTCCTTTCTTCTTACTGTATCACTTACATGATTAGTGCACCGCTGATTTACTTTGAAGTTGATTTACTTTGAAGTTAACTTTACTAAGTACTGTTTTACATATTTCAGCATTACATAAGCAGGTAGACCCCTCCCAGCCAGCTATAATTTCAGCACAGTCAACTGGTCCCTTACCCAGTGAGAACAGAGGCACATTAGATGGTAACGACCCATTAGCAAAGTCATTAGTCAAGATTAACATGGAACTTTCCAAGGTTATACAGAATATAGGGTCCCAACATAGTGCCTCAAGTACTCCTGTACCAGGATCTAATAATCCAGGTATGTTGTGTTGAAATTTAAAAGTTATAGATTTACAATTAAAAACTTATAAATCTCCATGTTTTTTGCATGAATTTCTTGAAAGAAGAAAGAATATTGCTGAAAATTAATCAGTTTTTTGATACAAAAAGGAGAAAATATCTAGTATATAAGGATGTGAGTTATGAATATGTGTACAAATTAGTAAGGAAATAAATGAAAATAAGATATTTTTCATTCCTAGTAACCGCCTCCATGGTGGAGGGGTTAGAGTCAATGACTTCTAATCCAGTTACCTCTCTGGCGTGGGTTCGATCCCCGGGAGATGCTTTGGTAGTTTAGCCCGGAGGAAGGTAGTCTAGTACTGGTGTAACTCTCCAGGAACGATGGTTAGGAAACTACCTGCCTATATGACTGAAATACTGTTGGGAAAAGGCGTAAAATGAAACAAACAAACAACCATTCCTAATATTGGATATAACAAAAAGGATTCAAAGTTTTATTTACTTATGATGCTTTCACTGGGATATTTTAAGTAAGCAAATGTATCTTTTTTCATTTTTTTTCTTAACCCAAATTTATAAATTTTTCCTGGTGTACATGTTTTAGGGGCAGCTCCTCTAACGTTTCATGGCCCCGTTTCACACCCTCCCATTACAATGGTAATGTAAACCCGCAGCACAGGACCCTTTAAAGCCTGCAACCAAAAATGCTGTAGCATCTGTCCAGGGATCAAACCCTTACTTGTAAGCTTTGTGATCAGAACAATTATTGAACACCAAAATTTAGTTTGCTATTTTTTTTGTGGTAATAATGGAAAAACTGCTGGTATGTCCTACTTAACAGTATGTTAGTGTATATATCAGTAACAAAACTTTTATTAAAGCTGCTTGCCTGCAGATGAGCCAAAATATTTCAACAAAATTCAACTTCCGAAAAATGTACTAAGAATTTAGGAAAAGTATAAAGATTCAAGATGCAAGTAATAATTTACATGCTCTGTGCGATTAATGACTGGTTTGCAGTACATGTATTTATCACCATATTTCTACTGTGTGACTAATGCAATAAGGGCTAATTTGCATATTTTGACCTCTTTTGGCAATTAAGTGGACCCTTAAGCAATTAAGTGTTGTTTGCATTGTGTAAATGACTTTCTTTTTTAACTTCACATTATTTTACTATACGAAAGAAAAAAGAATACCAAATAAATTTAAATAGCAAATTTATTTTGTACGAGCATACGCTGCAATTCAGCTTGTATCATAGCTTTTATACAAGTCAAATAGATCAATAAAATATATAATGGAGGTAATGGCCGCTCTGAATAACCAGTCGAGGTATCTCGCCTGATTCCTATAAACATGTACCTAATGCAGCGAAACAGCAAGAAAGCCAGACGTGTCGCGCTAATATTTAATTTCAAGCTTATTAAATAAAAACACATGTGCCATACTGAAACCATTTAACATTGGCTACCGGGTAACCAGAACCGAATGCCAAATAGTTTACCGGCTAATGCAAAAAAATGTGACACATCTGACTTCTTCCATGAATAAATTTTCGCCACAATAAATTGATTAATTTTACTTCTCTTAAAATAAATTTTCGCCACAATAAATTGATTAATTTATCCCCCAAATTTATTCATACTATATTTTTTTTATTAAAGAGGCCGGTAACAACTTTCCAGGTCTATACATGGCGTGATCCTAAATGCTTGACAATAGCATCCTTAATATAATCTAGGTAGAATTCTAAACCTACTGAATTGAGATGTACGCCATCATCTCGAAAAAAGGCCGTGGCCGCATCAATATCCGGTATAATGATATCACTTAAACCTGATGACGTAACAATTTTTCTGGCTAGACGATTAAGGCGTTTTCTTTTCATTTCGATAGGTCGATATCCCCTAATAGCGCCTGACCAATTTTGACGTTGTAAAATATCAACCCAGATTATCACAGTATGAGGAAAGGCTTCCCTTAAATATGAAATTTCTTGTTCAATTAAAAGTCGTAGTTGTACTGTATTGACCGACACAAGGTCGTTACCACCTAAATGAATAAAAATAATAGAAGGTGGAGAAGAAAACAACACCTGCATTTCTATTAGGCGTCTAAAACCACCCCATCTGAGGCCTCTCTCTGCCCACCAGGCAATGGACACATCCTTCAAGCCCAAATTCTCCTTAGCCGCATTCTTTGCGTAATTCCCGGCCCAGTATGGGATTGAATCCCCCAGAATCCAAACATCTAAATATAAATAGACCAGAAAAAACAAATAATTTTACATGAACAGTGTTAAAAAGTGCCTTGAGATACAGCTAATTATGTCTTACTTATTAAAAAGGCTTAAGCTCGAATGTAGTTATTGAAACACCCAGAATTCCAGCGTCCTAACTGTTTAATTGTTTCCGCTGAATAACCCAATGATGCAAGATCAGTAGCTCTACCAATTCTAAAACTATGACTTTTATATGGTGCCACGAGCGTAGAATTAAAACGGATGGATTTTGATAAAACTGATGAAAACTGAGACCTAGTTACGACCGTACCATTTTTGTGACAAAACAATGAACCTTGGACATTCGGTCTACATACTAAGTAATTCTCTAGCGCCTCTACAGGGCAAGGTAGTGAAGTCTGTCTCGGTAATTTTAAGAAAACTGGTTTACCTCTCTGATTAGTTTTAAAATGCCTAAGACGAACCATTAAATAATTGTTGTTATGTGTAAAAGACACATCATTTTCTTGTAAAGAATTCTCACAATGGTTAATACTAGTCGCCACCAATTCACTCACACGGAAAAGACCAAAATATGCAAGAACAAAAATCGATGTAAAAAGTTTCACCTCAAAATTATCGTAACAAACCATAGGTAAAGAATTGCAGATGTTAACTAAAACTGATAGAGTTATAGGAGCACGGTTGTCAAGCGAGATTCTACTTCTATGGCAGCCTTCTAATAATTTTCTGATGATAAAAACTTCCTTTATGTCGTAAAAACCATTAAGTTTATGGTAATAATTGATCCCTGCCAAGTACGTTGTGATTGACTTAGGTGACAGACCTTTCTCAAAGCAAAATGATAAAAACAAAATAATATGTTTTACAGGAATCGGTGATTGCTTTTCCATCCCATATTGTGACCGAAATTTCTCAAAGGCTGATAAAGAAGTATTGTATGTTGACCTTGAGTTGGCCGCTATTCCAGAGTGAATAAGCTTTCCGGCTCTAAACTGAAGATGTGCCAAAGGAAGGGTGGGACCAAGCAGGGTATTTCGTCGGCGTTTGGAGCTAACTCTCGAAACCTGGTCAACTGAAACCGAGATAAAGCGTCACATATATTGTTTTGGCAACCGGGGACATGCGAAGCCTTAATCAAAATATTGAGCTTTAAACAACGTAATGTTAACACTCTAACAATACACATTACCATTTCAGATTTGGAAGTTAATTTATTCAATATATGTACCACTGCAAAATTATCACAGTTGAACCGTATCTTTTTATTTTTAAGCTCATAACCCCATATATATAGTGCCGCTAAGATGGGAAAAAGCTCCAAAACCGTTATATCCTCTGTTATGCCCAACTCATGCCATACTTCCGGCCACTTAGCATGACACCAATGACCTTGAAAATATACCCCAAAACCTAAGTTTTTGCCACCCGCACTATCAGAAAACAACTGAACATCATCGTTTGACACCCAAAATCGGTCATGAAAAACGGAAACCCCATTAAATTGTTTCAGAAAATATAGCCACATAGTTAAATCTAAACAAATATCTTTTTTTACTCTGATATGGTGATGTGGTTTATTTAAGCCACAAATTGAATTGATTAAACGACGAATGAAGGGTCGTCCTACTATGACTGCTCTACAGCAAAAATTTAACGAGCCTATTAACGATTGCATTTTCTTAAGTGTTGTTTTCTTATTTGACAGACATTCCTGAATTTTCTTTGTTACTTCTAGAACTTTAAGCTCAGGTATACGCACGCACATTTGGTTTGTATCTAATTCTAAGCCTAAAAAAGTCAACACTTCCGTCGGACCCTCCGTTTTGTCTTCGGCCAAAGGTACGCCAAGCTCAGACATTGTATCTTTAAAAGTTTTTAGCGCATGCGCACATGTTTCCTTAGATCTGTCCCCTCCTAAAAAATCATCTAAATAATGCAACAATTTCGCAGAAGTTAGATTTCTCTTAACAGAAAACTCTAAAAACCGTGCAAATCTTTCAAATGTGATACAACTTATAGAAGCCCCAAAAGGTAGGGCCTTATCAAAGTAATAATTCTCGTCAAAATAAAAACCTAACAATTCAAAATCACACGGCTTAATAGGAATAATACGGTATGCACTTTTGATGTCCGTCTTGAATAATTGACAGTTATGACCTAGATCTTGAACCATTTTGACTGCGTCATCAAAGCTTGTGTATTGCACAGTGCATAACGCTGGATCAATATGGTCATTAACCGATTCGCCTGGCGGGAATGACAAATGATGAATCATTCTATATTCACCAGGCACTTTTTTCGGCACTAAACCAATTGGTGATACAATTAAATTTTTGATTGGTCTTTTCTTAAATGGGCCAGCGATGCGGCCTGCGGAAAGCTCTTTACTTATTTGAGACTTTATTATCTCTGGATTAAGTGAAGTAGAACGCAAGTTTTTTGAGTCACGTGGAGCACGTGGACCTGAATACTGAATAGAAAAGCCGTTTTTAAACCCACTTAATAAAAACGAAGCTTCAACTTGATCGTAATATTTTAATAATTTCCTTAAAACTGAAAGTTTGACAGGTGATTTTGCTAAACAAAAAATATCAGAATTAACTTCATCTAACGAACTAAGGCCGGATTTTTTTGTGCTATCAATTTTTTCTCCCATTTTTAGAGTCGCCTCTTCTGTAGAAGGGACTGGCACGAAAGGATTTTTGCGGGGGCGTTACAGACTCGCTTGACAGCTTATTCTTAAACTGATTAAAACTGCCACTTGTTGATGACTGATTTTTAGTGCACGCAAATTCTGGATGAGGAGCCGCGCACGTGTTACACACGTGGGCAAATTTACAATTTCGCCATGAGCAACTACCTCTATTGAAATCATTACACGGGTATCTAACGGAACTTGATGGGGCTTTGGAAGGGGGGCGCAATTGCATGCAGCGCCACCACAAATCATTATTAATTTTTTACCATGAGGCGGGTGAAATAGCTTGACGGAGGCGAAACTGTTCGTCGTAAGTCCGCCATGCGACGCCTCCCTGACGTAAAGCGCATTCTCTTATGTTGAACATATAGTGCAACATTTCATACATTTTATCTGCGTGTGCCGACAGATAAACAGACATGTATATTATAAAGGCGTTTGTCCATTTTTCTATGTCAAATATCGATTCCTTACATTCTTTCTGGGCAGTTTCAATTTGACCATTTGCATTTAAGCGAAATAAACTGCCTGAACAAAACTCGGACAGCTCAACAGCCCCTTTGAGCAAAAGGGCTAGGTTAATATATTCACCCTTGCAAATTTGTTGCTTAAGGGAGCTTGGAACATGTGCCGCAATATCATCGTCTGCTATGCGGACCATGGTTAACGGTGGCGTAGTTACCACATTGTTTGCCGAATATAAACCCGTGCTGGCCTTTCGCGGGCCTGAAAGCGGGAGTTCTAAAATATTTTGCGCACCACACCCCTCATTACTATTACTTAAATTTGAGCTTGGAATAATCTGAGACTCTTTAAGAATTTGTTCAAAGTCTATAATGTTTGACCTACCGGCTTCGTTCTGCAGCATGCGCTCATCAACGGAGTCCTCCAACGTTAACGCTGTAGAAGCTGGTCTCTTTCGGCCTCTCGTTGTTCTAGCATTTCTATCCTCTTCCTGAGGAGAAGGCAATGTTACAGCTGTCCTGCGACCACGTGGCATAGCGTTACACAGCAAATTGAATTCTCGTAAAGGTACTATAAGTCTGAATGTGTTGTCGAAAGCAAGTGGGAGAATTGCGCGATTTTCACGTATTTATAGCAATGTAACTGTAAGCGACTGTAGCTCAGTTTATGTACGTATGTGTAATGACATACTTAATAAAAACGGGTACCAATATTAATGTAATACACAGACTATTTCTTTCTCGAAAATAAATTGAATTATTTTGAATGAAAATAATTATTAATATTTTACATTTAAATATACATGTACTTACAAAATATTCATGAAAATTAGCTTTTGAATCTGGAGGCATGCTGCTTTATTGATTTGCATAAAATTCCTTATCTTATTGAGCATGTTTATCAAATGATAATTGTCTATGACTGCCCAAGACCCATAACTCTAGAATGACTGTTTACTTAGTTTACCAATTTAAAAATTTAGAAAATTAATATAAAGTCTTGTTTTACTATCAAACATAAAGACTTGTTAAACAGGCTGCATACACTTTACCCAACTAAATATCTGAAATAGACTTGTCTATCATACAATCTTGACAAAATCATTCATTATTTTTAGGAACAATTTTGAATTAATACAGGCTAAATGATGTGATCTGATTTCTTTTTTTCATTATTTTTCTTGTTTCTATTTATTTTTGCTATATTATTGTTCCCTATTTTTTCAGATACAATCCTCAACATAGAGTTGACTATGCAAGTTTAGTTTTAAATGCTGAACAATCTTTAGAAAGAAAATGGAGAAAATATTTTGGAGGTAAGGGTAATAATTGATATCATAGGATTTGAAATACTTGGTACAAAATTAAAAAAGACATTGATTTCTTAATTATTCAACTCATGAATGCTGCAACAGAGTGGTACCTGTGGTCTTTCTCCACCAGTAAAGTTAGAAAGTTAACATATGACCATGTTAGTGTATGTGTCACGCAAAACCAAACCAAAACAAAACAAAAAAAGTGATTATAGAACTTCGGATTACATAAGGAAATCATACATGGATCAATTTATGCAACTGAAAGTTGTTATTGTACAAGCCTGTTGTATTCTGAATATATGGAAGTTAATATCAGAATTTTCATAGAAGACTCAAGTTTACATAATTTAATGAAATTTAAATATAACAAGTTCAAATGTAGATGTAAATTTAACAATGAATTACATTAATCCAATATTTTTCTCATAAAGACTTTTGCATCAGCATTTTAAAGCAATACAAATTTAAAGCTCTTACTGTTATATTAACAGATCGACGACCCCCACTTACAAGTGCCACAGGTTTTGTGCCATCATCTTCTTCCTCATTTGGACATACCCCTATCAGGTATATTATCCCTTAATGAATAAAGAGAGTTGGATGAAATCTCCGAAAGCAATGTTCAAATACGATCATTTTTATTGCAAATTAGACATTGAAAATTCCAAGTTTTTCATGAATAAATGAATGCGTTACACAGAAAACATGTTCTACATTGTTTTAAATTTCATCAACAAAAAAAAATGTTCATCAATCATCTGAATGTGAGGTCTCTGATTAGAAATAGTTTAGATGTTTTTTAGAACATTGCTTTGAAGGTTTTGTCTTATTTTCTGTTTCCTTACTCTTTGATTTTATGAGACTTTAAATCATGGTCCCCATGTATAAGTGATAAATCACTTGGCATGCTAAAGAACCAGGAGAAGCTTCTGAATTGGGGCATCTTTCTGTATTTGTATCTTGCACAATCCTCCAAAGTCTAAAATGACTAATATTCTTCTGGAGGACTCAACCAGTGGTGAGTATAAATAAAACTTAAAAACACTTGCCAACAGTAGTGTAATATCTGGTCAGAGTGCATAGAGATTCAGGCTGGCCTAGCTGTATACTGGTGGCAAAAGTTAATTACTTTCAGTACTGCAGAGTAATGGTTAAAGGTGTATAGTAATAAATATGTACATGGGTTTCAGACATGATAGGAGTTTTGAGATAAGACGGACATATAGTGTGAGGGAAGTAGGCTCATGGTATGACCAGATTTGAAATAGTGTTGTCCCAGTAAATAATTCACTATCCCCCTTTACACTGTTGAATATACTGTACACTTTGTGATGTTTTTTTACCCAAACCTTTGGAGTTTTCAACAGAAGTAACAAAAGACCTCTGCCACATGAAACAAAGGCTAGACTCATATAGTTAATTCTACTGTTTGATTTCTCTATTTAAATGTTTTGATATTCAAAAACTAACAAGTAGACAGTTTAAGTTAAAAAAATCTTGAAAAGTCTGAATAAAAACTCTGTTTTTATCAAAAAATCTTTAGCAAATTTCATTTGTACGGGACAACTGAACTCAATATTTTCCCATTATCTTAACACATAGAAAAAATTTGCCATTAAGTTACAGATGAAGGTTTCTTAAATCCCTGTCAAATAAAGTTTAAAGGGTAGAAATATATAAAAAAATAAAATTTTGTTAATAGATGGATCATTTTTTATATGTTTATTATATTTTTATTGATCATGCTTAAAGGATATTTACAATCTATCCAAGTTTGAAAGATTTAATAATCCTAAGGTGAGATTTTTTGATAAACTAGTTATAAACAATGTATCACAAGGCAAAAAAATACACATGGTTAATTTATTTCACTGTTTGCATCATCTGAATATGATTATTTTGTGTTTAAATGTTAAATTTTAAGTTGTATTTGTTTTTGTTTCTTTTTGTAATTATTTTTGAAGAAAATTATTAGTTTAAAATGTCATATGTTTGATAAATTATTATTTATCATTTATTATTATCTATGAATGATAGATATTGTCACCTTAGTGCAGTTACTGGTTAACTCCTTATATGATTTAATAGGAGTTAATTCTTTACTGCTTTATAAGTGACAATAATATGACAAGTTAGCAGGAATTATGCTTGCTACATTGTGTTTGGCAGAAATTTGTCTTGATCACTTAAGTTAGACATATCACTCACACATTTCACATTAGCTTTCTTTTAAAACATACATGTTTTCACTGACATTTATTACAATCTTGGTTTCTTATACAAACTAAAAATCTAAATTTAAATAATTTTTTTTGTGAGTATTCGAATATAATTTAGCTGCAGTAAATTATTTGACTGTAAAACCTGAGTTCAGTTTCATTTAAAAAAATATTTTTCTCATGCCAGAAGTCTTATTTTCTATAAGTGTATGTACTTAATACATACATATCTGTTTTCAAGATATCTCATTACAAAATACTCCACCCACCAGTATGATTCAAGAATTAGACCAGTCTATTGATCGAGCTACTGAATGTTATTAACGCATCTTTCGTAATATTTTATGTAAGATATGAACTAAATTATATTGCACACAGTGGAAAGAGTTTATTTTAATCTAATGTGAATTCATATAATGATAATAATTAAAAGCTTGATTTCAATTTTGTCCAATCAATTTTGAGTGCACTTCCTGTAAAGATGAAAACTTTCAAAGCTGATGGTTTTATTATTATAATAATGGGTGTTTATGCAATACTGAGAAACTTACTGCATTATTATAATTACACTCTTGTCGTTTTGTTAATATTTTCTTTCCCATTGTCCAAATATAGCCATTTTAGGCTGGTCAATTGTTCATTTTATTATACTTACACCAGTATAACAGATGTCATGTTTCCTTGCCAGTATATAATTCTGGTTTGTCATTCCCTTTGATCCTTAATGACCCTTGTCTCTTAGCACCTGGCTAATATTATTGACAATATCAAATATATCTGGTATGTTTTGCTTTCAGGTCAAGGTCACTAATGTTAACATAGATTTCCTGCTCTTCCTAATAGTCTTTAATTCAAAGAGAAATTATTTAAGTTCTGGTTGTCTTAAGAAAAAAAAAAGTGACAGTGGCAGACAAGTGTCTATTTAACATTCACTTTGACTGCATCATGCTATAATATTACTTTTTGAAGGGAAAAAAGGAGACTAAAAAAGATTATCAACATTTTGAGAAGTGAAATTATTGAACATTTATGTTTTCATTCCAAGTTTTAAAAAAGGTTTCTGTTGCAAATGAATATATTCAAGACTAAAAAGTTGTGTAATAATTGTTATCTATTGAACACTTTAATTGAATAAAAGATATCAATTCAGTATGACTTTATGTAGGCGTTAAAATTGAAAGAAAGAAAATACATAAGAAAAGACAAAAGATGAAATAATCAGAAAGGTTTTGTCAAGGATGTCAAATTACTTCCGTTGGGAGGAAACCCAGGTGTTTAAACTGTTACCTTAATTGTTTAATTCTTTTTTTCTAGAATATTTTTTATGTTTATGTTTAATCTTGTGACAACTTGTTCTTAATAAAATCTAAATTTATTATCTTGGGGAAATTATTTTGCACAAAAATCAAGATTTATAGTTATATGTAGCTTGTTTTTTTAATTAATACAATTCAGTTATATTGTTTATTGTTGTTTTGTATATAAAAGATCTTGTACTGGTTGGGATTTTGTATAGGAAAGTATATTTAAATATAGAGTTTGCAAATACTTGATCTTTGTGTAATGGTAGGTCATCCAAAACTTGGAAGCAGCATGCTTCGAGATTCATGATAATTTTCTAAATGTCTTAAAAAGTAAAATACTTTAAATGAACCAAGTCGAAGAAAGTAATCTACACTTACAGTCCACATAAATTACCAAAAAGAGGTCAAAATACACCAAAATAACCCTTAATGCAATAGTCATGCAGTAGCAATGTGGTAATAAATATTGAAAAATCAGTTATAAATATAAATTGCACATACATTTCACATTTTTATACCTTTTACATTTAAAATATAATAGGGTAAATAACAAATCAATAAGAAAAAATCAATAAGAATTTAATCTTGTAAAACTGATTTAATGAATTCTTCATATGTGATAAAGGTCAGGAAGGGAAACATTTTTATATGAAAAAAAAAAAAAACTCATTGGCACAATCAATTTTCTTTTCTATTCTTTCACAACATGTTTTTTGTAAAACAATCTCAAATGCTGTATTCAGTAGATATTCAGTAGAATTATATAGAAAACAGATATCTACTGAAATATCTTATACTTTTTTTAAAGTTTTTTTGTACAGAATTTAATATAATGTTTGACTTACTGATCGAGCTAATGCTATGACCAATTTTTGCATTTGCAATAATGTCAGTTATATGAACTATTGTCAGTTGGTTATATAAACTGTTTTACTAGTATATATTCTTATTGATGACATGAATAGGATTGGTAATTCATAATAAGCACTGAATTTTTCTTTTTAAATAACTGACAATTTATTTCTTTAGTGTTTTTTCCCCTATGAAAAATGTACCATAAAAGGGCCTTTATTATTAAGGTGTTTTTCTTTTCTGTTTCACAGGGAACAGTTACGACAGTTCAGGTCAAGCTTGCATGATATACCCGGTGCTGTAAACCCGCCCACAATAACTCCATCAGCCAATGAGAGGCTTAAAGGGTTCAGTACTGATGACCGATTGGCTGAACAGAAAGAATGGTTGAAGAAGTTTCAGCAAGATTTGAGTTTCGGCACATCAGGGTATGGTGCGGCACCAAGCTATGGAATACCAAATTTTGGAACCATGAGTGTAGGACCCACTTATGCAAAAGCTCCCGGCTCAGATGCGGGCTCTGTGTATCCTTTTTCTGTTGTCTTTCTGTGAAAAAGTTTTGGCATTATGTTAATGTGATGATTAATTATAATTATTCACTCACGTTGATTCACTGATGTGTAAAAGATACATTAAATGTTATTGCGCTTTGTACACTGTCTGATAACCAACAAATGTATATTAACAACATATTAATTTTATGGAGTCAGTTTTTATTTGAGGCACAAACTAATGATTTTTTAGTTGAATTTACTTTTCTGTGGCCAAATTATTTGTGTTCAATTTGAAAATCATTAATTTTTGTTTGTAAAATGTTGAACCATTAACTGCACATTTGTGCAATCTGGTCAGGCCATATAATTTTTTGTCGAGCCCACTTGCGGTGAGCTTGACTTAGCCACCACTTTCAGTGAAAAATTCGATATATGTGTGTCTGGATTTGTCTAGTCTATATCTTGCTCATTTCTTGATGGATTACAAAATAATTTAGTACGAATGTTCACCATGATGGGGTTGTGTGTCACGGCCAAAACCCAGGTCCGCCACTAAAAGATAAAGGTCACACTTTGGGGCTAGAGGTCACAAGAGGTCAAAGGTCAAATAAAGATATCAAAATTTGGTTGTCTGCACTGTATCTTGCTTATGCTTTGAAGTATTATGCTTAGTGGTCATCACCTAAGATGATGCAATGTCAAAATTTTGCCTTTGGTATAAAGAGGATGTGTTGTGCATATCTCACTAAGTCTTATGTGTACATCTTTCTCCTTGATCTGAAGCTTATAGGTTTAGTTTGAATTAAGGCGAGTGGGCTCAACATTCTGCCCATGGGCATGTCTTGTTGTATTTCCATATTGAAAATCCTGAAAACTTCATATGGTCTGTGTTCCAAATTCAAAGCAGTGCAAATTCATTGCTTTATGGTTACTTAACAATGAAATAAAAGCAAACAAGTATTTCAGTTACAACATAATGAGTCTGCAGACATTTTGAATAATCATTAAATAAGTAGAGGAAAAAATATGTGAATAACTCATACATTAAAAACCTTAACTATGCACTTAGTAACAGTTTAACAGGTGAATCAGAGAAAGTTACAGAACCCGTCTCCTGTTCAACTCCGACACGACCTTCCGGCGGATCTGGTGGCGTGAGACTTGAACTTGATGAAAATGACGAAATACGAGTACGAAAAATATGACATCAGTGATCGGATAGTGAAATATTTTACAGAGGAGAAGTTGTTTACAATGTTAGATGTTTGAGATCGGATGACAACATGTTTATCATCAGATCATCAACATCTGTGTAACTACAGTCTTTTTATAGTTCTCAAACTATATTAATAACGAAGAGAGAAGAGGTTGCATTTGGTATTTGATCAATTGTTATTAAGAACAAAACATTGATGGTCTTCAAAGTGTAATTTTTTTAATTAGGCAAGAGCTGTAAATCATTACATAAAAAAGTTATACATTGTCATCATAGAATTAGTTTATACAATGAGAATTAGTTGTCTCAATGAAAATGGGGTAAAATGTAGAAAACAATAGTAAAATCACAATAAAAGATGTGGTCACAGTGAAAAAATACTTAAACAATGTATAAACAATGAACTTAGACATTGAACAAATACTGACGCTGTAAAAGTCTTTCATCGAAAGATGCTCAAATATTGATTGAAAAGAGCTTTTCCACATTGAACAATGTCAAAAAATGCATTGTCATAATGAAAATTTTCACATTGAACAATGTCAAAAAATGCATTGTCATAATGAAAATTTTCACATTGAACAATGTCAAAAAATGCATTGTCATAATGAAAATTTTCACATTGAACAATGTCAAAAAATGCATTGTCATAATGAAAATTTTCACATTGAACAATGTCAAAAAATGCATTGTCATAATGAACAGTTTTTTAGTTGTTTTTTTTTTTTTTTTTTTTTTTTTGGGGAGGGGGGGGGATATTTGATCAGAAAGAGGTAGAGTTACAGGAAAAGTATAAGGAAAAGTATAATGACAGTATTGGTCTGGCTAAAGCAGCATTTATTCTAACATAAATGGTACTACACAACGATATTTACTCTTCAAGCAGGTCTGTGATAATCACATTTAGTATAATCTTACTGGCTAGAAGCTTGTATCGAAAACATGTACAGCTTTTTATTTTGCTGGCTAGAGGGTTTGTTTGTTTTGTTCTTTAGCATTTTTCGAGAAGTAATAAAGAAAAAGTTGGCCATATAAAACAATAATCTATTCTGCTGAAAAAGAAGGGTGCTGTTGTAAAGTGGTTCAATATTTTATAAACTGTATTTCGAGAAGAATTAATTTTAATTCTAATACAATCTTTTCGTGTTTTTATTTTTTTTTTATTTTAATGTCTGTTAATATATGAGAGAAGTAAGAAGTGTGAGCATTAGCTTTATATTTGTATTTTTTTACATTTTTATTTAAAAAACAAAAGATGTAGATACTCAGTGTTTTTAGTCACTTACTGTCCATTTTATTTCCTGATTGCTTTCATAATGAAATAAGGAAAAAGTAAGAAGTAAATTTCAGACAGAAAAAAGTATCCATTATAATTTTGGAGATAACATTGTGTATTACATGTATTAAGGACAAAAAGTAAAAAAGTAAAACAAAGAAGTGAGCAAAAGTGGGTTATTTTGGAGCAAAGAATGGTGAATTTTTCTTTTTTGTATATAATTTATATTTTGTTATTGTTCGCATCATGTAAATAAATATTATTTTGAAGGTATGAAAACATTTAAAGAAAAAAAAATTGCAACTTCTTTATAGTCTTCCAGTTATACTGTTTTCATGTCTTCTTTTAAAAATATGTTCATTTTTTTTTTTTTTTTCATAAAAAAACTTACATTGAAGAAAATGTCTTTTTTTATTTTGACCAGTTCCCTGGAATCTTTCTGAAACTTGTTCTAGGTTCAAATATATTATAAGGCTATGTTATATTCTTTTGTTCAAGATTTTTTCTCGAAAACAGAACGATCCTTTCAAAGGTATGGGAGCAAATCTGTTCGCAAAAATTACAGACTATTTTTTTAAACAAAAAACATTGAACATGATGTTATAAATGCATCCATCTATTGTTTATGAAATAATACAAGTTTTACAGCCTTGACTCCTAAGAACTAAATTTTGTCATTCTGGGCATTCTTAAGGATTTCCGTTCTTCTTTATTCTATGTGCTTGCTTTGTGAAGCTTTTGATTTTATAAATTGATTCAAATATGTGTCGAGGAATTAAATTGATATCTGTTTATCAAAATCATAAAAAAGAACCAAAAAACCTAGACTTGATCATTTATATATACCCGGTATGTAAATGTTATCAGGTAAGTGCCAGTTTCATCTTACATTTTTAAAAACTGGCATTTAAAATGTTTAGGTTCACTTATTTATCTGCCAAGAGAATCTCATTTAGCAAGTGATTTTTGCATGACATTTTACACAATTTTATTTTTGCATTAATTTTGCAAGATATTTTTAGTGAAACATATCTCTTTCTGAAATCCGTCCATTTTCTACTATGACCTTTGTGTACTGGTTGTGATGTGTGGATTCATACAATACTGTTAGTGCTGGTGTTTTTTGTCTAGAATGGTTGTGTTGTGATATACTCATAGAAAAGTTTTTTATGTGTTGTGCTATACTCATAGAAAAGTTTTATAGTACATAGAATTATGTATAATTGTGTGTTGTGAACCTACATTAGCAAGATTGTGTATTTTATTGAAGAGGTAAAAATTTAACAAGCGTTCATGTTAACACAAACACCTTCCAATAGAGCATTTCTCTATCACTGGTCCTTTTGATTTACAGGTGTACTTTTTAGTACGAAAAAAAATAAATTGAAATATACTGTAATTTTATACTATGTAAGTTCTTTCATTTGAATAAATCTTATTCCATGTATAGTAGAAACTTAAGTGTTTTTCAAATTCAAATACTGCTTTAATCTTTTGTCAAGGGTATGGAAACCTTGTCACAGATTGAAATTACATATTAATGGCAGCTGTTGCTTTCCATAGTTATATTTAAGTGGAAACAGTCATACGCATTATTTTATTTGGATGTGTTTAGTTTTCAGTACTACATGATTGTAATTTTTTATTAAAAATACTTCTGTTAAAAGTGTCTGAAAGAATTATTTATTGTTTTAAGTCCTGTAAAATAATTCTCGATTTTCCTGAAATAGATTCAGAAATGTAATCTTATGTAATACTAAGCATGATGGAGGTACCTGTTTAACCTACTAGTGTTAAATTGATATACATAAAATAGAAACCTCTGACATTTATAGTAAATAGGTAATCATTTGGTTACAGTAATTCCAGTTTGTTTGTTTTTTTGTTAATTCACACTTTCCTTTTCAAAATAGTGTAAATTTAATTTTTTAGATTTTAAATATTTTTTTATATTTTACTTCATAAGTAAGTGTAGTAAAAGATTTTGGATTCAAATTGCATTCTGGTTGTAGGGATAAGTGAAATTTTGTTAAAGAAAAAACAATAGATTTTAATATAAATTTAGTTAATTAATTTGCATAATGATATCATGATGGACATTTTTAGTGAGATAAATATCTTATAGTTTCTGTGTATAAAACATAAAGTGAAATCATTTTGTATGATCTAATGTATATAATAATCAGTGTGAAAGTTGTAAATGATGTATTTTATACACCTTCATTTGGTTCTGCATGCCATGATAATCATAAATGAAAATAAGATTAATTAGTTGAAGAATTAATTAATTAATCTAATAATTAATAAGTCCTCTTATATATCTACATACACATCAGATTTTGTTCTGTCTATTAGACATAGTTGTCTAATTACTATTGCAATGTTTTATTATTGGTAAAACTATTCTAATCACTCAACAGAAAAGAGTTATGGCACTTGAGTTATCTCAAATAATGCCTTTGCAGGAGAGTTATGGCCCTTGGCTTTTTGAAATAATGGCCATGGCAGCATGCCACCAATTTATTCATAATGTATGCCTCAATTGTCTGATTTATTCAAAACTATGCCAGAATTAACGTAAGTCAGTGGGGTGATTTTCATGACATTTCCTTACGTATTTCATAAACACAGTGTGTATAATTTATTGATAGAATCGGATGACAATAGACGTAGTTATTTAAATAATGTAAAGTTATTATAGTTTATTGTTAATAAATAGAAACTGTGTAATATTATTTTAAACTTTTACAATATTGTTTAACCTACCAGACTTTGTTAGTTGATCTGTCTATAAATGATTTTTTAATTATCATATCGTATATAAGTTTTTTTTCGACATAATGATTGTAATATTTAATGCTACCTATTGAATTTAATGATTTCCTTTCATAATTGATTGATGGAATAAATTGTAAAGAATTCTCATTAGATCTGTAGAATTGACAATTTTTAAAAATTTATTCACTCAGCAATTGTACAAAAAAAAAACTTATGAAATCAGATTGAAAGTTGTAAATGTTTAAGATGATATATTGACTTTCGTATGTAAATCAGATAATATATTTTACGAAACATTAATTGCAATATTTAACTAGTAAAAAGTATGTTAAAAGATTCATTTCTGCCACTTTCAGATCAATTGTTAAAATTTTCAATGGAATATTTGTTATCAAGCCATATTTCCAACCTGCTATTGAATTAAGAGGGGCAATAATTCTTTACAAAAAAAATTTTCCTTTTAAGATTTATAAGATTTTATAAAGCAAAAATTGTCCAATATGGATTTATTACCTTTTGATTGGCTAGTATTGAAAAGGGCTTGTTTCTAATCAGAGATTGACAATTCTTTACAAAAAAATATAAGCTGTGTAAAAAAGAAAAACTGAAATAAAAAGAGTTTGAAGCTCAATAAATATTTAACCCATAATCTACTATATTTTATAATGGATCTGTCCAGCTTTGAATTTGAAACAGTCCATCAAAATTCAAGGGATTTCAATATCAAAATACAAAAGTTAAGCTATAAACAGTATAAAGCCTGGTCAGACTGCATGAATGTGCAGGCTGGTGTAGCTCTATGCTTGAGGCAAAGGCTGACCACTTTCAGTTACAGTACCGTAGGTTAAGAAGGAGAGCTGTTCAGCTGTAGTAAATGTACCACTTTTTACTTAAAAATCAATACATCGGCAAAAAAAACAAACAAATACAGGTTGTAACTCATAGAATTTCAAGAAATTAGGTTTTAACTCGATGAATAACTCTATGAATTTAGGGAACAGGTTGCATCAATGTTATTTTGAATCTGTTAAAAGTTGTCAGTTCTTAATTGATCTAGCAATTTTAATGAGTGAGTCAGTATTTTATTTTAATGAAATATGTTAACACAGTTTATAATATGTACAGATGTGTTAATATAATTTGTGTATATGTACAAACAAGATTAGCATTTTGCCTTCATCATGTTGAAATGCTGTTACTACCTAGTGTAGTCTATGCAAATAAATTATTTATGTATACATTTGCTTTTTAGTTTTTGAATCCTTAATAATAAATATATAATCCAACCTTAACTTATTATCTCCCATTGAAGATAGAGGGATCCCATCAAAGACAGAAGGATTTAGAGTAGGTTTTGCCTTCCAAATTTTGTCTATAACAAATTGTCTGAAGTATACAACTTAAAAATTATTTTAGTTAAAAACCTCAAATTTTATGAGGTTAAATCTTATAAAGAAAACTGCAGTGCCAAATAGTCTCAACTGTCTAATATTTTTAAACTTCAAACTTAAATTTTTCTACATGGCATAACTCAAGAAGACATTGAAATTTATAAATTGATCTATTGATATATCTTATAAAGGAGAATTGCAGTGCATATGAACTAAAACTCTCAATTTTCATACTTTTGAGTTGGTAGAGTTTCATCAGAAAGAAGACATTTTCATTTGGAATAAAAGGGCATTTTAGCCATCTCTAGCTTATGATTACAGTTATTTTGTTATACATTGATAGAGAACTAAGTATGTGTTACACTGTTCAGTGGTGATCCATCCATTAAAAATACACCAGAAGATGTTTCTTTAAAGGTCTTTTTTCTATTTCTAGCTTTGAAAAACTCACAAGAAGCTTCAGAGCAGATTAATATAATGTTCACATCTGGCTTATTCATTTTGTCAAATAAATGAAAGCATCTTTTACATTTATGATTTCAAAATATTATAATAAAAAGTGTCATTCATACAATACTCTGTCCAACTCAAATCTAATGATGTTCCACAAATAGAGAATATAAGTTTCTTTACAAAAGCTCAGGTGTGAATTTCAACTTCCGCTACAAAAATCTTTTGTAAAACAAATGTATCATATTGAGTCAAATGAAAGCACTCGCTAAACTATAACATTACTAAGGTTAATTACATTTTTTCCCAATGTTGGTATGGTGAATGGTGAATAGTAGGAAATCACTTGCCATGTTAGAAAAAAAACAACTTTTATGTAGTTTCTAGCATAAGCTTTTCGCATGTGACAAATATGTTCTTTCTTGATATATGTTATTTTATATATCCAACATTTGTTTTAACTTCATTATTTAGTCATCATATGTTTTGTAAAACGTAAACCAACAGGGTCCTATAAGTGTTCTCCTTAATGGTTACAAGTCCATCATGCTTAATTGGTACAGATTTTAAACATGTGGAACAGTTTTTGGCCAATGTAAATTACAAACAATTCTTATACATACAGAATATTACATTCCCGTCCTCTCTGCTGCAAAAACAAATATCATGCAGGAAAAAAAACATTACAAAAAAATCAATATCTGTGCAAGTATTTGATGAGTAGATGTCATAATTATGCATTTTATCTCTGCGTGTAATCTGGTTCAGTGGAGCGAACAATTTTTCTACTTTGTTTAACATCAAAACAAGGAGGTATAGTTTTAGATTGGTGGTTTAAGAAATGTTGTTCTAACTTATACTACCTTAAATATCTTAAATGGACTTCCACTTTTCAGTCTGGACAAAACATGTAATCATAATAAGGAATTATGCCGATCATGATTTAGACATCAGATGGCACTAAAATCAATCCACACTATTTGGGTAAATGTTAGCACAAGTTGATGAGACATGAAACAACAGCTGGTATCTATACTTCACCTGCTCAGGTGAGCTAAAAAGTGAACAAAATAAGGAATGAATAATGAAGAGTCTGTATAGAAGTAAATTGTCTTCAATGCCAGTACCAGGCTGCAATATTAAAGGCACATTACACTTCAGAAATCGATTATTTTTAAATTCTTTAGAAAGATCAAACATGTGTTTAATAATGCTTTATAGATATAATGAATTTAGAGCATGTTAGATCTAAGTAAATTAACAACCGAAGAAACTAGCGCTGAATGTGCATTTATCTGTCATAAAGAAAGCAAAATGTAAACAAAGTAGTATTTTGACTTCTGTACAAAATACTAAATCCCTATAATTATACCTATTGCCATGATACATGTAGGTATTAAATGTGTTACAATTCATCAATAGATGCTACTAATGGTCCCTGTACACAAACTTTGGCCTCTCTATGTGACCTTGACTTTGGTATTAGGGACCTGGCTTATGTGTGCAATATTTATTCACAATGCTGAACATTAAAAAAATTTGTGCCAAGTTATATTGAATTCCCTCTATGCATGCAGAAGTTTTGCTCCAGAAAAGCATTTTTCAATGACCTCTTAATGTGACCTTGACCTATGACCTAGAGACCAGGCCCAGAGGTTATAAACATTTGAGATCGGTCTCAAACTCGGAGCTTGGAGCTGAGTTCTGAGTTGAGATTTTTAAAATGTTTATAACCTCGGGGCCTGGTTTATGCGTATGACACTGCTTCTCATAGTTGTAAACATTTCAATGAAGTTTCATTAGAATCCCTTCATATATGTAGCAGATATGCTTTGGACAACATCTCTATATTTCATCATCTTCAGTGACCTTGACCTTGCATATATTAATCTTAATTACATGTTTCACACCTGTAGTTATGAAAATGACCATTTTTGTTTCAATCCCTCGACAAGTGATGACTAAATGGTCCAAATACACATTTACATTTTTTTTTCTGAACTTTGACCCATATGTATGACTTTGACCTTGGCCACAGACACCTGGATTTTGCATGCTATACTTCACCTCACAATGATGATCATTTGTGCCATGTTATATTGAAATCCCTCTAAGCATTCTCCAGAGAAGCGTTTTCAATGACCTCCAAGTGTGACCTTGACCTTTGACCTAGAGACCTGGTTCATGCGCATGACACTGCTTCTCAGTTTTATCATCTTTAGTGACCTTGACCTTGCATATATTAACCTAAATTACATTTTTAGCTCGACTATTTGAAAAGAATAAGTAGAGCTATTGTAGTCATTCGAGCAACTGTGTCCGCGTAACCACTTATGTTAAAGTTTTTGTTATACCTCGAATATTTTCAAAGTCCATTGACATATGGCTTTGAATCTTTGCACACATGTTCACCATCATGACCCAAACCTGTAGACAGGAGAAGGTAACTGTATCAAGCATTTTGACAGAATTATGCCCCTTTTTCAAATTAGAATTTTTGTTAAAGTTTTTGTAATACCTCAAATTTTTTCAAAGTCCATTGACATATGGCTTTGAAACTTTGCACACTTGTTCACCATCATGACCCCAACTTGTAGACAGAAGGAGGTTACTGTATCAAGCATTTTGACAGAATTATACCCCTTTTTTGACTTAAATTTATGTTAAAGTTTTTGTAAAACCTCAAATATTTTCAAAGTCCATTGACAATTATGGCTTTGAAACTTTGCACACTTGTTCACCATCATAACCCCAACTTGTAGACAGAAGGAGGTAACTGTATCAAGCATTTTGACAGAATTATGCCATTTTTTCGACTTAAATTTACGTTAAAGTTTTTGTAATACCTCAAATATTTTCAAAGTCCATTGACATATGGCTTTGAAACTTTGCACACTTGTTTACCATTATAACCCCAACCTGTAGACAGGAGCAGGTAACTGTATCAAGCATTTTCACAGAATTATGCCCCTTTTTCAACTTAGAATTTACTTTTAGGTTTGCATACCACCTCAGATATTTTCATATTCTATTGAAACAAGTTGAAATTTTACACTCTTCTTTGAGAGCATAATAGGACTCTCTCCAAGGCCTATAACTGTAACATAGATTTAAAGAAAAAATTTGTCCTTCTGTTATTAACTCATAAAATTTTACATTATCAAGACTCTTTTACTATCAAGCACTAAGAATAGTCGAGCATTGCTGTCCTACTGACAGCTCTTGTTCACACCTGTAGTATTAATAATGACAATTTGTGTTTCAATCCCTCAATAAATGATGACTAAATCATGGTCTAAATACACATTTTCATATTTTTATCTGGACTTTGATCCCCATGTGTGACCTTGGATGCAGGAACCTAAATTTTGCCTTACAATGGTGAATATTTGTGCCAAGTTATATTGAAATCCCTCTTTGCATGTAGAAGTTTTGCTCTGGATAAGCGTTTTTCAATGACCTCTAAATGTGATCTGATCTTTGACCTAGAGACTGGAGTCATGTGCTTGACACAGCTTCTCGTAGTGGTGAACATTATTATGAAATGTCATTAAAATTCCTTCATGCGTGTAGGAGATATGCTCCAGACAAAATTGGACACTGCCTGGCCGCCAGGGGGGAAACTATAATACAACCGGCTTTTCAAACTGGTGTATAAAAAGCAGATGGCAAATGAGTTACCTTTTGGAAACTGTAACAAGATACCAAAAATAAAAAGTTTTTGAGAAAAAAATGATTTTGAAGGCTTAATGGGCCTTTAAAATTGTCAACATACAGATTGTTGGGATACCAATGAGAAAGAAGCTCAATGCAAAAACATATGGTACATATTTCATTGATATCAACAAAGAAAGGAGAAACAAAAATTAACTGTGATATAATGTATTGAAACAGACAGTAACAATAAATTTTATTTTTTTTAATTAAAACTGATTAAAAGTGCACCAAGCCTTGCTTGCCTTATGGACCTAAATCAGATAACAACACAAATATAAAAAACATGAAAATTCAAAAAATATGAAAGGATATTTATCAGGATTCTGTGTAGACAATAAAATGATACAACTGACAAAGTACCTTTTCTTCATTCTAGACTATTTAATTCTTCATGATAATATCTTATATAGTCTTATATATTTGACTGAACTATATATTCAAGATAAAAATAATTTCACAGACAAGAAAAATATTTGAAATATGATAAGGCACAGCTTATCGCAAAAGATATTAGGTCTCTGAATTTTGGACATGTCTGAGATCAAAACAAGACGCAAATTTGAAAGCTGCTTGTCCACATTTATGATGTTTTTTTCAACTGAAAGGATGAAAAAACTAGATTCTGTGTAGTGATTATAGGTACAAATCGATTTTAAATTTATTATAGCCGGGTAACTGATATGCCAGATCATAGCTCCATACCAAATCTGTATGTAAACGTGTGTGCACTTTCCAATGAACTATAAAATATCACCGAAAATAAAAATAGCTTCAAACTTCATGTCACTTCATATCATTGTTGTGTTATATAACCTATTTCCTGTACCTCATTTTTAATACCTTTAACTGGATACCCATTATTATCACAATCTACTGATGAACTATCACACTGATCTTCAATTTTCATATCTATATCTTGGCTGTATTTGAATTCTCCTCCAATATTAGAATCTTCCCCTATTTCCACTTCACTGTGTAACTCTTCAGTACTATCTAAGAATTCAGGACTATTCAATTGATCAGCACTCAGTTCGAATTTATGAGTCCGCTTTAAGTGCGCCGTAAGATGGGCTCTCATAACAAACCCATTACTACATTTGGGGCACGAAAACCTTCTGTTTTTATTATGCCTTTTAATGTGAACATTGAGGTTGTTTTTACGATTAAACTGTCGTCCACAGACAGGACAGTCATACAACATTGTACCGCTATGTGTGATGCGATGTGTTTTAAGACTTGTTGAAGTTGAGAATGACCTTGAACAAATGTCACATGGAAATGGACGCTCTCCTGAAATACAGACAAAAAGAATGAAAGAGGAATAATCCTCTGAACAGATACAAATTTCTCATAAAAGGAGTTTATTTTGTTAAATCAACACTTTCAAAGTTCGGCTAAACAGGGCCATTGCATGATGATCATGTACAGTCTATAGAAATTACAATCATGGCAAATTCTTTCTTATCTAATAGAAATTGATCAAAGCAGACAAGCTTACAAGAATACCTTGATTGAAATCATTGTTAGAACAAAAAAAAACAACTTTTAATAAGGGTTTCCTCCTAAAATCAGTAAATATGAAACAGTAGACATTTGTATGCTTTTATTTTAAAATGGTGCCCATCTAAATGAGGATATAAACATCTTTGTTTGCAGTGATGTCAAATATGTAAAAGGAGTTTATAAAGCCAACAGGAACCTAAATTCTGTATTTCACTAGTTTCAAACATGGTGATATAACACTTTTGAAGTTACTTTCAAATTATATAAAAGTCACTTTTTCCAGCATTCATATTAAATTTTTCTTTACGATCATGAAGAGATTATCACTCTCAGTCTTTTATTACAGTTATTTTCAACAACAACTCCGCCATTGCTAGGTCCCAAGCCCTAGACGAGAAAGGAGGAGGGTTGTGCGCTGGGCTAGCAACTCGCCACGTAAAAAATATCTCGCTACAGAAACACCAACAACTTCAGAAAACTATCAACATCTGGGTGAAACGCTGAGGGCAGAGACACTAGCATCTCATATGACGAGCAGGAGTCAAAGCCGAAAGGAAACGTCTGCCCCGACAACGTCCTTAGCATCACCCAAACAGCTGCTCAAGTTAGCGGCATGGAACGTTCGTACCATGTACGAGACAGGAAAGTGTGCCCAGGTGGTAGCAGAAATGCAACGGTACGGAATATGTATCCTCGGTGTAAGTGAAATGAGATGGACTGACTCGGGTATGATAACAATCAACTCTGGAGAGACAATTTGCTATTCTGGTCGTGTGGATGGTTTACACCAGGAGGGAGTGGGTCTGATACTAAACAAAGAAACGAAGAAAAGTATGCTGGAATGGGAACCAATTAACAGCCACCTGATACGAGCACGGTTCTACTCCAAGTTTGTAAAAACAACGGTCATCCAATGTTATGCCCTAACTGAACGTGATTCTGATGAAGTCAAGAACAACTTCTATACCAACTTACAGGATCAAATAGACAAAACACCACAGCATGATATTCTCATTGTGATGGGGGACTTTAATGCCAAGGTTGGTGCTGATAACATCGGATATGAAACCTGCATGGGTTGTGAAGGACTTGGCGACCGAAATGACAATGGTCAACGTTTTTCTGACTTATGCCTGGAAAATGGACTGGTTATTGGAGGTACAGTGTTCCAACATAAGGACATACACAAGTCAACCTGGCTTTCGCCAGATGGCAGGACCAGCAACCAGATTGACCATATCGCCATCAGCAGGAAATGGAGAAGATCCATGACAGATGTAAGAGCCATTAGGGGTGCAGACGCAGGCAGTGACCACAACCTTGTGCTATGTAAGCTACAACTGAAATTGAGGAGTAGCGGAAAAAAGAATAAGCAACATCTATTTGACTCCAACAAACTTAAGGACCTGAATGTGAAAACCCAGTTCAACTTGACACTGAAAAACCGATTTGACATCCTAGAAAGCACGCCAGCGGATGACATCAACTCCCTATGCACAAAGATCCAAAACATCTATCTGGATACCAGCCAGGAGGTTCTAGGCTACAAGAAACGAGACAGAAAAGAATGGATCTCCACTGACACTTGGAACCTTATAAGGGAGAGGAAGGTCATTAAGCAACAGATGCTAACAGGAAGTCCCGAAGAGAGATCAAGGGCAGCAGAAGCTTACTCTGAGAAGAACAAAGCTGTTAAGAAGAGTGCAAGACAGGACAAAAGAGACTACACTAACAGTCTAGCAGTGGAAGCCCAGCATGCTGCAGAAAAGGGTGACTCCAGAACAGTCTACAAAATCACAAGACCCTAACTGGAGGATTTACCAACAGTTCCACCATTGTGAAAGATAAGAATGGAAATGCTCTAACGAAGAATGAAGAACAACTAGAAAGATGGGCTGAGCACTTCGAAGAAATCCTTAACAGGCCAGACCCGGAGGAGGAAGCTGCTGTTGAAGACATGGGATTCCATATAGAGATGAAGCGTGGCAGTATCACCCAGCACGAAATCATAGAGACCATCAAGCAGACGAAAGGAAACAAAGCTCCCGGGGAAGACAAAATCACTTCAGACATGTTGAAAGCTGACCCCCGAGAGAGTGCAAAGCACCTTGTGGAACTATTCAACAAGGTTTGGGAAGAAGAAAGAGTCCCTGACTCATGGAAGAAGGGTGTCATCGTGAAACTGCCGAAGAAGGGAGACCTGACTCAGTGCGGCAACTGGAGGGGTATCAACTTGTTATCCGTTCCTGGAAAGATATTCTGCAGAGTTCTTCTATCAAGGATGAAGCAGTCTATTGAGAGAGTCCTCAGAGAGGAGCAAGCAGGGTTTCGGAGCGGAAGAAGCTGCACAGACCAGATCTTCATTCTTCGGACAATAGTGGAGCAATCCCTTGAATGGAACTCTTCATTATACATCAATTACATAGACTATGAAAAGGCGTTCGACAGCATACACCACCCATCATTGTGGAAGATACTCCTAGCATATGGATTTCCGCCAAAAGTTGTCAACATCCTTAAGGACATGTACGCCAACAACCAGTGCTGTGTACGTCATGATGGATAGCAAAGCGAATGGTTCCACGTAAAAACTGGTGTACGCCAAGGCTGTGTTATTTCACCAACGCTGTTCCTTGTTGTAATTGACTGGGTGATGCGGAAAGCCACTGAAGATAGACACAGAGGTCTAGTATGGGGACTGACTGCCCGCTTGGAAGACTGTGATTTTGCTGACGACATCGCATTGCTCTCCCATGTACAAAATGATATGCAGGAGAAGACAGATCGTGTCAGCAAAACTGCCAAAGGTGTAGGACTAAAAATACACGCTGGGAAAACAAAGCTGATGAAGGTGAAGACCAAAAGCAGCCAGAAAATCAGCATCAACAACACTGAGTTGGAAGAGGTGAAAGACTTCAAGTACCTTGGGAGTTACATCTCAGCTGATAGTAACATTGAGAAAGAGATCTCAACCAGGATTGGACTTGCAGCCCAGGCATTCAAGAGACTACAGAACATATGGAAGTCTACAGCCCTGCATACCAAAACAAAACTGAAGATCTACACATCCAATGTCCGCTCAGTCCTTCTGTACGCGTCTGAGACCTGGAGAACCAACACCAAGGTCGAGAGTAGGCTAAGAGGCTTCGAGAGTCGCTGTCTACGCCGCATTCTCAAGATCCGCTGGCAACAAGGTCAAGTCCAGACGATGGAGATGGCTGGGTCATGTTCTGAGGATGAACAAGCAGAGACATCCTCACAAAGTACTGAGATGGACACCACAAGGCCAGAGGAAGAGAGGTCGTCCACTAGGCACCTGGAGGAGAACCATCGAAGAAGAAATGAAGGCAGTAGGCAAGACCTGGAACGAGCTGAACTGGTTAGCTCAGGACAGGGATGGCTGAAGGAGATTTGTTGGTGCCTTATGCTCCACCTGGAGCGAAGAGGATTAAGTAAGTAAGTAAGTAATTTTCAACAACACCACGCTACTACAGTACATGAACTAAATGTTACTTATAAATTCTCACATCACATAAACATACTCAAATTTCTGTGTATTTTAAAAGTAAAACAATATTTTTCCTCTTCAATTCTATCCTAGTTGTCTGGTATTTTTTACGCATACATCTTATAAAGGCTGGGATATTATATTTCATGTTTAATTAAAGACGTGACTCTAAGCATTCACATGACATTGTTTAACCTTCAACTTAATTCAAAATTTACCTCTGATATTACATGTATTACTGGAAGTCTTACAAACTTTTATTATGTTATATAACAACCTAACTATGTGTCAGATAGATTTGATTTTATTTATTTATTATTATAAAGGTTGCAAATGAGACTGACAATGTTAATGGTCATATATTGACTTACTTTCCTGCTTAAGGACGTTTTTGGGAGTTTTTTTCTTTCCCTTAAAATGTTTCTGTTATCATATTCTAACAACATGCCAAGTTTAAAGAAATTCTATTGAACAGTTTTAATTTTGCCTATATGTCGATATGAAAACTCCTGAAAACGTCCTTAACTGGTTCAGTTTTATTGTTTGAGAGTAACCTAAGGTGCTCCCCCATTTAGTATTCTCTGACATGAGCAGGCACCTGAGTGCAAACACTGATGTATTGTAGGCTAGCTTGGTATATCACTTACATGAAATAATTCAAATTCCTAGTTGGATTGGAACCCACAGTGGTGAGGGGAAAATAATTTGAAATTAGCAAGCTTAACCACTTAGCCATGGAAGTCCCACAAACCAATTTTACCAAACTGGTCACCATTTCACCATAAAAAACAATAATTTAATGCACATTTAACTAACAGTACATGTATATACCAGTGTGTGTTCTTTGATGTGTAATTAAAGCACTGCTACTTCGGAATGATCGTGTACACATGTTACATCTGTATGGTTTCTCTCCTTTATGTATTCTCTCATGTGTTTTAAGTTGTCCAGCTTGCGTGAAAGTTTTCTGACAAATTTCACAAACATGAGGCCGCTGACCTGTGATAAAACATGAAAATTATTAAGAATTTGTATTTTGTAACATCTTGTCTTAATGATCAGGAGTAAATTATAGGTAATACTGTTAGAGCATAATTATACATGTAGTGTTATGGTAAGAGCAGTTATAGTGAGTATAGTGTTAACAAGATCCCGGTTTGAGCCAGGTGATGCTCCCCGAAAAGGTTTTGGACACAGGAAAGCACACCTCTTGTAGTTTCACAGTTATGTCCCTGGAAAAAGTTCAAAGTGCAATAATTCCAAAATTAGGCAAGGCAGAGTTACTGCTCTTTGCAATGCACTTCTAATCAATGCGATCTATTAACCTACAAAGTTTCTTGATGATATCTCTTATGATTTCCGTGTTATGTCCTTGACAACTTCAAAAAGTAAAAATAAACAAAGGGCAATAACTCCAGAATTAGGCAAGGCACAGTTATGATTCTTGTGCACTGCATATCTACCCATTGAGATATATCTACCTACAAAGTTTCATGTTGATATCTCTTATAGTTTTACAGTTATGTCCTGGACAAGATTTTTCTAAACAGGGAAATTATTCAAAAATGAAGCTTAACAGAGTTATGGTTCTTTTGCACTGCACCTCTACTCAATGAGATCTATCTACAAACAATGTTTCATTTTGATATCTCTTATAGTTTTAGAGTTATGTTCCGGACAAAGTTCAAAGTGTTAAAATTAACAAAGGGCAATAACTCCAAAATTAGGACAAAAAGAGTTATTGTTCTTATGCACTGCACATCTACCCATTGAGATCTATCCACCTCCAAAGTTTCATGTTGATATCTCTTTTAGTTTTAGAGTTATGCCCTGGACAAGATTTTTCTATAAGGGGAGTTAATTCAAAAACCCGTCAAAATAGAGTTATGGTTCTTTGACACTGCATCAATGCCCTCTACCACTGTATAAAGTTTCAACAAATTATCTCCAAGGGTTTTCAAGTTATGCTCCAGACAAGACAATGGACGGACAGACGAACAAGAAAAATTTCTGGGGAGCATAAAAATCGTATACATGTACAATGTAATTGAATATTTGATTGTTGAATTTATTATAAAAGAAAAACTGCCTATAAAACTATTATAATATTGATAGAATCATTTTGTTTATGTATGTTTTATCTTTGTTTCTGACAATTTTTAAACAGGCAGGAAAAAAGAATAGAGTTTTCTTTTATAATATAAAAGCCGCTAAAATCATTGATATGCACATTCAAGACCATACACATCATCGACACTTAAGTCATTTAACACAGTGAGCTACTTAATACAGAGCAACTTAATAGCTTAAATCGATGGGCAGACTCAAACAGGGTCAAAAATGATGTAAGACAGTAAGTCACTGAATACAGTGGGTCACTATGTCAGTTTTGACTGTAGTAGAAAACATTCTACAAATTACTGGCAGTCCAATACAACTTTAATACTATATTACTCATATTTCAACAGCTATATGTGTTATTATTCCATTATTATCAGCATACCTGTATGTATTCTCAGATGAACATTCAGATTACTTCGTACATTGAATCCTTTATTACAGAACTGACATTTAAAAGGTGTCTCCCCAGTGTGTGTTATTTCATGGCTGCTTAAACTGCTCTTCTTAATAAATGTCTGGGGAAAAAATAAAACACAATATTGGAAAATCCAATTATTAACAATTTGAAAACATTATGCATTATACTTAAAATTTCAAAAAGTTAAAATGTTTAAAATGTGCAGGTTGAATATGTTATATCGATTGTTTATTTAAACTGTAACATTTCTAGGGTAACATGTGAAGTAAATCCTAATTTTGCATACACCTTGATTACTTTATTTAAAATCAATCTCTTAAAGCCAGCTTTGAAAATATGATTAATCCCCTTCCCGTGACCCATGCTAGTAAGGGTAGGATTTTGTACTAATTCAACATATATCCAAGTTTGTATACTTACTTTCATGAAAGACCAAAAATGTGACCATCATTGGAAGACTCTGCTTCCATGCTGTGTAAAAAATAGTACAAAAACACCAAAAAAAACCCCAACCTTTTTTGGTATCACTTTTTTTTTGGGGGGGGGGAGGGGGCAGAAGGAGGGGTGTCTTAGGCCTTGACCAATTAAATTTAAGAACTGGACTTGTCACTTGCCCTGCTTTGAAATTGGAGGAGTTCATGTGTTCTGATAATTAAAGAAACATCAAATGTTAAAATTTCTACATATTATAAGAAATGAGAATGCATTACTCCTTTTCATGAAACCACCCCACAATATGTTAAAGGAACTCCACTGAGGTCCAAAAATCTAAAAATATAAAACTTAAATTTCTTACAAAGATCTGCTGGGGCCATTAAAGAGATGCAAAAGATTATTAGGTATACAACCATAAATAAATTGGAAATCGTAATTTTGTTCTATTTTTAGCCCCATTTGAGTGAAAAGCGTTGCAAAAGTTAACAATTTTAGAGCCATTTTTCACAAATAGAATAGTTAGTTATTCAGGCAAAACAAAGTGTAAGAATGATCAGAGATTTTCCATAGAAGTTGTCTAGACCTGCATTAAATAATTTCAAAAAAAATATTTCAAGTCCTCATCATGTCATCCCTTTAACCCATTACTTCATGAGCATTTTGTGAAAAATGGCTGTTTTCATTGAAAAGTCTCCCGTTACAAGTTCAAATTGCTATAATACTATAAAAACTGCTTCAACACTAATCAAACTTGGCACAAATGTTAACTGGACCATTGCACTTGTAACAACATGCTCAGGCTTAAATTTTCTGTTACCATGGCAACGAGGGGACATCTCAAAATTGCCAAAAATCACTATTTTGCGTTGATTTTTTCCAGCAAAATTGATTTCAAAGTGCTGCACTTTCTCAATGGATTGAGATAGAGTCAAATGCTTTTCAGCGTTGGTTACACGTTACCTTATGATCAATCTGGGGTCATTTACAGCCTCTCACAAGTCCAAAATTTTTCTTGGCGATAAGGGGGACTCCGCCCCCCTTCAAACCCCCCAAACAGAAGGGGACACATCCCCCTTCTGGCAACCCCCTGATGTATCTTTTGGTTGGGGGGCCACGCCGAAAAAGAGGTCACTTTTTTAACAACATTTCTCAAACAAAAACAAGTGTTTGGGGCCTAAATAAGGCATTTTTTCATCATTTGAGACAACAAAAAGGGGGGGGTGAAAAAGGCGTTAAAAGGCGTGTATATGAAGTAATGGGTTAATATTACAATTATTACATGTGATTAAGTAATCATTTAATAATTGTGAAACAAAACAAAATATTAAAATCATCATGAAATAAAATTACCTTTTTACACACTTGGCACACATAGCCCTTCTTTTCCACTTGATTTTCTCTCCCTGTACATCCCATTGTAACCATACCTGGAATATTACCATCATCACCATTTTCAATTACATCTTCTGTTTTACTGGCTGTCAGAGAACTACCCACTTTGTTATCTTTAACACTCTTGTTAGTTCCTGTTGCTTCAACAGTTTCAACCTTAACACCTGCCGCATTTGATTGTTGGTTAGCAATCTCCATTTCTTCATATGTTTCATCTTTGTTTTCTATCTTAACACTGACTGCCCTTTCAAGCTTTAAAGACCCATTTTCTAATGCGTTTAAATTAGTGTTATCAAAGTCTACAGTATTTTCATATTCATGTTCTTTTTTTATTTCTGTCTCATTGTCAGGTCCTTTAATATTGTTTTCAGATTCTCTCTTTTTGTCTTCAGATTCTTCATTTTCCACCAAAATTTCAGTCTCAAGTTTTGGTTTGGCAACAGATAAACAAATGTTATCTAAACATTGTGCACTATTGTTATCTCTTGAGAGATTATTGTCTGAAATTTCACACTGACCTCTATCACAGCCTATTTTACTATCAGAGACAGCTAGAACATATCCTTCATCACTAACTTCTTGTTTCACAGTTATTTGATCATACTTCACGTCAATATGTTTTTGTCTTCCTTGATTTGAATCATGTTCCATACTTCATTAACCTACATCTGAAAACAAGAGGGCCATGATGGCCCTGAAGTCGCTCACCTGTATATAGCCCCCCCCACCCCCAGGCCAATTTTTACCCAAGGGCTTTTATTTGTTTATTTGAACAGACTTGGTAGACACCCATAAGAAGAAGTTTCATGCTAAACATCTAAGTTCTAGCTCATTGGGTATTTTAAAAGAAGATTTTTAAAGTTTTTACTATACACATATAGTTAAAAACAATGACACCCCTGGGGCAGGGCCAGTTTTGACCCCCGGGCTTTTATTTGAACAAACTTTGTAGATATTTACTTAAAGATGTTTCATGCTTAATATCTAAACTCTAGCTATTTGGGTTTTTTCAAAGAAGATTTTTAAGTTTTTGCTATACACATATAAGGAAAATCAATGACCCCCCCCCCCTGGTAGGGCCAGTTTTGACCCCAGGGCTTTTATTTGAACATACTTGGTAGACACCCATTAGAACATGTTTCTTGCTAAATATCTTAGCTCTAGCTCTTTGAGTTCTTTAAAAGAAGATTTTTTAAGTTTTTGGGGCGGGGCCAATTTTGACCCCAGGGCTTTTATTTGAACAAACTTGGTAGACACTCATTAGAAGATGTTTCATGCTAGATATCTTAGCTCTAGCTCTTTGGGTTCTTTAAAAGAAGTTTTTTTACGTTTTTACTATATGCATATAGGGAAAATCAATGACCCCCCGGGGCGGGGTCAATTTTGACCCAAGGGCTTTTATTTGAACAAACTTGGTAGACATTCACTAGAAGACGTTTCATGCCAAATATCTAAGCTCTAGCTCTTATGGTTATTTAAAAGAAGATTTTTTAAGTTTTTACTATATGCATATAGGGAAAATCAATGACCCCCTGGGGCGGGGCCAATTTCGACCCCAGGGCTTTAATTTGAACAAACTTGGTAGACACTCACTAAAAGATGTTTCATGCTTAATATCTTAGCTCTAGCTCTTTGGGTTCTTTAAAAGAAGGTTTTTTAAGTTTTTACTATATGTATATAGGGAAAATCAATGACCCCCTGGGGCGGGGCCAATTTTGACCCCAGGGCTTTTATTTGAACAAACTTGGTAGACACTCACTAGAAGATGTTTCATGCCAAATATCTTAGCTCTAGCTCTTTGGGTTCTTTAAAAGAAGATTTTTTAAGTTTTTACTATATGCATATAGGGAAAATCAATGACCCCCTGGGGCGGGGCCAATTTTGACCCCAGGGCTTTTATTTGAACAAACTTGGTAGACACTCACTAGAAGATGTTTCATGCCAAATATCTAAGCTCTAGCTCTTAGGGTTGTTTAAAAGAAGATATTTAAAGATTTTTCTTTCGGTTGCCATGGCAACCAGAGTTCTGCATGGAATTAAATTCTTTGAACAATTTTTAAAGGTGACCACCAAAGGAACATTCCTGTGAAGTTTGGATGAAATTGGCTCAGTGGTTTATGAGGAGATGTCATTTAAAGCAAAAGTTTACGGACGGACGACGGATGGACGGACGACAGACGCCAGACGAAAAAGCGATCACAAAAGCTCACCCTGTCACTTTGTGACAGGTGAGCTAAAAACAACAACACATATTTACAGGTGCTATACAAATATCACATTACAGTGAAGGAAATGTTCACCTGATGCAAGTGATCTTGGTTAACCTTATCTTAAATTATCATTTATATGTTCAATCACCCCTTATTGGGATGTGACTTTTTATTTTACTAAACAGATCTAAACAGATCAACATTCAAGAAAGACATATTTACTATAACTACCTTATAAACTTTATTTTGACATTTTGTTATAAAAACAAACAAGAGGGCCATGATGGCCATGACCTCCTTACCCCCCCCCCCCCCCCCCCTTGGCAGGGCCAATTTTAATGCAAGAGCTTTTATTTGAACAAGCTTGGTAGACACCCATAAGAAGATGTTTCATGCTATATATCTAAGCTCAAGCTCATTGGGTTTTTTTAAAAGTAGATTTTTTAAGTTTTTACTATACACATATAGTTAAAAACAATGACACCCCTGGGGCGAGGAAAAACAATGACACCCCTGGGGCAAGGGCCAGTTTTGACCCCCGGGTTTTTATTTGAACAAACTTTGAATACACTTACTAGAAGATGTTTTATGCTTAATATCTAAACTCTTGCTATTTGGCTTTTTCAAAGAAGATTTTTAAGTTTTTGCTATACACATATAAGGAAATTAGATGACCCCAGGGCTTTTATTTGAATAAACTTGGTAGACGCCCATTAGAACATTCTGTGAAAGTTTGGTCAAAATCCATTGACAAATGTAGGAGCAGTTGCGCACAGAAGAAATCGTTTACTATATATTCTATATAATGAAAAATAACAAAGGGCCATAATTAGGTCAAATATATACCAATTGCAAAACCCTGACAATATGTGTCAGGGCACTTGATGACAAAGCTTCTGAGAAAGTTTGGTCAAAATCCGTTGAGAAATGTAGGAGGAGTTGCACACAGAAGAAATTGTTCAGTATATATTCTATATAATGAAAAAAAACAAAGGGCCATAATTAGGTCAAATATTATCTAATCGCAAAACCCCGACAATATGCGCCAGGGCACTTGATGACAAAGCTTCTGTGAAAGTTTGGTCAAAATCCGTTGAGAAATGTAGGAGGAGTTGCGCACAGAAGAAATTGTTTACGCCCGCCCGCCCGCCCGTCCACCTGCCCGCCAACATACCTCAATCTAATAACCAGTTTTTTCCTTCGGAAAACCTGGTTAAAAATGGTGGTTTCCTAACTTGACCCGCGTGGGTCAGGTTAGAGCACTAGGATTTCACAATAGTTGTCACATTGAACTCTGGAAATGTTTAAGAACATGTCAAACAATGACTTAGACTTGTTTCAATCATACACTTAGTATCAACAATAGCTGTTATTATAACTTCCAGGGTTTATTCAAGTGACATGACTTATTTAAAAACTATTCGGTGATTTTATTGGCGTCTAAATTTTGTTCAATAAAATAGATATATTTACGCTTCAAACTCAAAATATGTAGAATTTAAATAGAAATTCATGCTTTAACTTTAAGAAATGTCATTTAAGCTTTATTTGAGTACATAAGATCATTTTTATAGTTTTGTTATTATTTTGACTGAATATCCCTTTAAATAGATATCAATTAAAACTGTATGAAAAGATTTTCACTGAATAATATCATTTAAATTCCTTAAACAATTACACATTTGTAACAGGGTCATTTTTAGCATATTCCCCGTTATTAGTAATTTAATACTTCGCTACCTGTTCCTGTAACTTGATAATTATTTCTGTACCTTTTGTATGGGTTTTATAGTTATTTTCTTGTCACGTTATCTGTCACGTGATCACTCCTTTCTATGATGTCATGGTTGTTTGTGTATGCATAAAATTGTACTTAGGCGCGAGATAAGTTGGTTGTGTTTATCGATGTTTTTCATTTCTCTTTTCCTTGAGAGGTTGTTGACTTATTTATTCAACGTGTACTATCTCAGTAAGGTAAAGTGCAATGGCTGAATTGATGTATTTATGTATTTCGCGTGTTGTTTAGTTTATTTATCAAAGGGAAATGCCGGTCAGACTGATCTGTTTTCCAACTTGTTATTTCACACTTGTGCATGTATCATTACATTGTTTACACACCTCCTCTATTGTTTGTGACAGGTCTATATTTTTCGGATAAACCTGCTTAAACAAAAGAATGTCCGTTATGAGGTCTATCTTTTGCACGTGCACAGGTCTGTTCTAGTCAGACAGACCCGGTCATGAAATACACGTGAAAAAAAAATGACCTGCCAGAGCGCAGACAAAGAAAACATGAAATGCAATCAAAAATTAAAAATTGAAATAAAATGTAAATGATTGTCATAATGTTCCTGTCTTACAAAATCCGGATACAAATTTTAAACAAGATAATATTTATTGAATGCACAGCATCCCTATATCAAAAATTTGAATAAAAATATGGATATCATATCAAAGTTAGGACACATTTAACAGTTATTTAATCGCGTCATTTTTCAAAGAAATAGTAATCTAAGTGGTTCTTCTATCATTAAGTTCACAATATAACAAAATGGACGTTTCTAGTTCATATCTATGAAACTATATAGCAGTTATCACGGCATAATTATTACGATTTTAAAATATTAATAAAGTTATAAGTGATTTAGTATAAGAATTAATGATGAACGATCATATTTTATTCTAGAACACTTTATAATCTGCTATATAAAATATAGTTTTGGTTCATGTATATTACATTTGCCAACAATATACATATGTAAGTCTTTCGTGGGCTGTTGGGTATTTGGACATTGCCCTTCGGACAATTGCCCCCTAGGAAGTTTGCCCCCTTTTTACAGTGGTGGTTATTTGCCCCTCATATCTTTGGAAGGGATGGACATTTGCCCCCCTTCCCTGCTTTAAAAATGTTGAAATATTTTATTGTTGAATTGATAGCTACCAAAATTCATCGCCTATTGTCGAAATTTCATTGTGCTTAAATACACAAAATTTCGTGCAAATTTGTGAAAGTCAAAATAGCACCTATAAATAAATGAACTATTATGTTTCCATTGACATACTCAAAATCTTTACACGAGATGACAAGTGAAAAGTCACAACAGCAAAAAAGAAGGCAAACGTCCGGGGGGTGGGGGCGGGGCAACTATCCGGGGACAAATGTCCAAGAATCTGCATTGTCTGATACGAATTTCTATCAAATTAATTATTCGTACTTAAAACAAATCTATTCACTTTATTATTGACAAATTGCACATTTAACTTTTTTGATTATTATTATAAAGGGAAAAGCAAAGTTAAATGCAAAATATATATTGCATTTAAGCAGAACGTTGATAAAAGCTTACCTGTAAATGCGTTGTGTTAAAAATAATATTTGTGCATTACATCAAATGTTCCATCAAGCTAATATAGTTTGACGGTGTGTAAGTTGGATTTCGGCCTCGTACATCGATCTTTCTGTTTATGAAAGACCTGGTCACGAATTTCATGAAACACCTTGAGCGTTACACACTCTCGGTGTCACATGAAATTCGTGACCAGGTCTTTCCTTAACAGAAAGACCTCGTACTCGGTCGATATCCTATATTTACAGCAGTTAACATCACAGTGAGAGGAAGCAGTGTTGTTTGGAGAGAGAAATATATGTGTATTATCTATATAAGGGCAGTGGTCCCATAGACCAGTAAATTTAACCTTATTTTATACTTTGATTTAGATGAACCTGATAACATAGCCACCTACTAACCATGACATGTATGTGTAAAATATGTTGATGTATCATGTATTCATTTTATTCTTAAATTAATAGCTTATTATAATTGTTTGTAAAGAATATAGAGACATATGTATAAATGGCAATGATTTACTTCTATGATATTAAGATTATGATATATAGTGTTTTCATTGTTCTATGCATTGTATGTATGTTATAAATTTTACCTTATAGGAAATATGTTATGTTTAATTTATTTGCAGAGCCTATGCAAAGTGTAAAGTGGATTTACTATGTCTCTAAACCTAGATGCAATAAAGTCTTAAAGAATACAGTGATTGAACTCCGTCTTTGCTTTATGATTAATATTATGGAAAAAAGCCCGGTAACACATATATCATCGACCCGCGACCTTGGATTTAGAAGATAAAATACGGGACATGTGTGTCGTCACGACTTCATCAGGTCTAGGATTTCATGATATTTATGGACTGTCAGTAAATTTATGGATAGTCTATAAATTTAAAGATTTTTCAGTCCATAAATTTACAGATCCTCAATGTTAAATTTGCTATTTTTAGTTTTATACTAAAATCCGCAGCTTAAAACAAGTTGTTATATTGATTGTTTCTATTAACAAAGCTAATGAGATAAGTTTCATCTTTGTATGATGACTTTGAAATTTTTGTTAAAAGTGAAAATTGAAAGTCAACAAATTGTTCTGAATCTTATCATACTGTTACATTTAATCATATAATCAGTAAATTTATTCTTATTAACCTGCGGTTTTTAATTTAAATACAGCTTATACTATTTTCGCATTTAATGTCTATAAATTTACAGATAGAAAAATCTGTAAAATTATAGATGGTCCATAAATTTACAGACTGTCAGTAAATATCAAGAAATCCTAGACCTGTTCATGTACGTACAATTTGACATACAGTAAACTTGTAAACTGATATAGATTTAGTTATGAAATAAATGTCAGTCAGATCCACAGTGTTCAAAGCAAACAACTTTAGACAATCTTTCTATAATATAAATGAGTTAGGCATCTATTGTTTCAACTTGAAAATCCACAAATGAACTTCTGTCACTTACATTATACTAGTGTGCAAACAAATGGCGTAATTTGAATAAGGGGAGGCAACTCTATCCTGTCTTATGAATACGCGCAAACTTGATAACGTATTATACCCAAGAAACAAAAAAGTTTTCTATCTTTAAAAAGGGTTAACAAAACCAA